GGGCCGGGCCGGCCTAAGAAAAAAAATGAAGACAAGCCGGTCCTAAGCTTTGGGACCCCGGGCCTTAGACATGAAGAACGGCCCGGGCCCAGGTTTTTTACGTGGAAACAAACCGGGCCTTGATTTTCAGGCCCGGCCCGTTTCTCATGTCTATTCAAAAGCAGTCCCAGCCCGTTTCTCATGTCTATTCAGAAGCAGTCCCAGCCCGTTCCTCTTGTCTATTCAAGGGTAGGTCCGGCCCGTTCCTCGTGTCCATTCAAGGATAGGCGCAGCCCGTTAGTCATGTCTATTCAAAAGCAGTCCCAGCCCGTTCCTCTTGTATATTCAAGGGTAGGCCTGGCCCGTTTCTCATCCCTACCCTTTTAATCCACTTAACAAAGACAATTACTCAAAAATTCATAGTACGCAATTACCGTACCCCCGACTAAAAATAAGTGTAAGTGTAAACAAAAGCTATAATATTAATCTGTTTGACATGCAACGTTAATAAGAGGAAGTGTGAATGTCGAGTGGCTACGTAGTGTAATGGTTAACGGTAATTTTAAAGGGATTACCATTGACAAAGTAGAAAGGTACTTACTAATCGCATGCTATGATTCTTAGATTCAACATACTTAAGTTCTATGGGTTTTTTAGTGAAAAAAATAGGCTTCAGTCATAGGTTACATATAGTACCCAAGGTCATACTACTCATATAAGCGTACAAAGCCTAAGACTACGCCTAACTTCAAGCCTAAACCTAAGGCAAATTCTAAGAGACAGCCTAAGGCTACAGCTACATTTAATGCCAAGGCTAAGCATAGGCTTAAGCCTATTAACAAAGCTAATCGAAAGTTTAAGCCTAAGCTAAACTTTGAGTCTAAGCCAAAACCTAAAACTAAGCATCATTTAAAGTCTAAACTTAAGCCTAAGCCTATACCTCAGCCTAAACCTAAGCCTAATCCTAAGTCTAAGCCTAAGCTCAAGCCCAAGCATAAGTCTAAGCCTAAGCCTAAGCCTAAGCCTAAGCCTAAGCCTAAGCCTAAGCCTAAGCCTAAGCCTAAGCCTGAGCCTGAGCCTAAGCCTAAGCCTAAGCCTAAGCCTAAGCCTAAGCCTAAACCTAAGCCTAAGCCTAAGCTTAAGCTTAAGCCTAGGCCTAAGCCTAAGCCTAAGCCTAACTCTAAGCCTAAGCCTACTAATTTTAATCCCATCAAACTAAATATAAATATACATTTGTCATACGCAAAGTTGCACAAAGCATACAACGAAACAAAATCATCAATTATAAGATTAAACCTCTGGTCCCTTTCATTCACACTATCTGATAAGTGGTAAGATTATCTAACCTATAATTAAAGTTCTCGAATATTTCAATTCATTTATGTCGCCATTTTTAAATACCCAAAGTCATAGGTTATTAGCTACGGTAACTGCTACACATTGACATTTTAATACTAAATCTTTTTTCAAGTATTTAGGTATAAAAATTCATAATTAATTTTTTTTTGTATACACGTGCTATATAGTACCGCACTAAAATTTAACAAATATAAAGGTAGGCATTACCAAACAAAAAACAGTTTTTAAGTTTTTTTCGTAAACAAAAGTTCCGTACTATAAAACTTTTTATCCCCACGTGCTATATAGTACCATACTGAAATGAACAAAATTAAAAAAACAAAGTCCAGATTCAAAATTTACCTAAAATTTTGATGTGCAAACATGACAAATACATATATTTTACAACTTCAAAGATTTGTAGCCCAGTTGTTAGCGCGTCAGATTAACGCGCCAAAGCTTATTGGTTCGAACCCGGTTGGAAGTAAAATTTTTAAAAAATGTTTAGAATTGCAAAAACGATGTTTTTAGACGTTTGAAAAAACAAAAAAACAAAAATTTTTCATTTTTCAGCACCACGCGTAGCTACGTGCTATATAGCACCAAACTTAAAAACTTCATTTTTTATGCTGTAACAGTAAAAAACATCTTTAAATGTCTGAAAAAATAAAAATAAATAAAAAATTCACTTTTTCAGCACCACATGCTATATAGCATCATACTCAAAAATTTTTATTTTTTGGATAATAACAATCAAATGTATACTCCTACGACTAAAACTACTTTTTTTAAACACAATAAACGCCCAAAAGTTCAAAAATAAGATTTTAAAAAATTGCACAAAAAATCTCAAAATTCTGCCAAAAAAGCAAAACCACGGCTAATTAACAATGTTTTTGATTTGTTTGTGGCATTACAATAACAAAATGCATACTGTAGTTGGATAACAACACTCCTCGTTAATGTAGTTTTATTAATTAACTTAGGGCTAATTACGTGGGTCGTCGAAAAAGCGACGAAATTTACGAAATTCGGGCCGCGTTTAGCGTCAATTTTGTAGTTTTTAGCACTTTACACGATGAGATATTGTATTTACTGCACTTTTCTAAGCAATATACGTCAGTTGTTTGTCGAAAATAGAGCTTTGTATTGAAAATTTGAGCTGAAAAAGAAAAAATGCAAGAACTTTCTTTACAAATCAAACAATGGCAAGAACTTTCTTTACAAAGCAAATATCTGCGAGAACTTTCTTTACAATGAAAAAAATGACAAATTTATATTGAATATGTTATAAACTCCTAAAAACTCAGTTTGCACCCAGTGTTCCTCGAACCTTTTATAATCAAGCGCACAGTTGCTTAACTTGCCAGATCGGACGGGACCGCGCTTTCGCACTGTGCAAAGAAGACAAATGGCGCTGCACGGTGCAAAAATTAGTTTTTTGGCAATAATTTTGTTTACAAGTATGGAATATAGCATTTTTTACAATCATGAAGTTTCCGCAAAAACTTTCTTTACAAAAAAAACTTTTAATTAAAATATTTAACACATCTTAAAAATTTTTTTACATATACAATTTCAAAGATAAAAACATAACCTACCGTAGTCCGTACAATTTTTTTCTTGGTAGAGTAGTACATCTTCGTCGTATGTTTGCAGATCTTTCAAACATCACCTGCCTTTGCACTATCGTATTACACATCTTACTGCACAGCGTTGAGATACGTCATCGAAGGTTCATGAAATTTCAAATATCTGAAATGATGAAAAGTTATCATAAGGTCCATATCAAAAATCTTAAAAAGCCAATTTTAATCTTAAAAATTGAAAATAAAGCTATTGTAGCTTCAGTTAATTACAAAAACTAAAATTTTTTAAAATTTGTAAAGAAAGTTCTTGCAATACTCCAAAAAAAATTAAAAAAAGGCCATTTCTTATCATTGTAAACAAAGTTTTTGCCAAAAACCTAATTTCTGCACCGTGCAACACCATTTGTCTTCTTTGCACAGTGCGAAAGCGCGATCCCGTCCGATCTGGCAAGTTAAGCAACGGTGCGCTTGATTATAAAAAGTTCGCGGTACAGTGGGTGGAAACAAAGTTTTTGACAGTCTCTAACATGCCTAATATAAATTTCATCATTTTTTGAGTTGTAAAAAAAGTCCTTGCCTCTTTTTTCAAACTTTCAAAATTGAACTCGGTTTTGCAAAAAAAGTATTAAAATATGCAAATTTTCTCATTGTTCTAGAATTACGTACGAGTTTACCGGGTCCTAAACCGTCTTTTTTTGAATACCCAGCGTTGGCAGTACATTGTATATTTTCATTTACGCCCTTTTTCATTGTTTGCACATAACACATTGACATAATGTCATCGTATGTTTACTTTCACACATATCATTGAGTTGTAAAACAATGATATTAAAAAATTTTGAAATGTGTTTAGTGACAACGCTCTTTGAAATCAAAAACGACAAAAAAAAGTTTTTTTTACAAAACAAAATAGCAAAAGATTCCTTAAAAATATAAACACAACAAATATCTTTAAAACTCAAAAAATGCCAAATCTATATTAGGTATGTTAAAGACAGTCAAAAACTTTGTTTTCACCCAGTGTTCCCCGAACTTTTTGTAATCAAGCGCACCGTTGCTTAACTTGCCAGATCGGACGGGACCGCGCTTTCGCACTGTGCAAAGAAGACAAGTAGCGCTGCACGGTGCAGAAATGAATTTCCTGGCAATAACTTTGTTTACAATGATAAAAAATGTTATTTTTAAAATTTTTATAAAATTGCAAAAACTTTCTTTACAAATTTACAAAAAAAAACTAAATTTCAAAAGTTTTTGAAAAAGCGCAAGAACTTTGTTTCCAATGATCGGAAATGGTTTTTTTTAACTTTTCAGTCAAAAAATTAGAAAAATTTCCTTAAAATAGAAAAAAACTAAGCCTAAACATTAAAAAAACTGCCTTAAAAAGCAACTTTCATATAAAAATAATCGAAATTCAGACCAAACCCAACCCCACCATTACCGTATACAAAACGGCCCACAAATTGTGCGAATAACAAACCCGAGCCTCTGCGAATGACTGGCACAAATATTTACAACTTTGAAATTGCGAAATTGTAAGTATGACCACTTAAGGATACAAACACTGTTGTCAAGTGTAACGGTTTGTCAAGGTTTTAATTACAAGTTCGTACTTGTAGTTACATGTTTTGAAAGTTGGTCAGTAGTTTGGGGGTGTTTGTGCAATTGATAAAATTCCAGGTATTGGGTCGAAAATGGCAATAACTTTGTTTACAAAACGAAAAAAGGCAAGAACTTTCTTTACAAAACAAAAAATGGCAAGAACTTTGTTTACAAAACAAAAAATGGCAAGAACTTTCTTTCCAAATATGAAAACCACCTTTCAGCACAAAAACAGTAAAGCCTTGTGTGTCTTCTACAGCCTATTATTATAATTTAAAAACCTATGACAACATTTTATAAACCTTCATAAGATACCATGTTATCCGATTATTACTCATTTCATTAGCAACATCGATATTATACACTATAATTTTATTTTTCGTCCTATTCAATCACTGAACATAAACAAAACAGTAGGTACTCTTATCATCATCATCCTCAAAAGATAAACTTTTAGTGATGACAAAGGTAACCTTGATGACGACAAAGAAGCCCCTAATGATGATGAAGATAGTCCGGTTGGTAGGAGTTGGCGTAGGGGTCCAACAGGTTGTTGAAGGTTTGCATGTCATCGTAGTAGCGTTCGCGCCAATAGTACTCGATCCAAGGGGATTGGCCGCTTTGGTCGAAGCCCAATGACCACATGGTCTTCTCACGACTATCACCCTTATTCGGATAGTAACCATACGAGTAACGGTCACCCAACACACGCACTTTCATCACGTTTTGGAAGTGGTTCGCGTCCAGGGGAGAGACCTCCAGCTCGGCCAGGTCGTGGTAGGAGACTGGAGGGAAGGCGGCGTTGCGGCACTCCACCTTCATTGTGAGCCTGGCTCGGTGGATGTTGTACCAGATCGAGTCCTTTGGGTCGTGCCATTCCAGAAAAACGTCACCCGAATGCCATTCGAAGTAGTCGCAGTCCAGACGGCAAATATCCTCAACGATCGAATCCGAATCTCCGGGCACGGTCCAGTCGTAGGTGAGGATCTTCGAGTGGGGTCTGAAATGTCAAATTTCTAGTTTTTAAAGCTTTTAACTGTGGAAAGGAATTTTTTCGTCATTTTTTGTTTTGTAAAGAAAGTTCTTGCCGTTTTTTGATTTGTAAAGAAAGTTCTTGCAATTTTTTGTTTTGTAAACAAAATTCTTGCCATTTTTCGTTTTGTAAAGAAAGTTCTTGCCATTTTCAAGCTTGTAAAGAAAGTCCTTGCCGTTTTAAACCTAAAATCACTAAATCCCAGAAGAAACCTTACTTGTACTCCTTGAGCGAATCCTTGTGCGATTCACGAATAACTTTCAGATATTGTTCATCAATAACATTAGCTTCTCCATCCTGATTCCGTTTCTTTATTCTTTGAAGCAGTTCGGCCTCTTCACAGTCCAGATAGACAACTACATGAGGCCAGTAACGGAGCTGGTCATTCGCCAGTTTCCGTTGCCAGTAATAATATTTGAAGACTAAAAAATTTTTTCAAAATTTAAAAAACTTCAATATAAACCTACAGTCCAAAGAAATAAAATCCTTCGACTTCATAGCGTTAATCAACGCAAAATCTGACCGTGGCGAGCTCTCCAACACCACTCCTTCGCCAGTGTTGAAGATGTGAGCCAGCGCGTTCATGTACTGCTCCCATTTACACTCAAACTTGCGGTGAATATAACGTGCCGTGTTATCGTCCATTGGATTAGCGTAGAACATTTTCTCATCCGGGACCCGGAAACTGTAAGGAAACTGAAAAAAAGACATTGTTTTTGATATTGTTGTAGGTTAGGTCAGAACAGATATATCTCAGAGTTTTCCAATTCAATTAAATTGAAATTTTTCACAAAGTGACACAGTTATCTTGTTCCTATTATATCAAAAAACTATACAAATGCAACACGTTTTTCAAAAGTTATGACCAATTTTGCCCAATCACATCAAAAACTTTTGTTTTTAACATAAAATCCTCAAACTCAATCAAAGCTTCTCACAAAATTCTTTGTATAAACCCATTATAATAACCTCTTTTCCTTAAAATTAAAGTTTTTGTTAAAAAAACAATAAAGAGAATAAAAAAGACTGATGTTATCATAGACCTACCTCATCGTAGAATTTCCGTAGATCATTTCCATAACCGTCGATCAAAATGTCTTCCATTTTAAAAGCTGGCATAAACTTGAATCCCAAAGCATCAGCTATTTCGGCTCCGACTTTGGTCTGCAATCAAAAATTTTTAAGTTTTAGGTATATCTAATTTAATATCGTTGAATTTAAAGGTTTATTAGAGCAAACCTCTAAAAAACCTTATCGATAGCAAGAAAGATATCTATTACATATATAAACTAAACAATTTCCCCATAATTCCATAAACTTGGACTTCTAATGAAAAGCATATTGTTATAGCCATTTCATACGCTCTTCTCGCGGATTCTTCAAAAATTCACCCTAAAAACCAAAAAAATAACAAAAATAATAGCACACCTTTCCAGTACCAATATTTCCTTCGATCACAATCAGCTTTGAGTTCTTGTGCCATCTCTTTTTGGTATAATCCCACAAAACGTTTCCGTAGGAATAACCCTTCTCTTTATATGGCCATGGTTGGGGATGATCTTGAGGCAAGTCCAACAGCTCTTTTGTAACAATACCACGATGTTGAGTTGCTGCTATTGGACGGGGCAGCAGCTTACCCAACAGGGTAACACGAGACATGGCTCGTGCCATCTAAAATAAAGTAGACATTATAGTTCTTGATAAATAAAAAGTGTCTTAACATATAAAATAGCTCGATAACTAAATGAAAATGCTGGTAAAAGCCAAAGAAGGTTATATTGCACTAAATAAGACTAAAATTAGCTAGAAACAATAAGGTCTTCAAGCTAAAAACATTAAACACATAAAGGTATGTCTATAATTTTCAAATAAAAGCCAAAATAGCAAGTACAACTTTAAAAAACCACAAAAACAAGAGTTATTTAAGTAAAATTATATAAACCTACTGAACAGCTTAATAAACTTATTTATAATTTGCTAAAAAATACCAAAAAAATCTTATAAAAAAGAAAACACGGAAAATCGTTTGGCATTCCGTCTCGACTCTTGCTTTTTTCGCGAAAAATAAAGGAATTCAAACGGTCTTTTTGAATAAAAACTCATTTTTAACCTTACTTTTTTTATTTAAAATATTCTGATAACCTTTCTTTCATTTTCAAAACTTTATTTATTGAAAAACCTTTAAACATATGTACAAAAAGCTTGAAAAACTGTGGATATTAATGTTTTTGGTGGACAATATAATATTTGAATGGTAAAAAAGCCAGCTTTTAATGTAAAGTTGAGCTTGAAAATTGGTATACCGGTAGATATTGGCAGTGAAAATGTTATGTTATTGGTTTGGTTCATGAATGTTGTCATTTAGTAAGGAAAGTAGTGGAGATATTTCAGGACGAGGTCATCTGAAGCGGCTCGTCGTTGTCGGACTACTAGGCCTTCTAAAAGCCATATTGGATCTAAAATTTGTTTTTTTGGCAGAAAAGATATTTTGTTACTTTTATAATATCATTAATATTTTTTAAATTATTAAAAACGTGAGGTCTGATCAAAAAACGTCCAACGACCGTCTTTTCCTTCGAAATCCAATTTCTTTGGGGAAAAGCTCTCTATTTTTGATATTTACTGTAACAAATACGTTTCGAAATTTATTCAAATTGTAGCAAAACTTACTCTCAAGTATGTCGACCAACTTTGCGTCAATACTTTTCAATTTTGCTTCTCTTCCGCGTTTAATTTGTTATATTGTACTACCCATTTGGGTACAACTTCGATAGCCACTTGAGCGGCTTGACGGGTCGTTTTTGAGTTTATATCGGCATGAAGTAACCCTTGACGCATTATCTGAACTTTTTGAGGTTAATATGGCAATTTTTTGCAAAAAAAAAATTAATAAAAATTTTTTTTTAAAATTTTCCGGAATTTTTGAAAATTTTAAATTTCAAGCTTAAAATGAAAAGTGTATCAAAAGTCAGTCCCAAATATCAAAAGTCACAAAATTAGCCCTTACTTCAGTCATAAACTCAATAAGGCCTTCAGTGACGTTATTCTCTCTCATAATGTCTCTAGCATTCTGTAGTAACATGTTCAATATCTGTGGGTCTTCTACGGCTTGTTGCACTTTACCAACATCAGTCTGATTTGATTTGGCTATATTCATGATGGCCTTCCTTTGTTCTGGGGTAAAATTGTCAAAAAGTTGGTTTTGGCGGGCTATGAATTGGTCTAAAATGATGACCATTTGTTACGTTACAGTATCTTTCGGCAGGGCAGTGTTAAAACCGGTTACGGTATAAAAGATTACAATAAGATAAAGAGATGTAGATTAAGGTAGACCATGATAGCTACGTTAACTTACCTTTAAAACCAGGCACAAGCCGTTCAAAAAGATCCGCTTGGTCTACAGTGTCCAAACAAATTACCGTACCAATTACGGTAAAAAACAAAATTCTCGAGAACATGTTCGACAAGACAAGACAACAACAAACGGACTTCACTGTCTGCTACACGTTCATACGAAATTGGACACACTCATTTTCTTGTTTTAAAATCGCGTTTCAAAGATTTTATCGCCTTTTTTACGCAACCTTTAATCTCTTTTTTAGGTTTAAAAACAACAATTAAAAGAATTGACGAGATCTTGAACGGTTAAAACGTCTGTTTGTCTTAAAAGAATAGGGTAGGGTAGGTGAGATTAGAACCATTTTTATGAGAGTACTATTTATGCGTAGAAGGGTCTAAAGTATCCTATCCTACTCTGCCTTACTCTACCTTACCCTACCGTACCGTATCCTACCGTACCGTATCCTACCTTACCCTACCCTACCCTACCCTACTCTGCCCTACCCTACCCTACCCTACCCTACCCTACCCTACCCTACCCTACCCTACCCTACCCTACCCTACCCTACCCTACCCTACCCTACCCTACCCTACCTTACCCTACCTTACCCTACCCTACCCTACCCTACCCTACCCTACCCTACCCTACCCTACCCTACCCTACCCTACCCTACCCTACCCTACTCTACCCTACCCTACCCTACCCTACTCTACCCTACTCTACAGTATCTTATAGTAACTTATCCTCAATATTCTATAGTATCATAGAGTATCATATAGCGTCTTACCCTGCTCTACCCTATGTACGTTATCCTTTCTTTTCCTAACCTACTCCATATCTTTTTTTTTTGTTTTTTGGCGTCCAAAACTGTCTGGTGGTTTTTATACAAGCGCGTAAAAAAAGAAACGCTTTTATTTCTTATTTTGGTGACGAGTCCAAGAGAATTATAGCTAAACCTGCACCAGTTTTTTTCGTTTTTACTTAAAGTTTTTTTACCAAATGTCATTCGAATCTTATTTTCAAAGTTTACTATTGTGGCAAACAAAAAGCATTGTAAAATTCTTCTCTGTTTATAATCCTTACAGACCGTTATTAAATCATAACGTTGAAAGATGGCCATACACGTTCAGAACCGACTATACGTACGATCAAGTTGTGTTTTATCGACTGGTAAGTTTTAACTTAAAATTTCTGAAGACTACTTCTTTTTAGATGTCAGACATATGTATTGTGAACATGTACCTTTTGGTGTTATTTGGTACTTTTTTGGAAATTGTAACAATAGCATTATTAATTACTAATAATGTCATGTTTTGTTACTATTCGGCAATTGCTTACGGTGTAAGAAGACATTTTAAGTTATTGCTTTATCCTAATGTAACATACCCTATCTTTGTACTTGTGCTTTTTTTCTCAACTTGCCCCAGCCTTAGTCCTGAGCCCGAGCCAACTTGCCCTAGCCTTAGCCCAAAACCCTACCGTTACCCCAACTTCTATCCTACCTTACCCTACCTCATGTTACCTTCCTCTAATATCAAATTACAGATAACAGTTTTGTTTCTTTACACGGTTCCATGGATACCGTACTTCAAATATTGGCTGTATCGTATTCTGTACAACAAGACAAAAAGCATGAACAATGATTTCAAACTCATTTTAAGGCGAATTGATGAACTTGTTGGAAGAACATTGGGTGGATTTAAGCACGTTGGAGCAGTAGCGTTCTATGTATATTTTAATGTGTTAGTTATAGCAGCTCATATGTACGGATACGTTAAGTTTCTCCGTTATGATCCTTATGCTCAATCTACTTAAGTTTTGAAGAAATAAACCTATTAAAAATATAGAAAAATTAAATCTTTGATAAGTTTGTGATTGTCTTTGTAATAATCCTATCAAAAAGTACCTGGGTAGGATGACACCCTGGTTATAAGGACATATTGGGCCAGGGCTAGGACTAGGGCTGGGGCTAGGGCTAGAGTTTTACAAAAACCCGACATTCTCAGATTCAAATGTCCAAAACAAAACATAAAAGCGAGGCGGCTAAAAGACTGTTTCACCATGAAAAAAAAGCAATTACAATATAACAACTTTTTGAAATAAAATATAGCTAAACTAAAATTTCAGTGTTTTAAAAATATTTAAAATCAATCAAAAACCATTCTTGTCCGTTATCAATGGAAGATCGTGGTGGTCCTGTGGAAAGGATTGAAGAACACGATCCAGCACGTATTGGTGCTGAGCGTCGAGCCTTGATTGAATCAAGGTTCGAATACGCTGAAGTGTTATGCCTGATAAGCTCACTGGTGCTACAGGTTTACCTGTCTGGTGCCAATGTGTTTATACACATCAATAGGCCGTCTAATGAAACTTTGGTTGAAGACGGCTTTAAAGATGAGGTTTTTCTGGCTGAATTGAAGGAGTTGTTTTGGAATTGGGCCGACTATATAGTCATTTATTCGGGGATTGTTGTGGCGGTAAATTAATTTTTTTGTACATATTTTCAAACAACATTTTTTTGCATACAAAGCTGTTTAATGTAAACTTATTTTATAACTAATTTAGATTGCTGGTTTGGCTTCCAACTTTGCTGCCAGCTATTATTTCTTGATAGCTCTGCGTGATTATCAGCGCCCTATGGTAACTTTTTTACTATATTTTGTTTTTTATATTTTAGTAATGCTTTAGTACAATCGCAGCCCTAGCCCTAGCCCTAGCTCTAGCCCTAGCACTAGCCCTAGCCTATCCTACTTTACCCTATTCTTCCCTGCCTACCGTAATTTACTTTACCTGTCTTATTCTAGCTTTACCATTGCTCTACCTTGTTTAACGTCTGTCTTTTAGGATGTATCGCGGTTTGATGGTTTCTTGTTTTTGTACTCTATCTCTACAAACATTGTTGCGTCTGTCTATGCATTTGGCCTATTAGTGACGAAACTGCAACAGACAGATAGTTACATTGTCCATTTTATCATGGCGATTGTCAATCTTTGTTGTGAATGGATTTAAAGTCACCACTGTAAGTCTATTTTTTTACTGCGTCTATGCTTTTCTACTACGTTTCTAATTTTTTGCCAAAACTAAAAATAATTTTACATTCTAGGGCCTACAGTAGCATTTGAAAGTATAAAAGGATACAGTAGAGTAAAATTGGGGATATTTTTGGCAAACAGTACCATTTAAGGGTACTGATGACTATAATAGTGTAAGATTAGAGCCATTTTTGGCAAACGATTTAGGAGCACTGATGACCATAATAGTGTGAGATAAGTCATTTTTGGCACACAGCACTATTTAAAAGTACCAATAACTATGATATTCTGAGATTAGGGTTTTCTTTTACCTGCAGTACCATTTAGGGAGAATTGATGACTACGGCGTGAGTTTAGAGCTATTTTCAACTAGCAGTACCATTTAGAAGTTCAAATGATTACAGTAGCGTAAGATTTAGCTATTTTCCACGTCTAGTACCTTGTAGAAGTTAATTATGACTACATCATAAGATTAGGCCCATTTTCTATCAATAGTACTGTTTAGTAGTATCAATAGCTGCAGTAGAGCAAAGTTACCACCATTCTTGGCAAACATTACCATATTGATATATTGATGACTACAGTAACAAAAGAAGGGGGCCAATTTTGACAAACAGTACAATTTTAGAGCATAGAAGACTAATGTAGTCTAATATTAACAGTGGATACACACAATATAACATTTATCAATCTATTTATTATTTATTTATTTAAAAAAAACTTTTAGGTGGGCTTCCATTACATCGACTCATCGGCGAAATTTGGCAACTTTTCTTTGGCCACTATCTACTTATTTTGCACATTGGCAGCTGTGGAGGCTGGTATATCGTCTTTAAATTTAAAGTATGCAGTACTTCTCGTCGGCAGCAATGGTGGGATCATAGTAGGGGTAGCAGTCTTTGCGTTTAGTACAGTATGGAAAGCTATTAGGCTAAAGCTCTGGACTAAGGTCCTGAGCTAGGGCTTGTAGCTAGAGCTCTGGGCTAGGGCTAGGGCTAGAGCTAGAGCTAGAGCTAGGGCTAGGGCTAGGGCTAGGGCTAGGGCTAGGGCTAGGGCTAGGGCTAGGGCTAGGGCTAGGGCTAGGGCTAGGGCTAGGGCTAGGGCTAGGGCTAGGGCTAGGGCTAGGGCTAGAGCTAGGGCTAAGGCTAGGGCTAGGGCTAGGACTAGGGCTAGGGCTAGGGCTGCGGTTGTACTAAAGCATTACTAAAAAATATAGTAAAAAAGTTACCATAGGGCGCTGATAATCACGCACAGCTATCAAGAAATAATAGCTGGCAGCAAAGTTGGAAGCCAAACCAGCAATCTAAATTAGTTATAAAATAAGTTAACATTAAAGCTTTGTATGCAAAAAAATGTTGGGATAGAAAATAGGACGTTTTGCAATATATGTTTTTACAATAAAAAAATGTAACTTTAAATATTTAAATATAATACATATTTAGGTTGGGTACTATTATTTTGATCCCACAGCCAAGCTGGGCCAATGGCTGGTGTTTACGGGTTTAGCTGTTTGATCATAAACCAAGGATAGCTCCGGTGAACAACGAGGAAGAACTAGAACAATCCAGGAACATACACGCAGTACCTCAATGCAATTCGTCGGCATCAACATCATATAATCTAACTACATCTACATATCACCGACCATAAATTGTAATTGTATAGCGTAGAAACTATGTTAATAAACCTTTAACCTTTAACGTGTTTGTTGCAATTTCGGGATTTATTTTTACAGGGTGTTTCACCATATTTTATTAGTAGAAACGAGTTATATCTTTGCAACTACATGTGCTACAATTCTAAATTTTGGTACACTGGTAGTAGAGACTGGTACAATTTTTTGTGCAAAATTTTGGATTTTTTAAGTGCTTTTTACGGTCGTCATTAATTTTTGAAAATGAGCATTTTTCGCCAAAATACACATATTTTCGATTGAAAATGCTTTTTTTTCTCGAAATTTTTCTAAGTTTTCAATTCTTTTGATACAAATCGCATTTTCAATGTTTTCAATTACTTGGCGGAGACTCGGCGGAATTTTTAATTTAGAGTTATTTTCAAACAAGTTTAGCGTCAGTGAAGATGGGCCTGATAATTTTAAAACTAATGCTTTTTGTTTCACGCCGCTACGTTATGTTTGAAGCAAGTTATAGCCTCCGCCGATAAATTTAGGCGAATTTTTTGCGCAACAACAACAAATATTTATTAATCAAAATAATTACCATCAGCATTAACACAATCATGCCAACGTTTTCCAAGCGATTTGAGGCCAGTAGCATAGAATTCAGAATTTCTGGAATCAAAGAAAGTTTTGATGGCTCTTTTGACATCGTCTTCTACAGTGAATTGTTGTCCACATAAAAATGCAGCCAAGTTCTTGAAAATGTGGTAATCCGTTGGAGCCATATCGGGAGAGTATGGAGGGTGATCAAGGACTTCATACCCAAGCCCCTTCAGTTTTTCTTGTGTCATCTTTGCCACGTGAGGCCGGGCGTTGTCGTGCAGTATGATTGGGCCTCGTCTTCTCAACATCGGTGGGGATTTCATCGATCTGCTCACAGTACGTGTTAGCTGTTATGGTTTGGCCATGTTTTAAATAGCTGTAGTGAATCAGTCCACGGCTACACCACCAACCGGTTAGCATTAACTTCTTTTGACGCAAATCGGGCTTTGCAAAATGGCTAGCCGGTTGGCCACGACAAGTCCAGCGCCTGGATCTTCTTTTATTGTTGTAGCACACCCATTTTTCGTCACTAGTGACGATTTGATCCCAAAAATGTGGGTTTTTGGCCCGTACCAGCAGTTTCTGTGCAGCTTCTTTACGCTTCTTTTTCTGTTCATTCGACAGGTTATGAGGCACCCACTTCTCAAGCTTCTTCACGTATCCCATGGACTTCAAATAGGCAGAAACAGACCAAATTGAACATTTTAAGTATTTTGCCAATTCTCTGACTGTAATTCGTGGATCAATTTCAATCTTCTGCTCCAGGGTGTGTTCGGATATTGTTTTAGGTCTTTCAGTCCTTTTTTTTGATTGAAGCGTCACATCTCCAGAACGAAATTTTCGAAACCATTTTTTTGCAGTTGAATAGCTCACAGTTCTTCTGCCATGAGTTTCATTGATAATTCGAGCCGTAGACTTGGCGCTACGACCCGCTGTATACTCATGCCACATCACTGCCCACATCCATGATTTGTTCATTATCTTCAAACGTCTATAACAGCAAAACAAAAAATTAAAAAAGGGTTGAAACTTACATATTCTGAAAATCTAGGTTTTAAACTATAGAAGAACATCAAAATTCCCAACTTATGAAATATGTTTATTTTTTTTCTGATTTTTCGAAATTTGGTGTCGAAAGGGGGCCCACGACTTACCTAACAACCTAATACATTGCAGTTAAGGCAAAATAAAAAGAAACAGCTTAATGCACTGCGAAAAATAGTACATGATACCTTTTTGTTTTTGAAGGCTCAGTATTATATTAGAGAAAACTTAACTTACCCTGTACCAAGCGTTACCAAACCTTCTGTCAAGACCCACAGCAACAAAAGCGCTTCCAATTATATTTGATATAAACCCAGTCAACTAAACAAAATTTTGTTACCTAATTAATTAGAAAAACGGTTTTTCGACTTTAAAAGACATAAAGTTCAGAGAATCAACATTATTTTAAAAGGGCTAAAACTTACTGCTATAATAACACCGACGTAAAGGATCATGTACTCCTTGGTCAAATACTGACTTATCACAGTCTTTTCGTTATCGCCTTTCGTAGTATTAACGCTTTGAATTACTACATTGGTGCCTGAGGCCAGGATCTGCATCATTACAGATATACCAAGGAACAACATTTCGCAGAACTTGCGTTGGACATTGGTTACGGCTTGACGTTCAGCCTTGTCCCTTTCGCCATTATCTTGGGTTGACCCACCGTTAATCATGATTTTTGTTCGAATAAAGCGTCGATATAAAAAACTCAATTTCGATACAAAAATGTAAAAATTGATGTGTTATTTTGAAAAGTAGTTATATAGTACTTACACTGGTCGTTGAAAACTGAGAGTAGGGAAAAGGGTAGGATAGGGTAGGGTAGGGTAGGGTAGGGTGGGTAGGGTAGGGTAGGGTAGGGTAGGGTAGGGTAGGGTAGGGTAGGGTAGGGTAGGGTGGGTAGGGTAGGGTAGGATAGGGTAGGGTGGGGTAGGGTAGGGTGGGTAGGGTAGGGTAGGGTAGGGTAGGGTAAGGCCCCAGCTCCAGCCTTAGCCCCAGCCCAACCCAGCTCAGCCCCAACCCCAGCTTCAGCCCCAACCCTAACCCCAACCCCAGCCCTAGCCCTAGCCCTATCCCTAGCCCTAGCCCCAGCCCCAGCCCCAGCCCCAGTCGCAGCCCCAACCCCAGCCCCAGCCCCAGTCGCAGCCCCAACCCCAGCCCCAGCCCCAGCCCCAGCCCCAGCCCCAGCCCCAGCCCCAGCTTCAGCCCCAACCCCAGCCCCAACCCCAACCCCAACCCCAGCCCCAGCCCCAGTCGCAACCCCAACCCCAGCCTCAGCCCCAGCCCCAGCCTCAACCTCAGCCCCGGCCCCAGCCCCAGCCCCAGCCCCAGCCTCAACCCCAGCCCCAGCCCCAGCCCCAGCCCCAGCCCGAGCCCCAGCTTCAACCCCAGCCCCAACCCCAGCCCCAGCCCCAGCCCCAGCTTCAGCCCCAACCCCAGCCCCAACCCCAGCCCCAGCCCCAGCCTCAACCCCAGCCCCAGTCCCAGCCTCAACTTCAGGCCCAGCCTCAGCCCCAGCCCCAGTCGCAGCCCCAGCCCCAGTCCCAGTTCCAGCCGCAGTCAAATTAATTTTAAAACGAATTGATGGACAAATTAATAAAAACTTGGGTGGATGTACCGACTTATGGTACGTCTTACATGTATTCGTTTTAAATGTAGCATTTATTGTTAGTCTTGTGTATGGGTTTGTGAAATTAATTTATTATGATTCTTATTCTCAAACTCTTTAACCCTGTCTTAACTTTTTTCAACTCACAGATGCTTGCCCTACTCTATCTTGCGCTAACTTATCTTGCCTTGACCTACTTTAACTAAGTGTGCACTATTCTGCCGTGGTTCATCTTTAAGTATCGTAAACAACCATGTTCTAAGTTACCGTAACATACTTTGTTTTATCTTTCTATACCGTACTCTAACCTACAGTAATTTACCTTTTACTAGCAAAGTAACAGTACTGTTATACCATGATATTTTTTCTTATTTTGCCCTCTCTTCAGCTTTTTTCTTCTCCCCTTTCTTTTCTCTTCTTTTGTCTTCTGTCTCCCTCCTTTCTCCTCTCTTACTGTCTCTCTCTCTTTCATTTTTACTCTCCTTCTTGGGTTTATATTGAGCGTCTAAATTTAGATTTTTACAAGCGGACAAAAAACGCTTGGTTTTTTTAGTTCAACGACAAATAAGACTGAATAGTTTATTATAAATTAGACGTTTTACGTATTTTTACAATCGCTTAGTATAGTAAATTTATAAATGTCATCCGTGGCAAACTAAGATTATTGTCACGTTTGTTTCTTTTTACAAACTTGAGGTATGGGTACAAGATCACAATGTTGACCGATGGCCATACACGTTCTGCACAAGTTATACCTACGACGAGATTGTGTTTTATCGACTGGTAAGTCAAATATGCTTACGATGCTTAGAAAGTTTATACTGAGTAGGCTTAGTAGTCTTAGGCTGAGTAGATATAGGCTTAGTAAACTTAGAGTTAGTACTGAACAATATACGAGCAGACATGCCTTGAGGTGAAATAGGAGCAAGAGTCAGCAAATACCCTTTTAGAAGCGTTTTCCAAGCAGCACTACCAACAAAAGTAAATCCAGATATACAAATAAATGCGTTACTAGCCACAATTAACCAGTAAATCTTAAGGTCCAGCGTTGATAAGGCGAATTCAAATGCAGTCAGAGAGCTAAATGCATACACACCAGCCAAAGAGTAGTTTCCGAGCCTGGCAGTGGAGGCAAAGAAGCAGTAGTCCACCTGAATATTTACATAACAGTTAATTTTTTTGTAATCCATAGCTTTAGTTTTAGCCTTAGCCGTTAATTGTAAAATTTATACATTTACTTTTTCAATTGCAAAAAAAGCAAATGTATTAGGTTGTTAGGTAAGTCGTGGGCCCCCCTAACCGTATATCAGAAAAAAATTTTTTGCGCAACAACAACAAATATTTATTAATCAAAATAATTACCATCAGCATTAACACAATCATGCCAACGTTTTCCAAGCGATTTGAGGCCAGTAGCATAGAATTCAGAATTTCTGGAATCAAAGAAAGTTTTGATGGCTCTTTTGACATCGTCTTATACAGTGAATTGTTGTCTACATAAAAATGCAGCCAAGTTCTTGAAAATGTGGTAATCCGTTGGAGCCATATCGGGAGAGTATGGAGGGTGATCAAGGACTTCATACCCAAGCCCCTTCAGTTTTTCTTGTGTCATCTTTGCCACGTGAGGCCGGGCGTTGTCGTGCAGTATGATTGGGCCTCGTCTTCTCAACATCGGTGGTAGATGGCGCCGCATTTCATCGATCTGCTCACAGTACGTGTTAGCTGTTATGGTTTGGCCATGTTTTAAATAGCTGTAGTGAATCAGTCCACGGCTACACCACCAACCGGTTAGCATTAACTTCTTTTGACGCAAATCGGGCTTTGCAAAATGGCTAGCCGGTTGGCCACGACGAGTCCAGCGCCTGGATCTTCTTTTATTGTTGTAGCACACCCATTTTTCGTCACTAGTGACGATTTGATCCCAAAAATGTGGGTTTTTGGCCCGTACCAGCAGTTTCTGTGCAGCTTCTTTACGCTTCTTTTTCTGTTCATTCGACAGGTTATGAGGCACCCACTTCTCAAGCTTCTTCACGTATCCCATGGACTTCAAATAGGCAGAAACAGACCAAATTGAACATTTTAAGTATTTTGCCAATTCTCTGGCTGTAATTCGTGGATCAATTTCAATCTTCTGCTCCAGGGTGTGTTCGGATATTAACCATCCAGGGTGTGTTCGGATATTAAACCAGCCCCAGCCTCAACCTCAGCCCCGGCCCCAGCCCCAGCCCCAGCCTCAACCCCAGCCCCAGCCCCAGCCCCAGCCCCAGCCCCAGCCCGAGCCCCAGCTTCAACCCCAGCCCCAACCCCAGCCCCAGCCCCAGCCCCAGCCCCAGCTTCAGCCCCAACCCCAGCCCCAACCCCAGCCCCAGCCCCAGTCGCAGCCCCAACCCCAGCCTCAGCCCCAGCCCCAGCCCCAACCTAAGCTCTAGCCCCAGTCCTAGCCCCAGCTCCAGGAGCGGCAGTAGAAGCAGGACTGGCCGTGCTGGAATGGAAGAACTGTAACCGTGGTTAACAATGTACGTGTCGGATTAGCTGCATTAATTTTTTTACTATCGTCGGCTTGCAAAGCGATCAGCAAGCACTACTCATTAACAGGACCAGTGGCTCAACCACAAGGAATGGCTCCACGGATTATCATGAGCGAGCTGTTAGCTCGCGACCATGAATAAAATTTTCAATAACTACAAATAAACATTTTGATTAAATATATATGTTTTCTTCCCTAAGCCCAAATTTAAAAAAAATCCTTGAAAATGTAAAACCTTTCATTGCTACTTATAGTCTTACAACATGTTAGCCTTAAACCTAATTCTAGCCTTAGCCTTTATCCAGAACCCTAGCTTCAGCCTTAAACCTAGTGCTAGCCCTAGATTTTACCCAAAATCGTAGCTCTAACCCTAGCCCCAGTCCCAGCCCTTGCTCCAGCCCCAGCCCAGCCCAGCCCAGCCCAGCCCAGCCCAGTCCCAACCTAAGCCCTAGCCCCAGTCACAGCCCCAGCTCCAGCCCAGCCCCGGCCCCAGCCTAAGCCCCAACCTAATCCCTAGGCCCCGCCCCAGCCCCAACCTAAGCCCTAGCTCCAGCCCCAACCTAAGCTCTAGCCCCAGTCCTAGCCCCAGCTCCAGCCCCAGCCTCAGTCCCAGCCCCAGCCCCAGCCCCAGCCCCAGCCCCAACCCCAGCCCCAACCCAAGCCCCAGCCCAGCCCAGCCCAGCTCCAGCCCAGCCCCGGCCCCAGCCTAAGCCCCCAACCTAATCCCTAGCCCCGGCCCCAGCCCCAACCTAAGCCCTAGCTCCAGCCCCAACCTAAGCTCTAGCCCCAGTCCTAGCCCCAGCTCCAGCCCAGCCCAGCCCAGCCCCAGCCTAAGCCCCAACCTAATCCCTAGCCCCGGCCCCAGCCCCAACCTAATCCCTAGCCCCGGCCCCAGCCCCAACCTAAGCCCTAGCTCCAGCCCCAACCTAATCCCTAGGCCCCGCCCCCAGCCCCAACCTAAGCCCTAGCTCCAGCCCCAACCTAAGCTCTAGCCCCAGTCCTAGCCCCAGCTCCAGCCCCAGCCTCAGTCCCAGCCCCAGCCCCAGCCCCAGCCCCAGCCCCAACCCCAGCCCCAACCCAAGCCCCAGCCCAGCCCAGCCCAGCTCCAGCCCAGCCCAGCCCCAGCCTAAGCCCCAACCTAATCCCTAGCCCCGGCCCCAGCCCCAACCTAAGCCTTAGCTCCAGCCCCAACCTAAGCTCTAGCCCCAGTCCTAGCCCCAGCTCCAGCCCCAGCTCCAGCCCCAGCCCCAGCCCCAGCCCCAGCCCCAGCCCCAGCCCCAACCCCAGCCCCAACCCAAGCCCCAGCCCAGCCCAGCCCAGCCCAGCTCCAGCCCAGCCCCGGCCCCAGCCTAAGCCCCAACCTAATCCCTAGCCCCGGCCCCAGCCCCAACCTAAGCCCTAGCTCCAGCCCCAACCTAAGCTCTAGCCCTAGCCCTAGCCCTAGCCCTGGCCCTAGCCCTAGCCTACTTTACCCTATTCTTTCCTACCTACCGTAATTTACTTTACCTGTCTTATTCTAGCTTTACCATTGCTCTACCTTGTTCAACGTCTGTCTTTTAGGATGTATCGCGGTTTGATGGTTTCTTGTTTTTGTACTCTATCTCTACAAACATTGTTGCGTCTGTCTATGCAGTTGGCCTACTAGTGATGAAACTGCTACAGACGGGTAGTTACATTGTCCATTTTATCATGGCGATTGTCAATCTTTGTATGTCTGTCTTGTTTGTTGTGAATGGATTTAAAGTCCCCACTGTAAGTCTATTTTTTTACTGCGTCTATGCTTTTCTACTACGTCTCTAATTTTTTGCCAAAACTAAAAATAATTTTACAATCTAGGGCCTACAGTGGCATTTGAAAGTATAAAAGGATACAGTAGAGTAAAATTAAAGATATTTTTGGCAAACAGTACCATTTAAGGGTACTGATGACTATAATAGTGTAAGATTAGGCAAAAACTTTCTTTACAAATATTAAAAGCGCGACCACAATTATTAATTTTCAAATACTTCGCAAGAACTTTGTTTACAAACGATATTATAAATTATACTAATTTTTTTTTTGGTTTTACTTTACTCCGGTCAATTAAAATTCCATTTGTCAAAACATTCATGAATAATGTATTTGCGTTACTTCGGATTATAAAACGCCTGTTACATCAAAAACCATATATAATCCTTTCGATATATGTTCGGTTAGTCAGCTTTGACGAGGTTCATTTACTTCGAACTTTTTTAAAATTTAAAAACAATTTTTAGAGGCTTTTTGCACTTTTAAAAAAGTTTTTGCCTTTTTTTTGTTTTGTAAAGAAAGTTCTTGCCATTTTTTGTTATGTAAAGAAAGTTCTTGCCATTTTTTGTTTTGTAAAGAAAGTTTTTGCCATTTTTTGTTTTGTAATGAAAGTTTTTGCTACTTTTTAAGAAAATGTCTGCCATTTTGTATCGTATATTACTATATAATTACGTTGGATTCCTCTGTAAATAACATTGTAGGTATAACCCATTACCATGGGCAACGCAGTGAATAACAAGTACATGACATAAGTGTAAATTAACTCTCTTAATACCCAGAACTGGGATTTTGTAAAGAAAGTGCTTGCGGTTTTTGTTGTAAAGAAAGTTCTTGCCATTTTTTGTTTTGTAAAGAAAGTTCTTTCCCTTTTTGTTTTGTAAAGAAAGTTCTTGCCATTTTTAAAATTTTTTATAATTCGAGTTAGAACTTGATTTAAAATGTCATAAAAAAGGCAATAAAAAGATAAAATGACAGTAAAAACGAGACTTAAAAGCAAATTTACAATCCATATTCACATGCTTTTTTCAACTTTTTTAACTTATTTTTGTAAATAAAGTTTTTGCAAAAATATCAAAAAACGTAAAAAATGCCATTTTATGCCATTGTAAACAAGTTCTTGTCAAAAAATGAATTTCTGCACCGTGCAGCGCCATTTGTCTTCTTTGCACAGTGCGCGGTCTCGTCCGATCTGGCAAGTTAAGCAACGGTGCGCTTGATTATAAAAAGTTTGAAGAATAGTTGATGGAAACAAATTTTTTGGGGTTTTTAGAACGTTGGAAAGATTTTTTTGTCATTTTAAGATTTTACTTTGTTAAAAAATGTCATAGTTGGCTATTTTTAAATAGAAAAATCAATTTTTTTGCCATTTTTTGTATTGTAATGAAAGTTTTTGCAATTTTTTTGTTTTTTAAGGAAAGTTCTTGCCATTTTCACACATTTCTATTAATATTATATTATGTTAACGTTATACATTATATATTATGCCCCTCTTGATGAATACCAATTTATGGTGGTATTTAAATCCTTATTTGAAGGTCCAGCTCTCGCATTACCTCCCAATTGTGCTAAAGTTCGTTTCGAAAGTTTAATTTCCGTTCCATTTTAATTTCATCAAAGTGTTTTACTAGGGCCGATTGTCAGTTTTTGTTTCCAATAAATTGCCTCTTATTCATTTGAGTCTTGTGTTCGCCCAATACATACATAAACATACGATACGACGGGTATTGTTTTTCGTTTTTGTGTTAAAAGTTATGGCAGTTAATGGCATTTTTTTTTGTAATCTGACGCTGGGGCCATTTTATTTTGGAATCTGTGGCTAGGGCTTTTTTATTTTGTAATTTAGGGCTAGGACCAGAGCTAGTGCTAAGGCTTGTAAAGGAAGTTTTTGCAAAAAAAATTTTTTATTTTTTTTTAATTTTTTAAAAAAGAAAGTTGCTTTACTACTTAATGTGCATTTAAATTTTTTTTCGTTTTTTTTAAATCTTGTAAACAAAGTTATTGCAGTTTTTTAAACATTTTTTTAAAATTTTTTAGAATTGTAAAGAAAGTTATTTCCAAAGTTCAAAAATCCTTAAAAGTTCTTGTTATTTTAGTTTTGTAAAGAAAGTTCCTGCCATATCTCAGTTTGTAAACAAAGTTCTTGCTATTTTTCGATTTGTAAAGAAAGTTTTTGGCATTTTTTGTTTTGTAAAGAAAACTCTTGCCATTTTCTGATTAGCCAACGAACAGCTTAGAAAAGTGACTGTTCTTATCTGTTTAATTTTTCAAACAATCGAGTTATAATTACGCTTTTTTTAATTATTCATCGAATTTAGATAAGAATAGACAAACGTTCCTTCCGAGCTACATTCTTGCTTGGTTTTTCGAATGTTTTTGCCATTTTTTGTTTTGTAAAGAAAGTTCTTGCCATTTTTTGATTTGTAAAGAAAGTTCTTGCCATTTTTCATTGAAAAACTTATGTTAGCAGGGATTTTTATATTATGGAAACAAAGTTTTTGCATTTATCCTTTTTTGTCTAAAAGACGGATTTCTTGTATAACTTGTCACCCGCAGGCTGCAAAACGTTTTTTACAGGATAAGCTTTGTTTTTAGAAACTGTAAAGAAAGTTCTTGCCATTTTATGTTTTGTAAAGAAAATCTTGCCATTTTTCGGTTTGTAAAGAAAGTTCTTTCTTCTTTATTAGTTTTTCGTTTGCATGCTCAAGTATAATATACACTTGAATTTTTTGCTTGTTTTCTAGGTATAACCCATGTGTTTTATTGTACTTTAACGTTTCATGAAAACATTAAAGTAATAGTAATTTACTAAGCCACAAGACATATAATATTATAGCCTTTGCATGTTGAAAAGTAATGGCAATGTACCACAGGCATTTTTGCTGCTATATTATATTATAGTACAATATTGTATGTTGAAGTAGCATTACTGTGGCTTTGATATTTGGGATCTACTTTGAGTACTATGGGGGTTTTCCCAGTGCTATAAGGGAGGGGAAAGGGGGGGGGTTACTTTGAGTACTAGCGACGCTTCTTTTTGAGTACTATGGTGGCTGATATTGTGTACTATGAGGGCTTACTTTCAGTACAAGAAGGTCTTATCTTGAGTACTAAAACTGCTTGATTTGAGTACTATGGTAGCTTATTTTTTAGTACTACAAAGGCTTTGTTTAAGTACTACAATAACGTACAATGTGCACTATGATGCTTAATTTTAGGGCTTAGTTCACTACGTTGTGATATATTTACTTAATAAGTAGGTAGTACTTATTATACAATTAAAATCTATCTCTTAATAAGTCAGTATTAGTATAAATTGTATGACTATTATAGTATTTGTGTTAGAACATGTGGAGTACGAACAAAGGCTTAAAGGATAACTTGTCTTACCAAATAGAGCAAAATATATAGTATGTTATGATTACTTCCACTATATACGGACATTAAAAGATTTTATCGTTTTTTTAAGTAGGTACAGCTCGGCTAGGTGTTAGAGATGAAAAGGAGGCTCAACGTTTAGGCTCGGCCAGTTTTTATATTTTTATCTATTTTGGACTGGGCCGGGTACATACGGCTCGTTCCTAACCTCTACATAGAGCTAGGGTTAGGGAGACATGGGGAATGGGCCGGGCCGGCATTGACTCAAATATAGGTCGGGCAAGGCTTAAAAATTGAGGGCCGTCTTGAAAAGACCGGGCTGGGAGAGGCGGAGCAAAATTTAGATCGGACCGGGCTTGAGAAATGGGCTTGGCCAGTTTTCCATGTCTAGGGCACTGGGCTAGGGCTCCGGACTAATATTTCCTGAACTAGGGCTTTGCGTTAGGGCTTTGGGCTAGGGTTCCGGGCTAGCATTATTTGTTTGTACTTTCCTATTCCTTCTCAAACCGAACATACGAACATATGGGAGCCGTGATGTTTGTTTATTTAACTCTCCGTACTTTGGGCCGTTTTTTAAATGAGGTAGAGGGGTTAGTCATCAGGGCAAGAAAAGGCCAGATGACAGAATTAATTGGAGGGAAAAGAAATATGGCCGTTGGGGTTTTTCGAGTAAAATTAATTTGTTTAGGAAAAGTGAATATGGTTTTTTAGGTAACAAAAATATTTTTAAATAATTTTTTTTGAATTTGGAAAGAAAGTTCTTGCCATTTTATGTTTTGTAAAGAAAGTTCTTGCCATTTTGTGTTTTGTAAAGAAAGTTCTTGCCATTTTTTGCTTTGTAAAGAAAGTTCTTGCCATCTATTGTTTTGTAAAGAAAGTTCTTGCCATTTTTTATGTTGTAAAGAAAGTTCTTGCGTTAAAGTCGCACTTTTTTTCCAGTTCGTACTTGTTGAGTATGGGAACATTTCGAGTTGTTTACCGAAACAAAACGCATTTTTAAGACTTCTGTGAATGCCTTTACCTACGTGTTTTACTTATTGTTTTACGATTACTCTTATTGTCATTTTAGATTGATACGAATAATGAATGGCACTGACGTACTGGACTTGGATGAGTACATTCCAATTGTTTATAGTAAGTAGGGTAGGGTAGGGTAGGATAGGGTAGGGTAGGGTAGGGTAGGGTAGGGTAGGGTAGGGTAGGGTAGGGTAGGGTAGGGTAGGGTAGGGTAGGGTAGGGTAGGGTAGGGTAGGGTAGGGTAGGGTAGGCTAGGGTAGGGTAGGGTAGGGTAGGGTAGGGTAGGATAAATAATTTCCATTTGTTTTTAGGTTTTCATTCATACGCCACGACGTCAGTATGTGCTCTAGGTATCATGGTGAATATAATATTCCTTCATTGCTTAACATCAGTCGACAAGGAGAAATCAGTCGGAATGAAGATACCATTAACCATAAAATGTCTTCTAGACCTTATCTGTGCTAGCAGTCGATTTTTTCTTGAACAGGTAAGAACTTTCTTTACAAATTCAAAAATAGCAGAAACTTTCTTTACAAACAAAAAAATGGCAATAACTTTCTTTACAAAACAAAAAATGGCAAGAACTTTCTTTACAAATCGAAAAATGGCAAGAACTTTCTTTACAAAACAAAAAATGGCAAAAACTTTCTTTCCAAAGCAAGAAATGGCAAAAACTTTCTTTACAAGACAAAAAATAGCAAGAACTTTCTTTACAAGACAAAAAATAGCAAGAACTTTCTTTACAAATCATAAAATCGTAAAAACTTTCTTTACAGAACAAAACATTGCAAGAACTTTCTTTACAAACCTTGTTTTTTCTAAAAAAACGCAGTGAGCTTGCGTGTGACAAGTTATACGATGAAAATAACTCTTTTTCAGACAACCATAGTGCATTCAGGACATTACCTTCAAATTAATGATGGTTTTCCAATAATTGGTGAGACGGGTACCTATACATTGGCTTTTGCCCTTAACTTATTTCAAGATCTCAGCCTTGGGTTTACTGTAGTTTTATATGCTGTTAGGGTCAATACTACTAAAATGTGAGTTTATGTTTGTTTTAACACAGTTTTTATGTAAAAGGTTTAAGTATAAGGTCGTAAAAATTAGATTTAAAGTTTTTGACAAAATGTCACGAAAGTTATTGGGATTTTTTGCAAAGCGTCACAAAATTGTTGATTTTTAAATTGCGTTTTTAATACTGTAAAAATGCTTGGAAACATGTTCTAAGACTTTTCAAGCCGGTAAACAAAGTGTCACGCAGGTTATTGGAAAATGTTGCGAAGTGTCACAAATTTAATCGGTCTTTTAAAAAAGCGTTTTAGCTTTTTAAATACGTTTTATATATGTTTTGACACATTTATTTCATTTTCAAACTAATTAGACGAAGTGTCACAGGATTTATTGGAAAATGTTGCGAAGTGTAACAAATTTTACCTTTTTGGTTTTTGTTACCGGTAAATTGCCTTTAATTAATGCTAAAGGGTTAAAAAATACGTTTTTGAAGGCTATTCTAAATTTTTAATTTGTTAAACGAAGTGTCACAAAAATTATTGGTTAATGTTGCAAAGTGTCACAAATTTTAACGATTTTTTAAATTGTTTTAAAATCAGTTTGTTTTAGGACTGGTGCTAATAATCCATTACATCACTTAGTCTACATAATATTCTACGTTTTACTGTCGATATTCACCGTATTTCAAGTTTATTGGTTTACTATGACAATATATCCGAAAAACGAGAAGGATGTTACAGTAATCGATGAGCTTTTAAAATACAACTTCAATTTCAATCACTCTTATATAAATTATCAAAAGAGTGATATGTATAGATTGGAATGTCTGCTTTTCTATAATATTATTCTATATGGCTGTATCACCTTGCTGACAATGTTTTGCTTGAGAAGAATCTCTGGTAATATGGACAAGTTAAAGTTACTACTGGACAAAGATCTACTTGTCATTCATGAAGAAGTCAATTACTCGGTTAATATTGCTGTAGGTTTTGTTTTGCTTAAAAGTTTAAAGTTTTTTTTTTTTTACGGTTCGGAGAGCGGTAGAGGAGGGGGCGCGGGAGGGGAGATATGGTAGGAAATGATAAGTTAGAGGTGAAGTAGGTAATGAGAACGAGGCATGTTATACATGTGTGGTATTTTTTTAAGTACTGCGATTTGGGAGTTTAATGGCGCCTACTAAGCCTAAACCTACCATATAAACCTAAGCTTACTAAGCCTACTAAGTCTAAGCCTATTAAACCTAAGCCTACTAAGCCCAAGCTTCCTAAGCCTTCTAATTCTAAGCCTATTAAACCTAAGCCTACTAAGCCTAATAGTTGTTAGCTAAAAAATACTAAGCCTAAGACTTGTTAGCCTAAGCCTACTAAGCTTAAATTGGCTAAGCCTATGTCTATCGTTCCGAAGCTTCCAAAACGTAAGCATACTAAGTTTACGCCCGCTTAAACTAAGCCTATTAAGCCTAAAATTACTAAACCTAACTCTAGATTTTTAGGCCTTAAAATATATTTTTTAATTTTATTAAGATATTTTTTCAGACCCTACTCTACGTCCTTCTCTTCGGCTTCCCTCTAACTATCTACCTCTACACTGCCGTAAATCTAGCTCCATTTACAATAACTCAGTTCGTATCTTCCATCACCTACTCTCTACTACCCATATGCTTCCCACTTGTCATAATGAGTGTATGTGGTGTGTATCGACGACTACTACTCAATATGTTCAGTTGTAATCAGAAAAAGTCGAGATTTTGGCCTCAGAAACAGCGTTTAACTCGAGTTTATTCGATTCAGGACTGCCATCTGCGCCCGAGCAAGTTAGATTGTTATCAACGAAACTATGTCATGCGGGTCTAAAATACGATATATGAAGCATATATGTACATATTTTGATGTTTATTTTATTAAAAAATGGCATTTTTGACAAATTTTGAAATTTAGACAAAAAAAAATATTTTTCGACCGGTCGATAAAATTTTTGTAGCTATATTGAATGTAAAATACGATATATCTGGCTCATACATATATATTTTGATGTTTGTTTAATAAAAAATGGCATTTTTAAAAAATTTTAAAATTTTGAAAAAAAATTTCGACCGGTCGATAATTTTTGTCGGCGTTTGTAAAATGTAAAATACGTTTTATACAGATATTCTAGTAAAATCAAAAAAAAGTTCTCAAAAAAATTATCGACCGGTCGATAATTTTTTTTCGAAAGTGTGTCAAAACTGGCCAAAATACCGTAACCACTTACCCATGCCTTCTCAAAAACTTGAAAAAAAACGTGGAAAGTAGCAATATCGGTTATCGGTTTCCTGTAATTATCGACCACTCAAACAGAAAACGGTCGGTTTTCTGTTTGAGTGGAAGATTAGGCGGAAGACAGGGGGGAGGGAAGTTGTTAGAAAAACTTGAAAAATTGCTTTATTTTGAATACAAATACAACGTGGATTGGAAGTAAACAAGAAGGCTCTTACCACAGTAAAATACCTTACTTTGCTTTAAGCTGCCTTACTTTAACTTAAACTGCTTTACAATACCCTACCCTATTCTACCCTACCCTACACTACCCTCCCCTACCCTACACTACCCTCCCCTACCCTACCCTACCCTACCCTACCCTACCCTACCCTACCCTACCCTACCCTACCCTACCCTACCCTACTCTACCCTACCCTACTTCTTACCTTACAATACTTCATCCTTACCATATTCACTTCTTGTCTTAAGCCACACTATACCCTCACGACAATATATCTTTACCACGCCTAAATTCAACTTTACTTTACCTTACCCTATCTTACCTTGCTTTACTATGCCTTTTGCCTACTTCTACTATAGTTCTACTGTAACCTATGTTAGCATAACTTACAGTATGTTTGTTTCTACCTTGTAACATACATCACTGTACCCCACTGTGTAACATTGTCCTACAATTTACCTTACCTAAACTTGTATTACCTCCCCTACGTATCATCCTATTTATGTTTACGTTATGAAGATGTCATTTGCTTGCGCACTTCCGGCGCTTTTCAAAGATTTTTTTTCAAAACGTGTAGCTGTCATTTGCAGACGCCGTGCTCCAGACGCCGCTTTCAGCCACGTTCAAAGCCGCCTTCCCGTCGACTATGGGTGAGTGGGCTTGGTTATCTACTAGAGGGGGGTTTATACTTACATGATATTGGACTTGTTTTACTGTGGTATTTTGTACTGTAAGCCCTTATAAGCTGCTTCTTTTAGGAGCCGACATAAAGAACCCGCCATACTTTACTTGTAATTTCTTGTAAAAAATGGTAGGTTCTTTATGTCGGCACCTGATATTAATGTTTACCTTGCCTTGCTCTTTGCCGATTTGTCATCATTTTTGCCTCATTTTCCACCGTTATGCCCTATCGCTTATACAGGGTGCGCCGAAAGTTCTGTTACTCACAATACTCACATTGCACTAACCCACCAAAAGCTTGCGTACCACACTGTAATTTAGATATATCACATCACAGTAGTTGTAAAAATGCCCACAAAACCCAAAAACTGTGTACCATTGAATCGGAATGACGAACGAAACCTATTCCGCCACATTCCACTGAATTCGGCTCTGATTGAGAACATGAACATGGGTAAACAAATAGTCATAGCTTGTGTTTTACTGTAAATTATTGTACTTGTTTGTACTGGTTTTGACGCACGTTGTATACTGGTTGTTTTGTGCTAACAATTTTTTAATTTTAAGCTTTACATACGTTTAAAAATGGCAAAAAGTTTAAAAAAAGTCAAAATTTTCGAGAAAAATTGTCTACTTTAAAATTTCATTGAGCTGTATCTTGGTTAATATACAACATATTAAAACAAAATTATAGTAACTTATACTCCATTTTATGCCCTTTAAAATGCATGTTTTAAATTTTAAATTTTTTTTTAAAAAATTGCCATTTTTAATTTTTTTTTGTAAGTAAGCGCCGTTTAAAGAACCAAGTAGGCTTGGGTAAAATACTGTAACTATATAACGGCTCCAATTTTTCAAAAGGTACTTTAGCGTGTTACTGTCATCAAAATGGGCTACCATTAACCGAAATTTGAAATTTAAAACTGCATTTTAAAAAAAGTTATGATTAAAACTTTAAGATTTTAAGCCTAAAATCAATCACTTTTTTTAAAAAAATAGTAAATAAATTTGTAACTCGTATTTTACATAAACCAAAAACTATTTCCAGCCCTCTTCCAAGAGATTAAAACCCGCCAAGAGGAGTTTATGCAAGGCTTCAACGCCGGTGATGCACACCGTGCTTCCCAAGTCTATGATAAGGACGGCTACTTCATGCCAAATGGCCATAGCCCGGTGAAAGGTCGTGAAGGAATCGAAAAATACTTTAAACAAGACATGGCTGATGGTGTTGTCTCGGCTCAAGTAAGATTTTTGATTTTTAGGCTTAAACTTTAAGTTGGTGACATTTTATACGTTGAAACATGTTTCTGGAAGTCATAGCAAGATTTAGCCTAAAAAAAAGAAAAAAAACTAAGAAAAAATGGCTAGTAAGAGACAAAAAATACAATTTCAGATCATAACCGAAGAAGTGAACGGCAGTGGAGATTGGGCGTTCGAGCGTGGCAGCTACCATTTGGACGGGAAACGCGGCACCGAATCCGGCGCGTATCTCCAGATCTGGAGAAAAATCGACGGTGTTTGGTTCATCCATAACGATTGCTTCAATGTCATTAAACCAGCTGAATAATTGCCATAGCTTTGGAATTTCAAATTTTAGCAAAATTTGAAATTTTAGCGATTTTCGGCTAAAAATGTTGCACTTTTTGTAGTTTTTGCTTAATAAACGAAATCAACGCAAGACTATTAATTTTTATTTGCCAAAAAAATGATACAAAAATACAAAATAATGGTTAATTCATTGTTAAAATGCAAGTTTTTGCCTAACACATAGGGTTTAAAAGGCCCCACCACGATTTATTGAAATGCTAAAACTATGGCATTGTGTTGCAAGACAATATTTTTTATTTTTGTTCAAGAACAATTTTAGATAGTTAAAACTGCTTTAAAAATGGCAGAAGAAGTATCTTCATTTAAAAAATTTTTGTATGAACTTCAAACTGACTGGGGAACCGGAGATTTGTACAGAGACACACCAATCAGATACTTGGGTATGTTGTTTTAGATCTGTCACTTGAATTTTAGGCGAAATCTTGTTGAGTTTTGGACTAATTAGCTAGAGCATTCTCTAAAGAAGCATTTGACAACATTTTTGTGGTTACAGGGTACGCAAACGAAACAGGAGAAGCTTTCCGGGCATGGGTACCACTATCAGTCGTGAGGTCAACGTATGTGGTCGCTTTTGGCTATGTTATCGCTGATACTTTGGATAAAACGCATAAAGTATACAAAGTAAGTTTATTTTTTGTTATATTTTTAAATTTTTAGGCAACATAGACTTTTATTTCGATTGAAACGAAGGAATTTTATATTACACTAGTGATTGGCTAATGGCCAAAATATCAAATTTAAAGGTCTGATATTTTTATTTCAGAAACCATTTGAAAACATAGCTGATAGATCAAAACAGATGGGATTAACGTTTTTGGACACGTTAGGATGGCAAACATTTGCTTCTGTGTTGATTCCTGGCTTCACCATCAATCGGGTCGTGGCGGCTAGTACTTATGGTCTTAAAAAGTGAGTTTTGGCAATTTTTGACGTAGGTTAATGATCTTTTCAATTTTTTTACATTTATCATAGTCTTCTGCTAATTTTCACATTAAAATTCAAGGGATTCGAGATTAAATTCAATACTTTTGATCTATGTCATACCGAGTTGTTAATAATTCTTTGTAAGAGCAAAATTTTTGAACAAACCACAATAAGCCTATTACTTTACTTATTATTTTAGATTAACAAAACTAGGTCCAACATCGGTAAAGCTATTTTCAACTTCAATGGGCTTGGCAACGATCCCCTTCATTGTTCGGCCGATTGATGCACTAGTGGAAGTTGGCATGGATCACACACTTAGGAAGTTATACAAAGTTGATAAACCTTATTTGAGCTAGTATTAACTTTTTTTTTTGAGTTAATCAGGGTTTCAATAGGTTTTTTATGGATTTTTATAATAAATTTTACTTTGATATCAGCCCCATGGGTAATATATTGAAATATCTTTTGTAACACGGCACGGACAACCCCTAAAATTTTGGCAAACTATCATCTAATACGTATTCTACAATTTTGTTAAACCGAAAGTTGTAAGGACTTTCTTTACACCTCAGAAAAACTAATTTCCTCCACCGAACAACAGGTGTCAATGACAATATAAATTTAGCTAAATAAAAGCCCATTCACCCGTTATAAAAATTTACTGTCGTTATTAACAATTAAAACAACATGCTACAATAGTACTCATCAAAACTAACACTAATTAAGACTATATTTGCATTAAATGCTAGATATTACGTTAACATGGTTAATATTATTAGAATACTTAATAACTTGAGATCGTAGTCTATTGATACCCGGTTAAGCGTGAGATTCGTCTGCCTTTTTGGTTAATTCCTGGGCCGCCTCCTTCTTTAAGGCTTCTCTGATTTGCTCTCCCTTCTCTGCCCATCTCTCGGCCTCTCTTTCTCTCGCGATCCTTCTCTTCTCTGCCTCTTTTTCCTCTCTTTGTTCCAACAATCTCTCTTTGGCCAACTTCCGGAACACCACTGGGATCAGGACCAACAATGAGATGCCAACAACCGCATAACTGAACAGTACTGGGACTGGAACTTCGTCCAATGGTCGATATCTCCAAAAACTCTTGGAATCATGCTGATCTCTCAAGTTCTTCATGAAATCCTTTGCCAAATTCTGGTAATGTCTAGTCTTGGGGGAATATATGGCTAATGGTTCGAAGATGTTTTGCTCGATCAGCTTCCATTTGATACCCATAACGCCACCGTATATGATACGACCGTACGTGGACATCATGATGCATACGAATGTGATGACAAATGAAAGGTAGGTGTCGTTGAAGGTTACGGCGTTGATCAGGTTTACCACATCCACCAAGCCTAGAGGCAGAATTCCGATAGTGAACGAGAAAAAGGCCAGGAAAAGGGCTCCAAGTCGAGACTAAAACAATATAATTCTTGGTTGAGTTGACACACTTTAAAACTTAATTAAAGCAAACCTAAGGCATTAAACAAGTTAAAATAAATTCCTTACTGTGCAGAAGACATCACTCAACGCGTATGTGTAGAAGATGGACAATGGGATTCGAGATGCAGCGATTGCCAACGAAAAAAACATTGGACCAATGTAAAACTCGGCTCCTTTGATGATTTTATCATAATTTCGAGTCAAATTCGATGCGTCTTGCTTGTCAATTGCTTCTCTAAAGTTAAAACAACATTATATCTAGCTAATCCACTAAAAAAATTTATCAAAAATACCTAAAAATGACTTTTAAAGCCAAAAATCCAATATTATAGTAGAGTTTCAACCAAATTTGACGGAACTTACACAACCATCCTAGATAACTCAAGAAAATTTTCAAATCGCTTTGTTATATATCCTCCCAATATCCTTTTGAATGCCAGATAATCACCGCCCGGCAGAAATGAGACTTTGATTGTGTACAGGAACATGGTTACTTGGTTAAAGTAAAGACGCTTGAGTGACGGTTCTTGATGTTGCTCTCCACCAAAGTAACGCAATGAACCAATAAGAAGCGCAATAAAGAGGACTAGAATCAGAGACCTAAAAATTAAGAGGTTAAGATGCTTAATTATTAAAAAATTATAAAATATTAACATTGGCAAGAAGGTACATCGCACGCTTTTGGCCATAACTTTTTTAAAACAGAAAAATTAAAAAATCTGTTTTACAAATAGTTAAAGTATTAAACAGTCCACAATTTATCCAAATTTCAGGCCAACACCTCCACTTTCAAAAAAGTTCTGTCACAAAAACAAGGTCAATACCTATATTTCTAGATGTTCCTCAAGGTTCGCTTAAAAGCACACAGTCACATACAGTCAAACAACATAAAATTGAACAAAAAGATACTCAAGACATCCCTCCAACTAATAAAACTCAAATCAGCTCAAAAATCCTCCATTCCCCCTCACTTCCATCAATTTTCCTATATTAGACTACCCAAAAATCGCAAAAACTTACCCACAAAGCCCTTTGAACGCGTATTTTCCAAGTTGTCTGAACGAATCCGTCACATACCAATCCCCATTATCTACAGCAGCTTCAAGAAGCTCCGTGTCCACGGCTTTCATCAACTCATCTGATTCTTTCTTATCCACCATCTTCGACTACAACAATATTCGGGACAAGTGAGAAAGTAAATCAACTGCCTTGAAGAGTAAAGTTGAGATAAATGGGGAACTGTTTGTGGAAATCTCAACACTAAATCCACGTTTCGACGTGCGGGTTCTAGAATTTTAGCGGAAAAATTTGAATAAGATGAGGATTTCTAGAAAATACGTCAGCTTGACATATTTTGACAATTTATCAAAGTTTTTAATCTAAAATTTTAATTTTTATAAAACAAAGATTTCACGACATTGCAGTTCACAAAGTTTTCAACTTTTTCAGCTTGTTATGTTTGCTATCACCATGACATATTTTCTGAACACCGTGGATCAGACGATTCTATAGGATATTTTTAGCTGTATCTCACTAACGAACACACCAAATCGCTTCAAAATTTGTATGTATATAGTATTTTAAGCATTCTTTCATCCTTATTTGAAAAATTTACAACAAAACCAATTTATTTAATAAATAATGTCACTAACAACAGAGATCATTGTTTATGAAGAAGGTGGAGTACGGTATGGTTGAAGTCAACACAAACCCAATGTGAATTAAGATGAGTGATGTGTAGAGTAACCTGAAACATCCTTTTTGCTCAAAAAATATATCAAACCAAATACCAAATGTTTACAAAGTAAAGGTCATAAATTTGTTTACAGATCAAAAAACTGCAAGAACTTTTTTTCCAAACTTCAAAAATGTCAGAATTTTCTTTGCAAGCTTAACCATATCAATAACTTTCATAAAAGCCCCTAAAACTGCCATTATTTATCATTTTCAATACCTGCAGGCTGCGCAACCCATATTATACGATGAAACATGTCCGAGAATTAAAACAAACCGCCAAATATTTCCTTCTCAACACTTACATTACAAAACACTGTTTCAAAATGACATTTCAGTTGATTTATCACCTCTTCCATACATTTTTTCTCATTAACTTTGGCAGTGATGACAGAGTTATATAACGCATAGTCATCATTAACATCTTCCGAGCAAAGCTCACTAAAACCATGGCATTTTAGGTAATCTAGAACATCTTCTGTTGAAACTTCTTTATTTTTAGGCCATAAATAGTTAGTAGAAGTCGGGGTTTCATCGAGTTTTATATCAAAATCAAAATGTTTGTCTAGTGTAATATCAGAAAAGGTAAGAGTTGGTTGTGTTTGGTCGATTTGTTGAGACTTCAGGTAGAGTGGGCTAGTCCAGGGTGCGGGCGAGGTCGCTGGTGAGGGGATTGGCATGGATTGTGACCGATTTGATGCGTTGCTCAACCACCGGACGATACTTGGCGTCGACTTTAGTGTTTTCAAGTTCTTCCAAGGCCTCGAAGCCATCGATTACTCTAAAATAAGGCAATGTTACCGTATTATATTCTGAAGAAAATGTCATGAAAGAGCATAAAAAGTTTTTAAACCCCTAACAATATAAAATCTAAGCCTAAAAATATAAAGAAACGCGCCTAAACTTACTAAACCTAAGCCCAAGCCTAAGCCTAAGTCTAAGCCTAAGCCTAAGCCTAAACCTAAGCTTACTAAGCCTAAGCCTACTAAGCCAACGCTTACTAATTCTAAGCCTACAAATTGTAAGCCTACCAACCCTAAGCCAACATTTACTAAAGCTAAACCTAAAAGACCTTATCAACCTTATGAGCCTAAGCCTACCCACTCAGCTAAATAAAATGACTGTAAACCTAAAAATAACAAAAAACAAAACGTGTAACACACCAAAAAAGCGTATATTTTACCATGTTTTATACTGGTAACTTCTTTTTTTTACACTCCAAAAAGCACTTGCTTTATTACTACTTTGATAAACTTGAGAAGCTCCGCCCACTTTTCGCAACTTTTGCAAGACTTCTAGTTCAAAAGTATGTGAAAAGTTTTTAAAATGTCTGGCATTCACGTGTTCCATCACATTATTAGTTATTAGTTTGTTCAAAAAACTGAGCCACTTTCAAAGCGAAGCTTCAAGGCACCCTAGCTCAAAACTTTTTGAACGGATTAATATTTATAAAAATGCCAAAACTTATACAATGTAGCAAAAAATTTTCGTATTTTACAAAAATTAGAACATCTGTGCCAAAGGCTACACAAAAAGTACAAAGAAGTCTGGCAAAAGTGACTTACTTCCCAAATACAGTGTGCTTTTCATCCAGCGAAGGCTGCTTGTCATAGGTAATGAAAAACTGAGATTTGTTGGTATTCGGACCGTTCGAAGCCATTGACACAATTCCTCTAGCATTGTGCTAAAAATTTGAATTTATTTTATGATTTTCAAAATTTTCAATTTGAAATTTTTTTAAAATTTCAAAAAAATCAGCTTGGTCCTGTGGAACATTTTTTCAAAAAATATAATTTTTTAGCTAATATTTTTGATTAAAATAATAAAAATAGAATCAAAATACTACGATTTCATCCCTTAACCCCATATCATCAAAAAAAAATTTTCAATTTAAAAAACTTTCAAAATTTCAAAAAAAATCAGCTTGGTCCCCCCCTGTGGAAGTTTTTCGAAAACTTTCGGTTTTTAACAAACATTTTTGAGAAAATCTATAAAATCAAAGTTAAAATACGTCGCGGCTGGTTTTTCCAACCAAATCTTCAACAGAAACAAGTTTCAATTTAGAAAAATTTCCAAAAATTTTTAAAAAAATCAGCTTGGTCCCCCCTGTGGAACTTTTTTTTCAAAAAAATCGCTCTTTAGCTAATACCTTCGATTAAAACAACAAAAATAATATTAAAATACCACAACTTCATAGTCTGAACCCATACCATCAAAAAATTTTTTTCCGATTTAAAAAAATTTTCAAAAAAAAAATCAGCTTGGAACTCCTGTGGAACTCAATTCGAACATTTTTCAGCTGATATCTTCAACTAAAACAAGAAAAATAGACTGAAAATACTACGACTTTATCTCTTAAACCCATGCCATCAAAAATTTTTTTTTTAATTTAAAGTTTTTTTTAATATCGAAAAACTTTGGTCCCCCTTTCCAAAAAAACACAAAAAATTTTTGAAAAGCTGCCATTTTTGGCCCTAGCCCTAGCTTTATTCCTCCCCTAAACATTTTCCCTTGACACACTTCAAAATCCCCTTCAATTTTGAATAGCTAAAGTCTACTGTGTCTTGTGTTCTCGTTTTTATCGCAAGTCACAACCCGAACACAACGTTCGCGGTCATAATTCACGTTTGATCAGAGTCAGCGTTCCGCAAAACGTTCGTTTTGGCGTTCCGAATGTTTCCAGTACTTTGAGTGGATTATACTGGTCAGGGCCGGGCGGGGACTTTTGGTCTGGGAGCGGGGGTCCAAAAAATCGGCACCTGTGCCGATTTTTTGCGAATTTTTTTTTTTCGAAAATCCACAGGGGGACCACGTTCAATTTTTTTCAAAAAATTTTTTTTCTGGGGGGGGTACCTCGCGCCCGGCCCTGATACTGGTTATCAGGGATGTCGCTAGGGGTAGGGGTGAAAGGTCGTATTTTACTTTTAAAACAATGTTCTTTTCGTAAAACTTTAAAAATTTTAAAATATCAAAAAAATTTCAAAAATTCGAAAAAAAAATTAAAATTTCAAATTTTTAAGCTATGCCAACTCATACCGTCAAATCAGCCGAAATCTCGTCCTCAAATGGAGCTCCAAAGACGCTCTGACCGCCTTTGCCCGTATTGGTTGGATCGCCGGTTTGAACGATGAAACTCTTGATGTTGCGATGAAAAATGTTGTTGTTGTAGTAGTCTGTTCCGCATAGTGCCATGAAGTTCTGAAAAGCAAAAAATTTTTATTTTTAATTTTTAAAAATTCAATTTGTCATAAGATTTTAATAAATAAAGCCTAAACTCTAATTTTTAAGTCTTAATTTTAAGATACACAAAACTTTAAGCCTAAAGTCTATCCTAAAACAAAAATGAAGTTTCGTTAAGCCAAATCCTAAAAAACCACGATTTATTAAGCCTAAAAGTAAAAAAAAACTAAAATGTTTATAAGCCTAAAATAAAACCAAACATTTCATTAAAAGCCTAAGCCTAAAAAATAAATTTTTGTATAATTTTAAGCCTAAAAATACAATTTTTTTAATAAGCATAAACCTAAAAACAATTTTTTTGAGACTAAGCCTAAAAACACCATTTTTTATAAGCATAAGCCTACAACAGCAATTTTTTATAAACCGTAGCCTAAAAAATTAATTTTCTTCTAAGCCTAACACAAAAAAAATCAATTTTTAATAAGCCTAAGAAAAAAATTAAGCCTAACAAACGTAAGCCTTTTTTTTTAAAATATTTTAAAAGCCTAAGCCTAAAAAAACTATTTACTTCGAACTTTAAGCCTAAAACCCCCATAAATTAAAAAACCAATCCAAATCAAAATTTAACCGAGTTTATAAGATCAAGATCTAGAACCGATATGAAAATGAACACGTTTTCAAACATAATACACTACGACTACTACAATATCATAATTAGGCGACAAAGTTCTTGAGCTGTCTCAATTCTTGAGCTTTCCGCATTTTGACAATTTCGAGGACGATTTTGCGTTTGATTGCTTCTTGTTTCTCGTAGGCTAGTTGAGCTTCGGATACTTGGCGTGGCTTCGACGGGCCTGGCTGGTTTGGGTCTTCCGACTGGGCTGGAGGAGTGGGTTGAGCTTGTGAAGATTGTGGAGTAGAGGTAGGGGCTTCTGAAGGAGTTGTAGTTGATTTAGAGGCTTCTGAAGACGTCTTAGTGGCTTGTGAAGATGTTTTTTCGGCTTCTAAAGATGTTATAGTAGATATAGAAGCTTCTGATGAAGGTTTAGGGCCTTCTGAAGGCTCCTGCAAGCTTTTACTGGCTTCTACACGTTGTGACGAACCTGAATCTTCCTTAGCTGATTCTGGTTGATTTTGTTCATTTGAAGTCGATTCTGATGGTTTTTCTTCTTGTTTCTTAGCTTCTTCACCTTCTTTCTTAACTTGTCCTCCTTCTTTAACATCTTCCCCATCTTTTCCACCTTCTTTCTTAGCTTCTTCACCCTCTTTCATACCTTCACCACCCTCTCCTTGACTACTATTACCCTCCTTCTTCCTCTCCTCAAGCTTCTTCACCTCCACTCTTCCATTCCCACCACTTCTGACATCAAACCCTGGGTAGACCTTCGGCTTCTCACCAAACATCTTCTCCAACAAAGGGTAATTAAAGCCTCCTGAGTTCATGACCCGACCAGTAACTTGTCTTATGAAACGACAATTCTCCTGTGTAGCCATGACTTCTGACCTCATATTCCAGTCCTCGACTCTTTGTGGTATGAACGTGCTGTACTGGTTGTAAATCTTGTTTCTTCTCGCAGTTTCAGCTCCATCGTCATGACTCTTCCTTAAAATGAAGTCCTTGACCATCACATCCAAGTAGTTCGCATTCTTCTTCACCTTGTACTTGTTATCAGCGTAGTCGATTTTGAATACCCGTTTGATTGCATGGCCTGGCACCAGGATTGTGGCAAGATTGCGTTTGTATCGTAGACAAGATGGAGTAAACTCGTCCGTCTCCTCTTCACGCCAATACTCAAACGCTTGATTTAAGATCAAATTGCCCGACTTGTCCACTGATTTCATTTGGCCGAGGATAGATCGGCCATCGAACAAGTCTACGCGAAGATGGTTGTCCATTAGGGCAAAAAGGAAGGTTGATCCAACTTCTAAAATAGCGTCTTATTAATCAAAATAGTATTATGACACTTAAGAATTCTATTTTACTTCACTTCTCGTTGCTAGTCAATCAAAAAATGGCAAAGAATTAGATCAATGAACCCAAAATGAATATTTCAAAAAGTGGTACGGTAAAATTACTGTAACTCCACTAATATTCAAAATTAAAAACTGCCTCTTATAGAATAGTTAACAATAAGAATAACCTATACTCACACAAAATCTCACCTCTAACTTATGTTTAAGAAACGTTATGATTAAAAGTTCTAGAGGTCTACATCTATCTACTATAATATCGTTTTTTGGTTAAAAAAACCTTAATTTTAACAATTCTAAATTTTACGAACTAAAATATAAGTACCCTAAGCCCTACGGCATTAAAATCTCAACAAACTACAAACAAAAAAAATAAAAAACTGACCAATAGGAACTTCTTTAGCGTCGATATCATCCATACCCTCCCGACGAGAAGTTTCTTTGCTCCTAATGTGAAACAGTTCAATATCAAACTCTTCAGGCAATTGGAGGTCATATTTCAAGCATCGTACGTCTTCTTCCGATACCAGCTTCTTCTCTTTTCGAAATTGTTCCTCAGCCTTTGGCAATGGTTCTAACACAGCCTTTTTGAACTCATCCGCATGTTCAAACGCGTAGAAATCCGAAGAACTTCCTTTTTGGCCCTAGAGAAGTAAAAAATAAAAGAAATTTAGACTTACGGCCTTTGGCTGATTCTGATTCTTCCGCCGCTGAGCTCCGGACTTTTTGGGCGGCATGATCAATATCCGATGTTGAGATCTTAGTGCTCCTGAAGCCAATAGACGTAAATACATCATGTAAGTACTAACAAACATTATAACAACACAAAAACAACAAGAAATTATTTTTGAAGCGTTAAATATCGAAAACGATATTATTCTTCTCATGGATAAGATAAATTTCCTAGCCAAAACTTTATTGTCAATTCTTTACAATCATAAGCTTAAAAGATAGTTAAAACAAATCCTCAAACAACTCAAAACAATATTTGTCATAACTTTAAAGTCCAAAACAATCGGCTACAATTTAAAACATCTAAAAACACAAGAAAAACAAAGAAAAATCAACGTACTTCACAAGTTAATGGGCACTTCTCGCAGAACAGCTCAATTTTGATATCTCCAGCAGTTGTGTGAAGTGTTACAGACATATGAAACCAGGAAAAAGTTCAAGAGTTTCCCAAATTCAGGAATTTCCGCCAAAAATGCTGAAAAAAATCGGAATACCAAAGGGTTTTGGCGGCCTTTGTTTTCGTTTCGAGAGCGAGAAACGAATAACGTTGTGTTATGAATACATATTGAAGCACGTTGGGTCTCTGTTTGGGTATGGGTAAGGGTAGGGTAAGGTAACTTAAGGCTAGGGTGAGTAAGATAAATTAAAATTTAGGCAGTCTAAATTAAGGCTAGGGCAGGGCAACTTAAGGCTAGTGTAGGGTAGGGTAAATGAGGCTAGGACAGGGCAAAATAAGGCATGGGATGGGTAAATTAAAGCATTGATAGGGTAGTCTTAAAATAAAGATTGAGTAGAGCAAATTAAAGGTAGGAGCTATTCGCCCGTACATAAGTTGAAAAAAAAACAAAATTAAAATTTTATTAATCAATAATCAATTACAACATACCACAAAAGTTATGAATTCGCTCGTACATTAGTTAAAAAACTATTTAAAAAAAACAATCTAAATACAAGTATATATTGGCATAGATAATATAAAGTATATGAATTCGCTCGTACATAAGTTCAATAATATAATAGATACAAATTTTCAAATTGTTCGTACATAAGTTGATAATAATTTAGCAATTTGCTCGTACAAAAGTTAGACAAAATAAAATTGAAAAGTTATGTTTTAGCTATATAACATAGAATTTAATAATTCGTCCGTACACAAGTTGAAAAACCATATAAAAGCAAAAATTCAAACTCTATGTATATATTGTCATATATAACATAAAATCAGTCAATTCGCTCGTACATAAGTTTCAAAACAAAGCAAAAGTAAAAAACTATATATGTTATAAACAGTCGTATATCTCAACAACCGTACACCCCGACAGTCAACCACACAATACAATCGTATGGATTCAACAACAAGTCGGTAATTAAACCACTTGCAAAGTCAAATACTGGGGTAAAGGCCGCAAGTACGGTAACGTACAAGCATAAACGTGCTATCCGAAACCGGAGACGTATAATATAGTACATAGTACTGAAAAATGTCATAGTTACATACGGTACTATTTATAGTACTAAAGGCTGTCGTAGTTACATATAGTACTTTAGGTAATACTAAAATTGTACTATATAGTACGTTTATTATACTTGCTACAGTATAGTATGAAAACGAAGCACCAATTCGTTTACATACATAGTACTCTCACAATACGCCATCAAAATCACAGTACTCCCACAGCACGATAGTAATCACATACTATCAGAGCACTCCCACAGTACTCTTACGGGTAACCACTCCGTATAATAGCACTCCCACAGTACATAAACGGTTGACGAGACCGTATACAAGCGCTCTCACAGCACTAAATGCATCAGCATTATAAAAGCACGTACTCGCATATACAAATGAGCGTACACAACCATATAACGCACCTTTCATTTTTACAGATACGTGTAAAAGCATGAAAAAAGCCCGTAACTGCATCGACAAACCGAGGTTTATAATTGCGAGGATCTCGTATTCGTACTGACAAATCTATGTAGACGCTATTGCGTTTCGATAAAACTACCGAACTGAACGCGCAACCTACTATGTAATTCGGTTCTGACGTCTTCTACTTTCACGAGATGCGTAAAATCGGGATACCGAGGTAGAGATCTAAAACATATTTTATTTCTAAGTTTTTACTTTAGTCACCTCCCGCTAGTTGCGTAATGTTAACATTGATTTTTTGAATTTTCGTGCAGAAAACCAAAGCTTTGAGAACGCTAAAGCATGCCATTTGTTGTTTTTGAGGGTTGGAAGGCGGTTGGCTTTTAATTTTGAGTGTGAGATACACGGCTTGGGAAACCGTACTCACAGTACTATATAGTACGAGTGGTAGTGACAGTATAAAAAAGAGTTTAAAGTTAATATGACAGTACAAATACAGAACAAAAGTCAAAGTAAAATGAGATATACGGCTTGAGCAACCGTTATTTACTCAACGTGCTATATAATAAATGTGGTAGTGACAGTACGATACAGAACGAAATATGTCAGAAATACTCTCAAAATGACATTTTAAATGAGATATACGGCTTGAGCAACCGCTATATACTCAACGTGCTGTATAAATAGTAAAAACAGTGGTACTGACAGAATCTTTTTAAAAAGATATACGGCTAGGACAACCGTGAAATACCCAACGTGCTATATAGTACGGGCGGTAGTGACATGATAAAAGCGCTTGACAGTACGAATACAAAACGAAAGTCAAAGTAATATGGTTTATACGGCTTGAGCAACCGTTATATACTCAACCTACTATATAGTACGAGTGGTAGTGACGATACAAATACAGAACGAAAGTCAGAATATATGTCAGAAATACTCTCAAAATGACATTTTTAATGAGATATACGGCTTGGGCAACTGTTATATACTCAACGTACTATATAGTACAAACTGTGGTAGTGACAGTACAATACAGAACGAAAGCCACATTATATGTCAGAAATACTCTCAAAATGACATTTCTAATGAAATATACGGCTTGAGCAACCGTTATATATCCAACGTGCTATATAGTACGATTGGTAGTGACAAAGTAAAAAGGGTTGGCAATACGAATACAGAACGAAAGTCAAAGTAAACGAGATACACGGCTTGGGAAACCGTTATATACTTAACGTGCTATAGAGTACGATAGAACGAAGATCAATATATATGTTAGAAATACTTTCAAAATGACATTTTTAATGTGATATACGGCTTTGGCAACCGTTAAATACTCAAAGTGCTATATAGCACGATACAGAACAAAAGTCAAAGTGTAATGAGATATACGACTTGAGCAACCGTTCTATACTCAACGTGCTTATTATAGTACAAATTGCTACAATATAGTATGGTCTATAAGTCCTGACACGAAAACAAGTAAACGCCAAAAGTTTTGGCGTTGTGTCTTATTATTGCTTTAATTTTCGGCCGAATTTAACGCTTGAAATTATCCAAATTGTTTTGTTATAACGTGTTTTTATGTATACATCGTGATCTTTGAACTATATCCAACGTTTCTTAATTTCAAAATTTCAGAAATTCAATTGTTCGACTTGGGATAACATGTGAAAGGACTACTGGTTATCACAGGTTCGAATCTTTTGTGTTTTTTATTTTTCTATCTTCTAGAAACAAATATTATAGTTTCACTTTTCTTACCTAACCTTACTCCTCGATTTCAGCGCTATTTCGTTCATAGTTATTGTAAAATGCTTCGTCGACTTGCAAATTCACTTGATTTTGCTCGGGCGGCAATCGCTTTCAAGTGGTCGAGGTGGTCGCATACACCAACAAATATGTCATTGAGTCATTTGGAGGATGTCGACCGACTGAGTGAACGTGTCATCCGAGTTTTGGGCCAAAATCCTAGCTCATTTACTCTTCAGGGAACGAATACCTATATTGTTGGTACTGGTCGAAAGTAAGTTAATATATCTTTGTTGTTTTTTGTGTTTAGGTGTGTAAACAACAGTTTTTGGATTGCTAAGAGATTGGTCTTTAGTAGTTTTTAATTAAATTAGCTTTGTCTTCTTTAGTTTTTCCGAATTTTGGCTTTGAATGTTGTTATAGACATCAGATATTGTATGTCGTCGGCTTTTCGATTTTTCTGTAAAACTATTCAAATTCAGTCCGTGTTCTTCAAACATGACACAAAGAAGATACTATTCAACAAAATCAGCTAAAAATTACTACGAAGTTCTTGGTGTAAAGCCGTCAGCGACCGTGAGAGAGGTGAAGACAGCTTTCTACCAGTTATCTAAAGAACATCATCCAGATTTGAATCCAGACAAAGCGCACGATTATTTTCAAGACATAGTTAATGCGTATGAAGTTTTGTCAAGCAAAGAGAAGCGTTATATGTATGATCAGACTTTAAAACCAGCAAAGAGTACGACGCAAACACCTACAACCACTTATGCTCGAAGATCAACAAGGCCGAAGCGAGAATACGAAGATTTGGATTTGAACTACGACGATTTTATGGAATTTCAGAAGCAAACAAGGAAGAGAGGTTACATAAAGGATGAGGACATTCCTGACCTGTTCTTTAGGAAGTTTGGAGAACATAAGGCAAATATTTATATTGTAGTAGGTTAGGTGAGCTATTAGGTCGTTTTTGAAGACTTTTATTTCAAAAAATTGATGTGGCTTTGTTCTTAAAAGCTTTATAAGGATAGATAAGAAGTTGTTGACGCAAAAGCTGTCTGTTTAAGCTGACCAATTAATTTGCAGTTCAAAAAACGTACCGCAGAAGATGCCAAGTACTATAGTGTTTACAAAGACAGTCTGCAAGAAGAACGAGAAGTCAGGGAACAAAAGATTATAGAGGAAAGAGAAAGGAAAAAAGCTGAAGAAACTAAACATGTACCTAAATTCGAAGAAGAATTGTTAAAAAGCAAGCAGAAAGACAAAAACATGATGTTATACATGATATCAGGTGTTGTTGTTGGGATAATACTTGTTGTTATGTCGATATTCTTGCGATAGCTGATGGTTAATAATGTTGTACTTGATTTTAGACTATTTTAGGACATATTATGTTGTATTATAGATGAATTTAATAAATTTTTTGATCCAAAAACTGTTGTTTATACCTTTTGAGGGCTGTACTGGCTATGATAATATAAAAAAGCTTTGTAAAAACGCATTGACTGAATTTTAATGGTTTTTTCTGGTAAAATAGATAATATAAAATTGAATTTTAATTGTAAAATGAAAGTTTTTTCCTTTAGGCGAGTCCTAATAGACACAGGAGACGGTGGGATTCAGAAGTACGTTGACCTACTGAAGAAGGTTCTTAGCGAAAATGAAGCCGAGTTAGAGTCGATTGTCATTACTCATTGGCATCCAGATCATGTTGGAGGAATTAGTGATGTCAGATCGGCGTTTGGCAAGAATCTCGAAGTTTTTAAGCTCACAAGAGAAGGGGTAAGGTTTGTAAAGAAAGTTTTTGCAAAATTTATTTAAAATTTTAATTTTGGAAAGAAAGTTCTTGCATAAACTAAGAAATTGTGAAAAATGCCATTTTCTATCATTGTAAACAAAGTTATTGCCAAGAAATCAATTTCTGCGCCGTGCAGCGCCATTTGTTTTCTTTGCACAGTGCGAAAGCGCGATCCCGTTCGATCTGGCAAGTTAAGCAACGGTGCGCTTGATTATAAAAAGTTCGAGGAACACTGGGTGGAAACAAAGTTTTTGTCATTTTAAGGCATGTCTGGTATAAACTTTGTCATTTTTTCAGGTTTGGAAAGAAAGTTCTGGTCATTTTTAAGTTTGTAAAGAAAGTTCTTGCAACTTTTTAGTTTGTAAAGAAAGGTTTTGCCATTTTTTGTCTTAAAAACAACTTTAACTATTTTTGATTTCAGCACGATGAAAAGTCGATTTGTGACTACAAATACGTTGAAGACGGCTACAAAATTAAAGTAGAAGGGGCGACATTGAGGGTAGTAGCTACTCCAGGTCACACGGCCGATCACGCATCGTTGTTCTTGGAAGAAGATCAAACATTATTCAGTGGGGACTGCATTTTAGGTATGAAAATGGTTTATATTTTGGGATTCTTGGTGTGTAAAGAAGTTTTTTGCCAGTTTTTGTTTTGGAAAAAAAGTTCTTGCCATTTTGTATTTTGGGAAGCAAGTTTTGACTATTTGTTATTCTGTAAAGAAAGTCCATTTTCTGTAAGCAAACTTTTTTTTCATTTCACTATCTTCAGGAGAAGGCACCACAGTATTTGAATGTCTCCATACCTACATGAAGAGTCTAGACGACCTTTTGGCTTTAAATGCGGCAAAAATTTACCCAGGCCATGGTAAAGTCGTAGATGATCCAAACGCCAAGATTACTGAGTATGTAGGACATCGTATGTTGAGGGAGAATCAAATCCTGGAGGCGCTGAAGAAAGTCAAGGACGCTACACCAATGGATCTGACTAATTCTGTGTATCCGGTAAGAATTTTTGAAATTTGGGTAATGGAAAGAAAGTTTTTGTCATTTCTTGTTTTGTAAGGAAAGTTCTTGCCATTTTTTGTTTTGTAAAGAAAGTTTTTGCTATTTTGTCTTTTATAAAGAAAGTTCTTGCAGGACATACCACTGTCGGTTAAATTGGGTGCATTGGGTAACGTTAACCATCATTTGAGCAAGCTGGTCAAAGATGGTAAAGTAAAACAAAATTATGATGGATCCTACCAACTTAACGACAACAAGTTGTAAACACAGTTTTTGCCATTTCTATTTTTTCTTGCCTTTAATTTTTATGCTGTACTAAATTTGCAGTACCTTTAACAAATCCTGCACTGTATAGTAGTTTATGGCGTATGATGATAACGGTAACCCATTTTTAAAGTATACAGTAGCAAAAAATCTTGTTGTACCTTCTTCTGTAGTTAAAATTTTATTTTATTTACCTAAAACAGCCTTATATTTCTTTACCGTAGTCTAAAATCGCCTTATATTTGCTTACCGTAACCTAAAACCGCCTTATATTTGTTTACCATAGTCGTATCCTTACACGTACTTACCATATCACCTGTTTATCATATAAACTTGAACTAGCAAAACTATTCGTAAACTAATAAAACTGTTTATTTACAATAAAACTCTGATTCGAATGCAACCGAAAGTTCGTCGAAAACAAACCCAACTTTACAATAACATATTGCAAGATATACAAGCTTAAATAACCTACAATACAAAGAAGGTATAGATATATATGACAAAAAATTTGGAAAGGAAAATATTTATGAAAACAAGATGAAAAAGAAAATATTGATGGTTTTAAAAAATCTGAAAGATAAAATATGTTCGCAATGAGATCAAAATACAATGGTTTTTGCCTTAATTCATATACTTCAAAAATATACCTAAAAACCATCAAAAACACTATAGTAGAAGATTTAAAATAGCCAGCACATATACAGTTGACATTACACTACTAAAGAGTAACTTGAAGCATCAAAAAAGCTTTCACGCTTCTTGACATTGGCTTAATGAACTTGTTTACACAGGTGAACTTGGTCATTAAATTAATGTCACTAAGCGTGAATGGTTTTTTTGATCCTATAGGGGAAGTTATGCTCAAAATTTTAAGCAATGAACCTCGAAAATTAAATAAAGAAGCTTTGGAAATATTCAAATTTAAACCAAGAAACTTCAGGACCATAGTACGACGCTGTGTAGCTTTAAAACGAACTACATACTACCTGGAAGCATCAAAAAATCTATCCACGCTTCTTGACATTGGCTTAATGAACTTGTTTACACAGGTAAACGTGGTCATTAAATCAATGTCATCAAGTGTGAATGGCTTTTTTGACCCTACAGGGTAACCTATGCTCAAAATTTTAATTAACAAGCTTCAAAATCGAAATCAAGAAGCGTCAGACCTATAGTACAAAGTTTTGTAGCATAACAAACCCTAGCAAATAAGGTATGCCTTCCCAGACTAATAGAATAAGCCCTTACTGTTCAACCTTCCGTACCTTACGGTAATGCGTCCATAGCCTTCCCAAAGACGGAACACCAATAATAAGAGTTTGGCAGAACCATTTAGCTCCACAAACGTGTGTCGTATCTAAGGCATGACAAATGTAAAGGGCTGTAATGGCTTCACAAACGTGAATGAAAGCGGTGAGCAACAGAATACCAAAGTAGAAGTTGTATTCGGCTCCAAGGGTGTATAGGAATTGGCTTAGTTTACCCATGTTGACTGCGAAGAACAGGTCAGGTTTGTAGATTATGGCTAGTAGGCCGGCCGCGCAAAATATGGTGACTATAGTACCAATAATTTCTGGAGTTTCGTAGTAATTGTTGGCTTCAGGAGAGGGTTTGAGTGAGCGATTCAAGGCGTTTGGTCCCACCTGGCTCTTGGCTTCGAGGTTAGAGGGCTGTGTGGTAAGATTTTGGTCGGCTGAACCCGGTTTTGGAAGGGCATCAGGTGTATTAGGCTTACTGGGAGGTAAAGTAGCGTCCGCATTAGATAAACCAGGGCTGACTGGATTACGGTCGGCAGGTGAATTAGGATTAGCTTCAGTTTTAACAGCCCCAGCTTCAGAATCCATAGAGAGCTGTGATGAGATGGTAGAGGCGATTGATTGCGTTTCACCTGGATTCACAACTTTAGTTAATATTGTTGTAGGCACGTAACGACAGTTCATAAAACGGCGCGCTTGGATTGTAAAGTGATGTCCCATTAAACTGGAAGAAAGAAAGGCGTTAGGAGGTGGTAAAAATTTAAAAAAAGTAATTTTGGGGAGGGGGGGGGGCAAGTAATATTTAAAAAAGTTTTACTCCCCTCCCCTACCTTTTTTACTTAAAAAAAGAGGGGCAAGGGAGAAAAAAAATCGTTGACCATCCCCCTCTTTTCAATGGTTTACCCTACCCTACACCAAATTTCACGACCAAAGGCGGGGGATGACCGTTAAACGATATATATATATCGCGATATAAACCTTTAAAGTACAACATCTAAACGATCAAGAATGTTGATATAGATTTTAATATAGAAAATATATTGTTTTTAGTACAATAAACTAGCTTTTTGACACCTGAAAAACAACGGTATTTCATTGGATTTAAACTTTTTTTCACCGGTCGATTTCTAAACTTTGAAATGTTGCTATCTCTAGTATATTAAAAAAAGAAAGTTAAGTATTCTAACATAGTGTACTTTGAAATAGCTATTCATAAGGTGGTGGGTTTAAAATGACGTTTTTTATAAAAAACATACTCGTCGTATAACTTGGCACCCTCGGCCTGCGCACCGGAAAGATCAAAAATCAAGAAATTTTAGGGCTTGGAAAGAAAGTTTTTGGTGTTTTGAGTTTTTTAAAAAAAGTTCTTGCCATTTTTTGCTTTGTAAAGAAAGTTTTTGCCACTTTTTGTCTTGTAAAGAAACTTCTTGCCATTTTTTGTTTTGTAAAGAAAGTTCTTGCCATATTTTATTTTGTAAAGAAAGTTCTTGCGGTTTAAGAAACCCTAAAAATGATTTTTTAACCTTAAACTGGGCTAAAACCCCCATTAAGAAGCTTAGAATCCCTATAGAAGGCCAAAAACACCCCCTCAAACTCACTTCTTTGCCATAGTCATGATGCAAATGTAGCCAGGAATAAACCTCTGCGACTCCTCCTTCAGAATCGCATTCACAGCGGCAGTAGCACATCGATTAACCGACATAAACGGTATAAATCGACTGGTTGGTCGCATTCCCATGTCCAAAATCATCGGAGTTCGAACGAAGAACGGGTACAAAGTGGTACACTTGATACCGTCTAGTCCTCGATCCATCATTTCACAGCGAATACTCTCCATGATTCCGCGGACTGCGAATTTAGATGGACAATATGCCATGCCATAGGTCTCGCCAAAGTAGCCGCAAATCGATGACATACACACGATTTGGCCTTGGTTTCGGGCTTCGAAGTCTGGCAGGAAGGTGCGAATGGTCTGAAATATGAAGCCTGTTAGAAATTTTGAAAATGTAGCAAATGGCTCAGAGTTAAAAAAATTTTAAAGTTGCCCTACCATATCTTACTCTACCCTAACAATTGTAAGCTTTGTATGACTTAACTTACTCTACCCTAACCCGAAGGAATTCGAAGTAAAATCCCAGCACTCGCAATCATTTGTTGGGTCGTTTTACATCGAGGCAAGTATTACAAAAGTAATCAATATTACATAAGAAAAAGTTGCGTAATACGATTTTTTACAATTTCTCTAAGGCTATTCAATTATATAATTATATCTTTAAGATTAAGTAAATCCGATAGATTATTGTCTCATTTTTTTAGGGTAGGATAAAGTAGGGTAGGGCAAGGTAGTGTAGGGTAAAGTAGGGTATGATATGTTAGGATAATGTAGGGACAGTAGGGTAGAATAAGATACATTTCTAAATTAAGGATAGAAAAAGGAAACTCACATTAAGAACCCCCATGACGTTAACGTTGAAAGAACGTTGTAGCTGTTCATTTGTGAGCTCCATTGTGTGGCCAAAGTACAAAATTGCGGCGTTACAGATGATAATGTCTACTTTATCTGAATTTATGTTTGTAAAGAAAGTTCTTGCAATTTTTTGCTTTTTAAAAGAAAGTTCTTGCGTTTTTCTGTTTTGTAAAGAAAGTTCTTGCCATTTTTAGTTTTGTAAAGAAAGTGCTTGCCATTTTGGCTAGACATACTTCTAAAATGTCATATTCAAAAAATAAGCCTAAAACTTACTAAACTTGACCTTAATCTCCTCATAACAAGCCTCCAAAGCCTTGGTACAAGTCACATCACATCGAAAAGCCTCAGCCTTTCCACCCTTAGCCTTAATGTCATTAGCAACTTCAGTAGCCTTTTTTAAATCAATGTCCAAAATGGCAACATTGGCCTTCTTGTCCAACGCAAAGATCTCTGCCATTCTTTGACCAATACCCGAGGCTCCGCCCGTTATCACCACCGTCTGACCTTCAACATTCTTTTCTTTCAACGTCCAATAACGCCAGATATCCTTTGGCAGGTAAACCAGAAGAAGGTTGAGGAAGAATGATAAGGAAGCCACGATCTTGCCTTCTTTCTCCTTGTGAGAGCCCATTTTGGCCTGGAAATGGAAATTTTTGAAAATATGAAAAAAAAATGAAATTTAAAAATTAAAAAATTTTAAAAAGGCTCAAAATTGTAAGTTTAAAAAAAGTTAAGGCTTGATAAACAAAAATAGACGATATGGTATCTTATACTAGGCGAGAACAGGATTATATAAAAGTATGGTAGGGTAAAGGTATATACGAAGAGGTGGGGTAGACTAGAATAAGATTAGTAAGGTGAGGCATGGCACGCGAGCTTAGAATAGGGATCTATTTTGGCTGGGTATGGGCAAGGGTAGAATAAGGTAAAGACAAGAATAAAATTGTATTATAAATAGTAGGGCAAGGCAGGATAACAAGGGGTAAGCTAGACCAGAGTATAATATGGCACGATAAAGCACTGTAAGATAAACAAGATAAAAGGTAGCGTAGGGTAAGGTAGAATAGGGTAGGGTAGAGTAGGGTAGGGTAGGGTAGGGTAGGGTAGGGTAGGGTAGGGTAGGGTAGGGTAGGGTAAGGTAGGGTAGGGTAGAGTAGGGTAGGGTAAGGTAGGGTAAGGTAGGGTAGGGTAGGGTAGGGTAGGGTAGGGTAGGGTAGGGTAGGGTAGGGTAGGGTAGGGTAGGGTAGGGTAGGATAGGGTAGGGTAGGGTAGGGTAGAGTGAAGTAGAGTTTGGTGGAGTAAGTTGAGTAAGGTAAAGTAAAGTAAGCTATAAGAAATAAAAAAATTTAAGGCAGGACAGGGTAGCGTAAGGGTTGATCAAGGCTTCTAAAATAGTTTAACAAGCACTCAATGCTAACCCACATACGAAGAAGCTTTGTTCCCACCCCTTATTCACACATTTACCATTCTTTAATCACACCTCTGCCCCGTCCTCCCCAATTTCTAATTCCTACTCACACACATTCTCCCCTCCCCTCTTCCCCCACCCCTTTATACCTCCTAATCACACCCCTGCCCACTTTACAACAACCTACCCAAATACAGTCTTTAACCAGCCGGCTGGTTGGTTTATATTCCAAGGAACGGCCGCTCAAATTGGTTTGCTATTTTTATGACAAAAACATCTTAAACCCAAACAATTTTACAGTCGAACAGTTTAAACTTTAAAACGAAGGATTCAGCACTTTTCAACCCATCATCATTTGGGTGTAAAATAACGTGTTGGTCAGCTTTGTCATATCGCAATCTTTAATTTTTTAGATTTTTCAAGTTTTTTTCGGTAAATTTGGGTCAAAACATACTTCGCCAAGATACGGTATGTATACCATACCAGTAAGTAGAGAAAAATTCATATCTTTCTTGCTATTTATTTATAGGCTAGATACCATCTTGATTTTGTTTAACAAGAGGGAGGGAGGGGTCTTTGAAAAACAAAACTGGCAAGAACTTTCTTTACAAAACAAAAATGGCTAGAACTTTCTTTACAAATCAAAAAATGGCAAGAACTTTCTTTACAAAACAAAAATAGCTAGAACTTTCTTTACAAAACAAAAAATGGCAATAACTTTCTTTAAAAATCGAAAATGGCAAGAACTTTCTTTACAAAAGATAAAATGGCAAGAATTTTCTTTACAACACAATAAATGGCAAGAACTTTCCTTACAAAACAAAAAAAACTAATTAAAAAAGTTTATTACAAATAAAACCACTTTATTACGCTACAAGAACATAAATTTGTTTTTTACGGTTTACAAAATAAAAACATCTTCCTGGTTTGTATTTACCGAATCAAATTACTATAATTTCCTAAGCACCATATTATAGTAAATAAATTTACAAAAAGATCTGTTTTTCTGGAAAAAAAAGCTTACGTAGCTGGAGTAGAAAAGTCTTGTAAACAAAATTTCTGCAAACATCAAAAAAATTAAAAACGCCATTTTAGATCATTGTAAACCAATTTATTGCCAAAAGCTTAATTTCTGCACCGTGAAGCGCGATTTGTCTTGTTTGCACAGTGCGAAAGCGCGACCCCGTCCGATCTGGCAAGTTAAGCAACGGTGCGCTTGATTATAAAAAGTTCAAGAAACAGCAAGTGGAAACACAGTTTTTGACAATTTATAACATACCTAGTGTACGTTGTGTCATTTTATGAATTGTAAATAAAGTTATTGCCATTCTTAACTTTGTAAACAAAATTTATTGCCATTTTCAGTTGAAATATCATTTTTTCAACAAAAAATCTTTAAAGACAGAAATCATTTGTGATAACTATATTGTATTGACAGTTGCATCTAATTTGTCTATCAATTATTCCGGGAAATGTTACACTCAAATATATTACACTAGCTAAAGCTATTGGTTACAATTTGAAACAAATTGGTGGAAAACAAATCATGAGACTTGGTGGACAATTTAATAATAATATTGTAATAGATTTGGCACGTGTTCCAGACGAGAACTTTCTTTACAAAGTAAGAAATGGCAAGAACTTTCTTTACATCACAAGAAATTGCAAAAACTTTCTTTACAGAGCAAAAAATGGCAATAACTTTGTTTACAAAACAAAAAATGGCGAGAACTTTCTTTACAAAACAAAAAATGGCAATAACTTTGTTTACAAAACAAGAAACACTTTATCCTACAACACCTTCTTGCCCTACCACCCTCGTAACCATTTACACTACCCTCTATTTAACCCTGCCCAAATTTTTACCGTGCCCAACATTGTGCTCCGCCCTATATTAGACACGGCTCATCCTTACCTTACCTGCCCAGCCTAATATTATACCATGCTTCGTATTAGACCCTGCCCGACCCTAAAAAATATTTTTAAAGGAAAAATTTTGACTTTGTAAAAAACGGATCGCAATTTCATAAACGACGAAACTTACATTGGGAATATTGAGGTCACACCGGGTAGACGGTTTCCCCTCGTCGCGGGTTTCACACTGTTCATCCGCTTTGTCGGTCATTTGCCTACATTCAGGATTAGAAAGTATCACACACAACAGCAAAAAACACGTTTTTAACACGCTAAATTGAGAAAGAAATACATAATGTAACCTATTTTTAGAATAGACAGCTTTATTTATATTACAGTAGATTAAAATTGCAAGAACTTTCTTTACAAAATAAAAAATTGCAAGAACTTTGTTTGCGAAACAAAAAATGGCAAGAACTTTCTTTACAAACCAAAAAAATTACAAAATTTATATTAGCCCTGCAATATATTGCCAAAAAATTTGTTTCCATCCAACGTTCCTCGAACGTTCCATAATCAAGCGCACCGTTGCTCAACTTGCCAGATCGGACGGGACCGCGCTTTCGCACTGCGCAAAGAAGACAAATGGTGCTGCACAGTGCGGAAATTAATTTTTTTGGCAATAACTTTGTTTACAATAATAAAAAATTCAAAAAAAAAATGGCAAGAACTTTCTTTACAAAACAAAAAGTGACACGAACTTCTGTTACAAACCTCAAGGAGGCAACTAGCACTGCACGGTGCAATAACTAATTTTTTTGCAATAACTTTGTTAACAATGGTAGAAAATGGCATTTTTCAACTTTTTTAAATTTGTTTACAAAATTTTTTTATCATAAAAATGAACAAAAGTTTTATAGTGATAGACATATATATTAACATAGGTTTAAAGGTAATGTACCTTTAAAATTCACTTTTTGCAAACTTATACCTTATTTCAAGCGACCACGTTTCTCAGAACACCCTTTAATACCGAAAACTATTTTGAACGGGGGTGTCTTTAAAAAATAACCCGTAATTCCGCCAAAATCCGTCAAAAATCCGTGAGAATCCTAAGAAAAAACACTAATTACAGTGGAACACCTATGTTACGAATGACCTAGGGGTTTGAAATTTTTTCGTTATAAACAATTTTCGTTTTACAGGGGTTTCAAATCAACTTTGAAGCATTGGTGATTTAAAATACAGGAGTTCCACTGTACTAAAAATTATATTTTAGTTATCCAACAATAAAGCTAACCCAAATAATTTTTCAAACCATTAATAAGACTCGAGAACCGCCATCTGAAGTCGGTTTAATTGTCTTAAGATCCGTCGCCACTTTTTTCTCGTTATATCCCCCCCCCCTTCCCCTTCTCGTTAAATTGGTTCGTAAATGAAAAGCGAACTAACAACAACTCGGTCAAGGTTAACATACTAAATTAAGAGATTTACTTACTAATACAGTTAGTTTTTGACACGAATTTAAAAGAAAGAGAAGTACAACATGTTTTCTGATTATATTAAGAAGGATTCTTGTGAATTCATACCTAAAATTTGAGTTTAAAGCAAAATAAAGGCATTAGTTGATCGTTATTGATAAAAAAACCTGATTTTTCTATAATATACCTACAAGATAATACAAAAAAAAATCAAAAATAATAAAAAAGATTTTTTGACTATATACTTGTACCAGTAAAACAAATTTTTCACCCCTACAATTAGCAAAACGTTATCCTCACCTATCGTAGAAAAAGACTTCGCAGCCTGCAGAAGCTCGCGGCCGCAGCAACCAAAACAAAAAAGTTTTCTTTGAGAAATATTTTGGAAAAAAATATTAGAAATGGATCAAAAGAAGATACCAAGACGCAAACAAAGCATAATATTATGAAAAAGTAATTAATATGTTGTGAAAAACATTGCCAACGATTGGAGCTGTTTAACTGTAAGTTATTTTCTTATTTATTTTTGATTTTAGGCCTGAAAGTCGCTGAAAGACATGGATAACATATTAAAATAGATTGTTAATGGATGTTTTTGATATTTTTTACTTCAAAAAAGTTTTGAGAAGGGAAGATGGCCATGGGTTGGCAGTGGAGGAGAATACGAACTTCAGGTAGCAATGTTGCTATTGCTTTTCAATGTTTAGGTATGAAGCTGAGGTCAAAGGTGTAAAAAGTTTCATTTGGGAGCTTGAGGAGAATGCTGCGAATGTGTTTTGACACATTATATGTTGTGGTGATAAAGGGTTTAGCAATGGGATTAGGTTTTATGTTGTCATAGGCGATAAGCGGAATTTTTTTTTGATTTTAAGATTTAAGTATGAAATTAGGTGTAAAATTCGGTGAAATACGTTTTGAGAGGTTGAGAAGGTTGTTATGAAGGTACTTGAATATGCTTTGTTGTTTTATGTTAAGCAATCTTTGCGTGAGGATTAAATTTTGATGTTAACATAGACATCTGATGTTGGTTTTTGAAATTTTGGTGAAAATACTCTAACTCACGTTTTTAACTATCTGTTTTTAATAAAAATAGTTAAAAGCTAGTCTATTTTAACTATTTTAAGAGATTTTGAGCTTTTATTTTTTGAAAAATTTGCATAATTTTCAAAAAGCCATAAAATTCTTTGACTTATGCAAATTTCAGATGGAGGAAGGGATGATAACCAAAAACGTGTCATTGTCGATTTTCAGTTGCCAAGTCGAAAAGTGATCATTTCAACGTTTTGTTGGTCGGAACTCTAGTCGTCGGACGAAATTTCGCTCTTTTCTTGACAATCGACTGGTCGGAAAGACGTTTGTGAGTTGGTTTTTCTTGGTTTTCTTAGCATTTTTAGGCTTTTTAATTGTTTTTTGAAGACTTTTTGACCTGTTTTTCAATTTTCTATGGACTTTTCGACTTGTTCTTTTATTTTTCTTTAATCTTTTAACTTTTCTACGTACTAGTTGACCTATATTTTTATTATTCTATAAGCTTTTTTGATCAGAATTCGATATTCTTTTAGATCAACCCTGAAAATGACCGTGCAAAAGCGACGTAATGTACAAGTTTTGCCGTCGGAAGAGCTGGACCTCAACGATTTGACCGAATCCGTATCTGAGTCTTGTTCCGAAGCTTCATCAGCAACCGAAACTCAAGATTACAGCCCTGAAGCTGATGAGCTTTTCGAGCGTGCCACGATTCAACCGAAGATTACGGATGTCTTGAAGCAATTGTTTGATGATTTAAAGAGAATTTATTCAATGTAAGTTAATATTGAGTTGTGTTTATTTGATTTTTAAAGGTAAAATACGTTTTGACTGTTATTAAATAATTTTACAGCTTTTAGAAAAATTGACGAAGTGTCACAAGATTATTAGAAAATTTTATACTGTCAAAAGACGTGTTTTCATACTTTATAAATTTTGTTAAAGAGTTTTTTCTCTTTATACCGCTTTTTTAAAAGTTTGACGAAATGTCACAAAAATATTGGAAAAGTGGACGAAGCGTCACAAAATTATTGGAAAATTTTATATCGCCAGGACGTGTTTTGAGTCTTTAAAGAATGTCAAAGTAACGTCATTTTTTAACTCATTTTGTAATACGAACGAAATGTCACAAAAAATATTGGAAGATTGGACGAAGTGTCAAAAAACATCTAACCAATATCTTTTTAGTCCGAGCATCAAGATCACATTCATGGTGATGCAATACGTTTCTTTTGCCACCTACTTCTTTCGAACCAGCTACCAAAATCATCCGGTCGGTCGAGTCTACTACGAACAGGTCAACTTCACCAATGATGTCATGAGCAAGGTGTTTATGCCAGGCAATGACAAGTATATTTTCGAAAAAACAATTGGACCTTTTTTTGAGAATGGAAAAGACACAATTTTCAACCAATTTGAAGACATTTTGTAGGTTTTTTGGATTTTGCGTATAACTTGTCACTCGCAGCCTGCGGGGTGAAAAATGGTGGGAAAGCGGGGGTTTTAGGGGGTGGAAAGAAAGTTTTTGCTATTTTTTGGTTTGTAAAGAAATTTTTTGGCATATTTGATTTTGTAAACAAAGTTTTTGCAATTTCTCACTTTGTAAAGAAAGTTCTTGCTATTTTTTGTTATGTAAAGAAAGTTCTTGTCATTTTAGCAAATCAGAAGAGCAAGTTGTCGTTTCGAAGTTACTCAAGGAGAACTGGCTTCCACTTCTTCACGCTGTCGTCTTCTTGTTCACCAGCTGGAGCTTCTCGATCGCCATTGCTGTAGCCAAGCTGCCTGCGGCTATTTTGATCTCTTTTGGCTTTGGCTACTTGACTCTGTCATTTAAGGTGGGAGTTTGCTAATTTTTGGTACTGGAAAGAAAGTTCTTGCAATTTTTTGTTTTGTAAAGAAAGTTCTTGCCATTTTATCACTTGTAAAGAAAGTTCTTGCTATTTTCAGGGGCTGGCCTTTGCCATCTTCCGATCTGTGGTCATTTTAACTTGTATCGTTGTGATCGCGGCTCCCCTCGGCTTACTGGAAGTGGCCTACATTGTCTTGGCGCTATTCGGCGTGGACTGGTTTTACATGTTCTTGATAACAGTCCTAGGAAAACACGTTTCTTGTGGACTCACGGTGAGGTTTTTGTATGGAATGTGGATTTAAATTTTTTTTTTGGTTTTTTTAATTTTTGTAAAGAAAGTTCTTGCCGTTTTTTGTTTTGTAAAAAAACATTTTGAAAAAATCTTAAAAAGTTTAAAAATCGTAAAGAATGTTTTTGCAAAGCTGTAAAAATGTCATTTTCTATCATTGTAAACAAATTTATTGCCAAAAACATAATTTCTGCACTGTGCAGCGCCATTTGCCTTCTTTGCACAGTGCGAAAACGCGATCCCGTCCGATCTGGCAAGTTAAGCAACGGTGCGCTTGATTATAAAAAGTTCGAGGAACACTGGGTGGAAACAAAGTTTATGAGCATTTTAAAGCATGTCTACGATAAATATTGTCATTTTGTAAATATTGTCTGGTATATTTTGGCATTTTTCTTAAATTCATTCTGCCATTTCAGCTGATGTGGAACTTGTTGTTGGATATTGGCTGGAAGAACGCTGCTGCCATTTTGTCATTCTTTCACTACCTACCCTTTGGTAACTATGCTCTGGACAGCTTGAAGCCACTGGTCGAAAAGTACCAGAAACAAGGATCAAGCTGGATGATGAAGGAAGAACCAGCACCATTCCTGCCCTGGTACTTGTACAATGGCTTGCTACTGATGGTCGCATTGCGTATTCTGACGCTATCCTGTCAACGTTTGGCCTTTAGAAGACATTTGGTCAAGAAATTCGAGGAGCAGAATAAGAGAGCGCAGCCGCACAACAAGCAAGATTGAGAGATGGCTATATTAATATAAGATTGATGTGTAGTTGTGGTTGTATTTGCGGAGTTTAGCAGAAAATGAGTGAATAAAATGGTGTTTATTATAAAGATGAATTGAATTTTAGTTTTATTTTTGAAGTTTATCAGTTATTTGCTGCTATTTACAATATTTTCATATAAAATGTCACTTGCAGCCTGCAATACACCTTTTTGTGTAAAATACGTGTTGTGGTTCGTTGTGGTTAAAAGTTTGAGTGTTTTTTACTTTTGTAAAGAAAGTTCTTGTCATTTTGAATTCATGTAAAGAAAGTTTCTTCCATTTCATTTGTGTTTGAAAGTGAAATGCCTCCTCTCCTTGTAGACCGGAAATCATGTTTTAATGTGTCCAAATGACCGTTAAAACCTTTTTTTACATTTCCAAAGGGCAAAAAGTGTCTTACACTTTAAAAACGGCTAGTACCTGCATATTGTTATGGCTGATATTCAAGATTCAAGCTCTACTTTCACTGATAATGAATTTCAAAAGCTTTGGGAAGAATTGGACATTCAGCCGGTAAGAATTTTCTTTACAAAACAAAAAATCGCAAGAACTTTCTTTACAAAACAAAAATGGCAAGTACTTTCTTTACAGCGACTAAATGAGGTGTATCATGCTGCCTTTTCCTCTGAATTCTCTCATCGTACGGTGAAACAGACATATCTAAACTTGATAAACGCTCATCGAGAGAAAATGCAACGTTTCTTCTTGGATGATAACAATGAATCAGCTAGGTTTGAGGAAGCGGTTCTCGAACTACAAAGAGTTTTGGCTGCGGTTAATAGAATGAGAACTCACGATGAAGCGGTGGAAGCTCAGGAAACGTTTTACAACGTCTTTCATCAAGTTTGTGGCGAGGAGAATATAGTAAGTCCGTACCCCCTACCCCTACCCATACCCTAACCCCCTACCCCTACCCCTACCCCTACCCCTACCCCTACCCCTACCCCCTACCCCTACCCCTACCCCTACCCCTACCCCTACCCCTACCCCCTACCCCTACCCCTACCCCTACCCCTACCCCTACCCCTACCCCTACCCCTACCCCTACCCCTACCTCTACCTCTACCCCTACCCCTACCCCTACCTCAACCCCAACCCCAACCCCTACCCCTACCCCTACCCCAACCCCTACCCCTACCCTTACCCCTACCCCTACCCCTACCCCTACCTCTACCTCTACCCCTACCCCCTACCCCTACCTCAACCCCAACCCCAACCCCAACCCCAACCCCAACCCCAACCCCAACCCCAACCCCAACCCCCTACCCCTACCCCAACCCCTACCCCTACCCTTACCCCAACAATTACTCCTAACCCTACCCAACTCCAACCGACACCCTTTACCATTCACCCTACCCTTGCCTCCATTTCTCGTTCTACGTTGACTCCTACCTCTACCCACCCTCTGCCAAAATATAACCCTACTAGTTTAGGAAGAAAAACTAAAAAGCCATTGGGAAGCCCTCGAACGGAATGCCAGAGAAACCCTGAAGAACCTTCAAGAGTACGTAAAAGAGTGCTCAAAAGCCACGATCAACATAGAACAAGCCCTGATCGACGGTACCAAACAGTACGACGAGAAACGGTACTTGATTGTGGCTGAAGCCGAGAAGAAAACCGTGGAGTACATGACAGCACGGTATCATAACATCAGAATCTCAGTGCTTCAGAAGCTCCGAAAGTTTTTGCAGGAAAAAGTAAGTTTGGCAGCTTGTGAGGGACATGTTACACGAGGAATAAAATTTTGGGTTTGTAAAGAAAGTTTTTGCCATTTTATGATTTGTAAAGAAAGTTCTTGCCATTTCTTCTTTTGTCAAGAAAGTTCTTGCCGTTTTTTGTTTTGTAAAGAAAGTTCTTGCTGTTTTCGATTTTTAAAGAAAGTTATTGCCATTTTTTGTTTTGTAAAGAATGTTCTTGCCATTTTTTTGGTTTGTAAAGAAAGTTCTTGCCATTTTATATTCTGTAAAGAAAGTTCTTGCCATTTCTTGTTTTGTAAAGAAAGTTCTTGCCATTTCTTGTTTTGTAAAGAAAGTTCTTGCCATTTCAGAGTGAAGAACACCTTCAACAACAAATCCAAAAGCTGATCAATACCCACACCGAAAGAGGCAAAGCTCGAACCCACTTGGCCAAACTGAGGTCCAAATTAAGTACGCTTCGAATCCGCTATTACAGTGAGCCAATCGATAAAGCAGGCGAATTAGATGAGCTGAGAGATCAGGTTCATAAAAATGATCAGGAAGTAAGTTGGCGGTTGAAAAATGCAAAATAATTTTTTAAAATATTTAAAAAATATGTCATAAAAAATCTAAAAAAAACCAAAAAACAGCCATAAATTATAAAAATGCCAAAATTTATCAAATGTATGATTTAAAATGCTCAAAAACTTGCTCCCACCCACTGTTCCTCGAACTTTTTATAATCAAGCGCACCGTTGCTTAACTTGCCAGATCGGACGTGACCGCGCTTTCGCACTGTGCAAAGAAGGCAAATGGCGCTGCACGGTGCAGAAATTAATTTTTTGGCAATAACTTTGTTTACAATGATAGAAATTGGCAGTTTGCAATTTTTTGGGAGTTTGCAAGAACTTTCTTTACAAAACAAAAAATTGCAAAAACTTTCTTTACAAGCTGAAAATGGCTAAAACTTTGTTTACAACGAAGGAAATGGCGTTTATAAAATTTTTTGTGTGTTTTGAAAGAACTTTCTTTACAATTCTTGTAATTTTCAATGATTTTTTTGTTTTTGCACGGTGCATATGATACTAAATTCCTCTGCACAGTGCAACAAATTTAAAAAACTTTTTCTAAAGTAAAGGACGCCAAGTCAATCGACTCTACCTAAAGATGTAGTAGGAAGCTCCTTCTGTTCCAGATAGCCCTCCTATCAGCCCAATTAAAGTCGCTCGAGGCTAATACGGTAGGAATGGAGCCGATAGATTCTGTTCGAGTTGAATGCTCTCCAGTTCAGACTACACCAATATACGATGTTAGTCCGGTCGAACGTGCTCAAGGACATAAAAGAAATCGTGTTGTGAACTTGGCCCAAGTGGTACAGCGGCTTAAAGTGCCCCAAATGAACTTTGAAATTGAGAGTCAAACCCCGTAAAGAAAGTTTCTGCGCAATTTTTGAATAAATTTGAAATTCATAGTTCATTTTAGTGGCATAAGCCTCTACAAGCTACTAAGCCTAAGCCTACTAATCCCAAGCCTAATAAGCCTAAGCCTACTAAGCCTAAGCTTACTAAGCCTAAGCCTACTAAGCCTAAGCCTACTAAGCCTAAGCCTACTAAGCCTAAGCCTAAGCCTACTAAGCCTAAGCCTACTAAGCCTAAGCCTACTAAGCCTAAGCCTACTAAGCCTAAGCCTACTAAGCCTAAGCCTACTAAGCCTAAGCCTACTAAGCCTAAGCCTACTAAGCCTAAGCCTACTAAGCCTAAGCCTACTAAGCCTAAGCCTACTAAGCCTAAGCCTACTAAGCCTAAGCCTACTAAGCCTAAGCCTACTAAGCCTAAGCCTACTAAGCCTAAGCCTACTAAGCCTAAGCCTACTAAGCCTAAGCCTACTAAGCCTAAGCCTACTAAGCCTAAGCCTACTAAGCCTAAGCCTACTAAGCCTAAGCCTACTAAGCCTAAGCCTACTAAGCCTAAGCCTACTAAGCCTAAGCCTACTAAGCCTAAGCCTACTAAGCCTAAGCCTACAAACTATTCAAGCAAGAGACTTTATTCAGAATCCCGTTCCAAGCTCTGACTGTTCACTACAGTGCCGTCCCAATCCAATGGTGAGTCATCATTAATATCAGCCGGTAGTCCTTTCTTGCACGTACTAATCAAGAGGTCGTAATTTGGGGTGGAGTCATAGGTTAGTGATTGTAAATGCTCGGCGAATTGTTTAAAGTCCTTCGGCAAGTGCCTGAAATTTGAAAAATTTGAAAAAGCTCTACCCTACCGTATCCTACCCTGTCATACTCTACCCTACCTTACCCTACCGTACCCTACTCTACCTTGCCCTACCTTATCCTACCCTACCGTACCCTACTCCACCTTGCCCGACCCTACCCTACCCTACTCTACTCTACAACCTCACTTACATGAGCATCTCCCCAATGGGGGTCTTCTTCTTCTTCAGACTCATGTCCTCATCATCTTCAATATGTCTCCACGGTAATGCTCCTTCACCCAGCTCTATCATCGAATACAGTAATGACCACAAGTCATCACATGGACCTTGTTCTCGCCTCTCGTGTACCGTAATACTCACGTAGCGTAGTGTGCCGCGGAAGCCGGCGTACTGTCGTTCCTTTCGTCTCGTGCCGGCTTCGTTCATGTATTTGCGTGTCATTCCGAAATCGACCAGAAACACGTTCCGACGTGCCCTCACATCGCCGTGTCCCACACACATGTTCGAGGGCTTTACGTCACGGTGAAGGTAGCCAATGTGGTGGACTGCGTTTAGGGCTGATACCATCTGAAATTTGAATATTATTGATGATATTAAGGTTGATCAAGGTAAAAAAGTAAGGATATAGAGGTACGCAGGGCCGGGCGGGGACTTTTGGTCTGGGGGCAGGGGTCTAAAAAAATCCAAAGGGGGGGGACCACGTACAACTTTTTTCGAAAATTTTTTTTCTGGGGGGGGTGCCCGCCGCCCCCATCCCCCCCTCCCCCCCCTCGCGCCCGGCCCTGGAGGTACGCCATTGATATATTACGATAGTAGAAGAAAAATGCCATTTTTTACCATTGTAAACAAAGTTCTTGCCAAAACTTTAATTTCTGCACTGTGCAAAGCCTTTTGCTTTCTTTGCACAGTGCAAAACGTCCGATCTGGCAAGTTAAGCAACGGTGAGCTCGGGGTAGGGTAGGGTAGAGCAAGGTAAAATTACCTGAATGCACGACCGTATGGTAGACTGTGGAGTGAAGCGGCGCTTTGGCATTCTTCGACGTAGATCGTTCAAGTTTCGGCCGAGGTATTCCATTACAATGTACATGTAGTTGTCGTGAGTTCCACTGGCTATCTAAAATCCGTTATTTTAAGTTATCATCCTTTATACTTATAACACCAAAGATAACGACGTATTTTACATTGTGCAGACCGTGAGAGACAAGTTATACGACAAAAAAGTGAAAAACGATAAAGAAGTTGAAAAAGCTCACAAATTGTCAATAAAAGAAGACAACTTACCAATAAAGGAGCATGTTTGGTACCACGTAGCAAATTTAAAACTTTTTGTTCTAGGATCATTCGGCCGGATTCTTTGTCAGTCGGCTCGACCTTTACTGCCACTTCTCGATCTTCGTGGTGCTGGAAAACAAAAATTTTAAAAGATCATACCCTACCAGTAGTACAGTAACCTGTACTAGAAAAGCTGGCCCTAATTTTCCCTACCCTATCCTACCCTTTTCTACCCACATTACCCCACTTTACTTTATTCTACTAAAACCTGCAGTACCCTACCTTATCCTGCCCTTCTTTACTATGGGCGTGCCCTATCTTACCCTACTGTACCCTCAAGAAACCTTCCCTTCATACTAAACCCAATTTTACCCCCATCTACCTAATACAACGCTACAATAGCATACAATTATAATTAACGTTCCTACAGCACTCTCCTTACTTCTTATAGTACCCCCTACACCCCCCCCCTCTTCCCAAACTTACCTAATATTAACTTGCCCACCTTCTCTCCCCCTTCCCTACAGTAGCCCTTAATCAATCCTACCATACTCACCCTACCCTACTCAACCCTAACCTACTACAGTACTCTAACCTAACATACTCTACCACATCATACCCTGCCCAACTTTACTGTAAGCGTACAGTATGATCAAAAAACCCTCCACCTACCGTATCCACAGCCTTAAAGACCTGCCCAAAACCTCCCCCTCCCATGAGTCGTTCCACTTTGATTCGATTGTTGAGTAGAGTACCAGGCTTGAAATGGGGTGGTGCTTTTCTGCCTCTCAACTCCTTTTTGTCCTTGTCTTTCTCGGCTGGCGGTTGTTCTTTATTTTCTTCTTTCCTCACTTCATCTTCTATTTTGTCGTTTTCGATTGTGGGATCTTTGTCTTCTTTGTTATCTAAAGTGGCAAGAATTTTCTTTACAAAACAAAAAATGGCAAGAACCTTCTTTACAAAACAAAAAATGGCAAGAACTTTCTTTACAAAACAAAAAATGGCAAGAACTTTCTTTACAAATAAGAAAACAGCAAAAACTTTGTTTCCATACCTTTACTCCGCCGTTCCTGGCCAGTCCTGAGTTTGCCGTTCCGCTTGCTGGGCGTTCGTTTCCCTTCCTCGGGAAGCTTGTTCTGCTGACTACCAGTTCTTTGATTACTATTTCTACGTCGACTTGTCACTGCTCGTTTCTAAAAATAAAAAATTTTAAAAATTGAGAAAATATGTGGCGAAAAGCCACAAAAGATATTGGAAAGTGGTAAGCAAGCTCAAAACGCAAGAACTTTCTTTACAAGGATCAAAATAGATAAAATCTGCCAAAAAGCAACCGTTTATTGGAAAATTAAAAAGTGGAGTAGAAATTGAAGAAACTTTCTTTACAAAACTAAAAATAGAAAAATGTAACGAAAAGCCACAAAAAATATTGGAAACGGATTAGGTGGTCGAAAAACACAAACTTTCTTTACAAAACTAGGAATAAAAAAAATGTGACAAAAAGCCACAAATATTATTGGAAAATCACGAAATAGACTAAAAGTAACACAAATTATGCAAAATTACGCGAAATTCCACAGAAAATACAGAAAAATCATAATTTAAGCTACAAACGCAAGAACTTTGTTTACAAAACAAAAAATAGCAAAAACTTTCTTTACAAAACAAAAAATGGCAAGGACTTTCTTTACAAAACAAAAAATGGCAATAACTTTCTTTACAAAACAAAAAAAATTCCAAACTGCACCCTACCTTATTATTGTTGCTAGAACTACCCATGTGTAACAGAGATTTTTCGACCAACGACGAACAGTAGCAACAAACACGACTGAACGGTGCAATTGATGAAAGTCAAAATAACCAGACTTTAAAAATATTTATGAAACATCAAAAAATTATGCAAATTAAGGGGTTTAGACAAAAAATTTACAGTAGTAACATTTGAAAATTCGAATAAAATGGCAAGAACTTTCTTTACAAACTAAAAAATGTCATGAACTTTCTATACAAATCAAAAAATGGCAAGAACTTTCTTTACAAAACAAAAAATGGCAAGAACTTTTTTTACAAAACAAAAAGTGGCAAGAACTTTGTTTACAAAACAAAAAATGGCAACAACTTTCTTTACAAAACAAAAAATGGCAAGAACTTTCTTTACAAAACAAAAAGTGGCAAGAACTTTGTTTACAAAACAAAAAATGGCAACAACTTTCTTTACAAAACAAAAAATAGCAAGAACTTTCTTTATAAAACAAAAAATGGCAACAACTTTCTTTACAAAACAAAAAGTGGCAAGAACTTTGTTTACAAAACAAAAAATGGCAACAACTTTCTTTACAAAACAAAAAATGGCAACAACTTTCTTTACAAAACAAAAAATAGCAAGAACTTTCTTTATAAATGCCTTTTTCCCCATTTTTTAGGGTTTGCAGACTGCGCGTGACATGTTATACGAGGAAAACTTTCCCAACTCGTTTACAAAACTAAAAAAAATTAAAAAAAAACAAAAATTTTGAAAACAGCGGTCGAAAAAAGTTTCAAATTTCATTTTTAATAATTTTTAATTTTCCCTACATCCAAAAGGAATGTCATGTCAGTTATGGTGGTTGTTCCTACTACAAATCTTTTGCCAAGCCATGGCCAGAAAACGAAACTATGTTGAAGAGCCACTATCTGATAACAGTACCATTAACAATAGCATGCTTGGTACCGAACTAAATGGTCGATTGTTCTGGAATTGGTCTTCGGTCAATTTGATAGAAATCAAGGATTACTCGAACATCAGCGAGTCCTACTACAATCGGTTTTGGATCGAGAACGAGATGAAGTTGCTCAAGCTGACAACCGAAAAACGCGAAAAAATTATTGAGCAGACCATGTTCGCCAAGAGGGATGAACTGCAAATCTATCTGGGTTACGTTACGTGAGTTTTTTTTTATTTTAAAATTTTTTCAAAAATTTTAAAATTTAAAAAAAAAATCAAAAAAATATTTTTAAATTAAATTTTTTTTTAATTTAAATTTCTTCCAAAAACTCGATTTTTTCCAAAATTTTTTCGAAGAAGCGTTAGAAAAGGTTTCATCGTATAACATGTCACCCGCAGCCTGCAACACTTAAATTATGAGTAAAAATGTATTTGTAAAGAAAGTTCTTGCCATTTTTTGTTTTGTAAAGAAAGTTCTTGTCATTTTTTGTTCTGTAAAGAAAGTTCTTGCCATTTTTTGTATTGTAAAGAAAGTTCTTGCCATTTATTATTATGTAAAGAAAGTTAATGCCATTTTTGTTTTGTAAACAAAGTTCTTGCTATTTTTCGTTTTAGAAAGAAAGTTCTATCCTTTTCAGACATGCAGTAGGTGGTATAATACTATGCTTTTTATTAATCATAGTGTTTTTCCTTCTCTACCCTTGTCTCAAACAGAATGGCGGTCGAAAGATTATCAACCGGAGATACCGTGAAAAACATGAAATGATAAAGAAAATTAAAAAGATTTACAAGTTGATGTTCAACAAGGATGGGACGATTGTAACACCTGAGCAAGTATACATGGAGCTCGTTAAGCAGAAGAAGGAGCGTTTGATAAGGAAGAAGGTAAGCTTACTTTACCTGACCCTACTGTACCCTAATATACCCTACCCTACCCTACGCTACCCCAACCTGATATTGCCATAGTCTAACAAACTTATAACACCATTTCCTATACATATCCTCCTACTATAACATAAAAATTTCAGAACAAGAAAAAACTAAACCAAAGAACAAAGCCTGAACTTCAGAAAAGCTTGAAGAATATCATAAGCAACCAACAACAGACGAAAGAAGAACACAGTACTAACAAGGAAGGGGCAACGGACGATCACCCGAGTAAAAATCGACTGGTAAACTTGAAAGGAACCGAGCCGACACAATCAGATGCCAAAAAAGATGAGAAAACACAATATGAAACGTTTTCGACTCGAGAAGTAAGGTTTTATTGAGTTTTTCTTTTTTTGTCGTATAACTTGTCACCCGCAGCTTGCGGAGCTATTTTGCACTATAAAGATGGAATTTTAGTGTTTGGAAAGAAAGTTCTTGCTATTTTTTGTACTGTAAAAATAGTTCTTGCCATATTTTGTTGTGTAAAAAAAGTTCTTGTCATTTTTTGTATTGTAAAGAAAGTTCTTGCCAAAGTAACAAAAAATAATCAAATTCTCTTTCAGGATATCACAATGTCATCGTCAGCAACCAACAAAACCCAATCAGATAGCTTCTCCAAAGATACCACAACAAAAACTAGTGAAGGTACACAAGGAGAGCCCAAATTTGCCACGGAAAACACGCAAAAACATGATCTTGTACAAGATCTCATCGAAAAAAATAATATAGAGCAAGGAAATGGAAAAAGCAAGGAAAAAATTGAAACAGAAACAAGCGGAGCTCAAGATGTTAGCCAACAGAAAGACCTGAAACAAGATGATAAACCACGAAAAAATAGTAGAAAATTGGATTCTACGCAACGAAACGATGTTGAGTAACCAGAATTAACTTAAGAAGAACATTTTCAAGAGGAAAAACATAATTTAAGGGAAATGTCACAAAAACATCAGAAATGTCGAAGTAATGCCATGTGTAATATAATTTGTTGTTGAATGAATAAATAAATTGTTAGATCGGATTTACATATAAAATAAGAAGCAAAATGGACTTAAGAATGTATACCTAAAAAGTTATATCATTACATGCAAAAAGAACTCCGTTACGAAGCATCAAATTATATTGTAGTAGGTGAGTTGCAGCCTGGCGCAGTAAAAGTAAATAAATAAGTAGGCTAGTTGTGAATATAAAATAGAAGCAAAATAAGCGTAAGAATGTTTACCTAAAAAATTATATAATTACAGGCAAAAAGAACTTTGTTATAAGACATCAATTTACATTATAGTAAGTAATCTGCACCTTAGCTTCGAAAATTAACTGTAACTGAAAAACTATGAAAGCTATCTGCTTAATATGCCGGTATAATAAAGAAAAGGCATTGCTGTACGATAAATGATACAATTTTTTAAGATTGCTAAGAGATGAGACGTCAAATTATATTATATTATAGTAGGTGAGATTTATATCATTCTCGTTTTACAAAAATACAAGAATTTTTAGAGCACTTGTGGATATAATATGTGCATCTTATTAAACTACAAAAGGTGTAAAAATACTCTATAATTTACATTTGGCATCTGCACATGACGTATTTTATAGAAAATGACATCTTTTTTGGACTTTTTTTACTTTTTGCGGCGAAATTGGATGGAAAGTCCGATCGCGATCGGAATAAATTTGCCTGTTTAAAGGTATCAAAAGCGATTGAATTCGTCTTTTCTTTTGTTATTTTAGACTGTTTTGTTACTTTTTTACGATTTAGCCGAAAATTCGAGCAATATTCGAATGTTTCGTCTATAACAATATAAATACTGTGAAGTTTCGAGGTTTATGGGCAAGACTTACCCTATTTTTAAATAAAATACGTGCATATTGTTTTTGTTTCTTTCTTTAGCGTGTTGAAAAGATTAGGTTGATCTTTATCTTGTTTTAGGCGTTGATCTCCTTTAATGAGACGAAATGAGCGAAAAAAGTAGGTTTAGGTAAATATATGTTTATTTTACCTTTTTATTACATTTTTACAAGCTTTTAACTTATTTTAAGCTGTAAAACTTTTATTTTATATTGTTTTAATAAGCCATTAAAGAATATTATACTATGCTCGACATAACAGCTCATATCTCGCTTTTCAGCCATCTTTGACATATTTTTTGTCTTGAAAGGCGAACATGGTGAATATGTTATGGTTAAGAATACGGATGCAAAGTTTTTGGGATGTTTATTGAATGTACAACAACGAGCGGACGTTGATTTACATAGCAAGATCAAGATGTAAGTGTTTTGTTGATTTCCTTTTACTTTTAGGCAATTCTTGGACAAGATTTGTAAGAAAAAGATGTAGTTGGATGAGAGTGTGATAGTATATGGTTTGAATGTGTAACAACGTTTGTTTTGGGTGAAATTTTGGTATTTGTATAGGTAATCAGTTTTGATAATTTCTGTGGTGTTTAGGTAAGCTTTTTTGGATAGTTTGGGTATGAAAAGATGCTTGGTAATGTGGAGAATGTGAATATTGATGTTTGGTTTAGGTTATGTAGTGTTTTAAATTACATTTAGGCTTATCTCGTGATGTAGGTAACGGTTTTAATGGATTCCTAGTTTTCTTCTTAATTCTAGGTAGTATACTGAACAAATTTAGTATAAAAACAAAGCTAAATGTTGCTAAGAATGTGAATATTTATGTTGTTTAGTATTTGACTCACATTCTTGATTTAATTTTACTCTTTTAATATTAAAACTGCTAATCTCGGCTTATTGTTTCAAAATTTTTTTAAAATTTAAATTATAGCTTGGAGATTGATGGCGTAAAGATATACCAAGTTGTCTACAAGTCGACCGACCCTCTAGCCTGTCTCGCAGAGATTGAAAAGCTTCGGAACATCATTGACGACCCAACAAAGGCAATGATCAGAAATTATCTTCAAAAGTATCATGGTGAAGTTAATCAAATGCTGGATGCCACGATGACGGTTTTGGCTGATGTGCAGATAGCAAGTGCTATGATGAAAAATATGGGCGAGAATGGCAACAATAAGAATAATGTTCAACCTAAAAAGACAAAGAAAACGTTTGAGGAGCACATGAGGGGAAAGTTCAAGCTATGATGGCTACTATAAGATCACTTTATATGATTTTTTATGATTATTGTTACGAACTGAGTGTGAAACACGTTGTAATATAATTTTTGTGTTTTTTTTTGTTATTTCGGTTAGCTTTTGGCTAATTTTCTATTTGTTATTGGTTTAAAAATGGCAAAACACGCTAGATTTTTCGAAAAATTTTAGATTTTTAGTGTTTTTTTTATAGTAAGATCAATTTCTGAATAATATTGAGAAGGATATGTTAAGGTGGATGTATTAAACTTATTAATAAACAAATTATGTTATACTTTGGAAGATATTTGGCTGTTTTATTGGTTCTTGTCCTAACTTTGTCTTTTTTCATTTTTTTTCAAGCTTATTGTGGTTTTCATGTTGTTATAGCTCTGACTTGCTTTAGTTTTAATATTTTTTTAAACTTTTTTGTTAGTTTTTTAATTAAAAACCAAACTTTTTTATAAATTTCTTTTGTTTTTGATATTTAAAGTAATATGATAGGGTTTCATTTAGTGAAAGTGTCATTTTGAAGTATAATTTTGACTATGTTTAGATGAGCAAAGCGGAAACGAAATTTTATACGGTACAGAATGAAGAATTGGAATATGTGGTAGTTTCTTCAAAAGAATGGCAATTTTTAAATAAGATTAAACCAAAAGAAGGAGAATATTTCAAAACTCCGTAAGTTTTTGTTAAATTTATGTTATTTTAGGCTTATAAAAAGTGTGTTTTACGACTAAAAGATGTTTTGGGTTTAAGAAAAAGTGTTTTAGGCTTAGGAAAGAGGTTAGGCTTGGAAAGGATACATTTTAGGCTTATAAAAAGAGTTTTAGGCTTATGAAAAGTAACTTAAGGCATATGAAAGGTCTTAGGCTTATAAAAAGAAATTTTAGGCTTAGAAGAGGTTTTAGGCTTAAAAAGAAGTTGTTAGACCTAGGAGAGGTCTTAGGCTTAAAAAAATAAATTTTAGGCTTACAAGGGAATGTTACAAACTGTCCATTCGTTTTTTAAAAATGAATGGTACTATGTGAAAGAGCGTAAAAAGTTGACTAGAAATCAATTTTCAAAAACTGCCAAATTCGCCTTACAAGCCCGCTAGCGAGCTTTTTAAATTTTCCTTATTAAAATGGTTTTTTTTACGTCCGCTTTTTTTTGAATACTTTCGAAGGGAGGAATCAAGTGTGCTCGATTGGCCAAGTGGTCAAAGGCGCTGTGATTGCGCAATCATGCGTGTCCGGTTCGATTGTCTTTTTGGGGTAGTAACTTTCATTTTTTTTAAATTTAAATTGAAGTTAATTTGCATTAACAAAAAAAAGTTTTTTTTGTTAATAATTGTTCCTTATATCTATTAAAACATAAAGCAAAAAAAACTAAAGTTTTCGGAAGTATAAAAATCCAAAAGAAGGCATAATAACGTATGTAAAAGGTCCATTTATTAATGATTTTAAAATCTCGCTAGCGGGCTTGTAAGGCGAATTTGGCAGTTTTTGAAAATTGATTTCTAGTCAACTTTTTACGCTCTTTCACATAGTACCATTCATTTTTAAAAAACGAATGGACAGTTTGTAACATTCCCTTGTTAGACAAGACCTTAAGCTTATAAAGAGTCATTTTAAGCCTAGGAGAGGTCTTAGGCTTATAAAAGCGAATTTTTAGGCTACTACAGGCCGTTACCTAAGCCTATCTAGTGCTTTAGGCTTATAAAAGGTAACTTTTAGGCTTGGAGTGTCTTTAGGCTTATAAAATTCGCTTTTAGGTCTATAGAACGTCTTACCTTTAAAAACGTAGGTTTTAGGCTTAAAAACTTAGGTTTCAGGCTTATAAATGATAATAAGATTGATAATATGACTGATATTCATTCTTTCAGCAAAGGCAAGAGCATGAAAGCCGAGAAGGTGGGAACAAAAAAGGAATGCGAAGAATATAAAGAACAGAATGAACCGAGATTAATGCGAAAGAAGAAATTGATCGAAGCCGAAATCCAGACGGTCATGAACCCAATTCTGGATTCAGTTTTTCAAGCCAGATCTCAACTCAATTCCATGATCAGTACGTTGGGAAAGGTCAAGAAGGAGGTGAATTTAAAGTTTTTGAAAATTTGAAGATTGTTTTTGATGTGATTGAGCTTAAAGTGACGTTTTTGGATTAGAAATGACATTTTTTTGCGTTGTTACATTAAAAATGGCATTGGTCAAAATTTTTCAAATTTCAGCAAACAGAAGAACTGAACCGAGTCAAAGTGGACCCAATCAAGGACACCAAGAAGGTAGGAATATTAAATTAATGATTTTTATTTGATTTTTAAGTTTTTTTTCAAATTTTTGAGAAAAAAGATTTTGTTACCTAAAAAATTTTTTTCTGATTTTATTTGGGTTTTTCTAGTTTAAAAATGGTGAGAAATGAACTTAAATGGATATTTGAATATTAATTTTGTTTTTTTAAAAAAAATTTTATAATAATTTTAAGGCAAACATTTTTTACCTAAAAAATTTTTTTTTGAATTTTTGGTAAATTTTTGTTTAAAAATAGTCAAAAATGAATTAAAATGGATGTTTAAAGAGCTTTATTTTGGTATTTTTATAGGATTTGACATTATTTTTGAGCGAAAAAATTTTGTTACCTAAAATTTAAAAAAATTTTTTTTGTTTTTTTGGTTTTAAAACAGTGAAAAATAAATTAAAATGGATGTTTGAAGAGGAGTTTTGCGTTTTGCAGCTTTTTACGTTACTTTTGGAAAAAAAAATTGTGACCTAAAATTTTTTTTCCTATTTTTTATTCTTTTTATCCAGAATTCTTGCCTTACCCCTACCTTTTCCTCTATTCTTACTCTACACTACGCTTCCCTTGTTTATTCTTTTATTAAATTCATCAATGTCTTTCAGATCTTCCCCAAAGGCATCAAACTAGTCCAAATCGGGTACCCGGACATGAAACTTCACACGGAATTGATCCAAATCGAGACCACTCATCGAGGGTATACTCTCAGCTCCGCCATCAACTTTGCATGCCATCGAAGGAACGTCGATTTGGACGTGTGGCAGTTGTTGTTTGTTCTATGTAAAGACTCTTCTGGCCTCTTTTCGGCCGAACTTGGCGCTCCATTTGAACCCGAAAATCATTATACAGTGCAAATGATTCCGGCCAATCTTACCGTGGTAAGTAAAGAAAGTTCTTGCAATTTTTTGCTTTGTAAAGAAAAATCTTGCAATTTTTTGATTTGGAAAGAAAGTTCTTGCCATTTCTTGTATTGTAAGGAAAGTTATTGCGTTTTTCTTATTTTGTAAATTTTGTAAAGAAAGTTTTTGCAAAAAACCCAAAAATCCCGTAAAACGTCATTTCCTATCATTGTAAACAAAGTTATTGCAAAAAGCTTACTTTCTGCACGAACGCCATTTGTCTTTTTTGCACAGTGCGAAAGCGTGATCCCGTCCGATCTGGCAAGTTAAGCAACGGTGCGCTTGATTATAAAGAGTTCGAGGAACACTGGGTGGAAACAAAGTTTTTGAGCATTCTAAAGCATGTATGTTATAAAGTGGCATTTTTTATTTTGTAAAGAAAATTTTTGCCATTTTTTGTTTTGTAAAGAAAGTTCTTGATATTTTATCTTTTCTAAAGGAAGTTCTTACTGTTTTTTGCTTTGTAAAGAAAGTTTTTGTCATTTTAATTCAAAAAATTTTCTAGAAATACTTGAACACCCAACTGGAAGTGATCGACAACGATTGTCGGTTGTGGAAGATTTTCGACCAAAAAGGAGAGGAGGGCCAAGGCATTGGAAGACAAGATTCAAGACATTTATCCAGATGGCATTACTCGTCGGTTTTTGTAAACATTTTGAAGGTTTTTTTGGTATTCTTGTTGATAGTTTTGTTAATAAATCCGTTTTGGATGTTGTGGTTGGTTGCAGTGGTATGTTGTGATTACATATGGTATTATTGAGTTGGTGTTTGCTTGTTTTTGGTTATTGAGTTGGTTTGTTTTTTTTTTTTTTAAGGTTATTTTATGGTTTTAATTTCTTATTTTTTTTATTTTTGGTGGTTTTATGGCCTAAATTTTCATTTTTTTGATATTATGTTGTGTATTTTTTACATTTATTATTAACTTTTTGCTATTTCATATTGATTTAACGCTTTTAAAATTAATTTTCAGGTGAATTTCAATCCGCAAAATGCCGGAATACGGCATTTTCATAAATCAATGCAATGAAAGGGTCAAAATTATCAAAATGGCGGTCTACGTCTCGGAGTAAGTAATTTTTAGACATAAAATGACAAGAAATGTTTTCACAAAACAAAAAATGGCAAGAACTTTCTTTACAAATCCAAAAACGCCAAGGACTTTTGTTACAAAACTCAAAACGGCCAAAAATTTTCATACAAAACGATAAATGACAAGAACTTTCTTTACAAATCAAAAAATGACAAAATTTATAGTAAGCATGTTATAAACTGTCAAAAACTTTGTTTCCACCTAGTGTTCCTTGAACTTTTCATAATAACTTTCATAAGCGCACCGTTGCTTAACTTGCCAGATCGGACGGGATCGCGCTTTCGCACTGTGCAAAAAAGAAAAATGGCGCTGCATGGTGCGAAATTAATTTTTTGGCAAGAACTTTGTTTACAATGTTAGAAAATGGTATTCTTGATGGTTTTGAGATTTTTGCAAAAACTTTCTTTACAAAATTTGATATTTCATTTCTGAACGTTTTTTCTAATAGCCTTATGTTTAAGCTTGACATTTGATTGTTCAAATAATTCTGAGCTCTCTCTCAAAGCAAATTTTAAGTGTTGAAAGGGGGCTCAATATTATTTGAACAAAATAATAATTTTTTTTTCAAATTTCAGTCGATTCGAGCGTATTCGTGAATGCCTGAAAATGGTTGACAGAGTTAGCGATTGGCCGACAGCCTTAGTGTATAAGGAGCATTATGAGGAATATATAGCCTTTTCAAAGGGTCTATGTCCACATCAGTTCAGGGAATGCGATGATTGTCGCGCTGATCACGAGTTTTGGGAGAATGACGACTCGGAGCTGAGCGAGTACGACGAGGACGATGAGTATCATAGTGATGAGAGCAATGACGACGGTTGTTCTGGTTGTGAACGATGTAGACTGGAGCATTTTTGTTTGAGGGATATTAAACTGGACTGTCTGGATAAGGCGTTTGTCACGAACAAGTTCAAAGGATTGGTCGAAGAAGCAGCCAAGGCGATTCAAGAGCTGGAGGATGGATTGGATAAGCTGTCGGAGGAGGTTAAGGAAGTCAAGGAGGTAGGGTTTTTGTTTTCGAATTAAGTGTACAGTATGTAGTAGGCTTAAATATAAGGATGGTAAACGTGGATTTGGGCTTAGTAGGCTTGAGCAGGTATTGTGGGTTTAGGCTTAGTAGGCTTAATAAGCTTAGGCTTGTTTAGTTTGGAAACGTAAGTTTAAGGTTAGTAGATTTAGGTTCTTAAGCTTACTTAGGCTAAGGGAAGTTAGGCTTAGGAGCCTTAAGCTTTTAGGGGTAAGGTTTTAGGTTTAAGCTAAGGATTTTTGGCTTAGTCTTCTAGGCTTAGGCTTTTAGGCTTAGGTTTCTAGGCTTAGGCTTTTAGGCTTAGGCTTCTAGGCTTAGGCTTCTAGGTTTAGGCTTCTAGGCTTAGGCTTCTAGGCTTAGGCTTTTAGTATACTAAACATAGAAAGCTTAGCAGGTTTTGTTATTTTAGGTAAAGATGGTTATTATGATCATAAGGAATGAATATCATTATTTTATTTTTAGATTCGCACAACAGCCATGACCCACCGTCGTGAGTTCCTAGAGGCCTGGAATAAGATGGCCGAAGGCCAGAAGCATTTTTCTGAAATTATTCGCCAGATCAATGCCAAAGACGAGCGCTTCCAACTCAAAACCTATGACAAAACGGCGGGCCGAGGAGACGAGAAGGATAATATCATGGAACTAAACGACGGTCTTCGAAAGCTACACAACAAAAAGGAGAAAGAACGAAAGAAACTAAAGAAGAAACAAGCCAAAGAAGCGGAAAAGAAACGATTACAAGTGGCACACCTCCCGATCGGCAAGAACCTGACCGAAGGTGACGAACCCCAGGATTCCGATGCCAGCGACAGTGATTCAGATTCGGAATCCGACAATTATGATGTGGTATTGAATGAGGAAATCTTCCAAGAAGTCATCAGGCCCCATTCACCGGTTTTCGAAGCGGAAAAAGTGGGTTTTTATGAAAATTTTGAGTTTTTTACTCATTTTGGGTGGTTTTTGGGGTTTTTCGGCCGTTTTTTGCTTTGTAAAGAAAGTTCTTGCAATTTTTTGTTTCGTAAGGAAGTTTCTGCTATTTTGTGGTTTATAAAGAAAGTTCTTGCGATTTTTTAATTTGATAAGAAAGTTCTTGCCATTTTTTGTTTTGTAAAGGAAATTTTTGTCATAATCCGTATTGTAAAGAAAGTTCTTGCTAGCTTGCGTATTTTTTAAAAAAGTTTGTAATTTTTTGCTTTGTAAAAAACGTTTTTGCCGTTTTTATAATGTGACGAAAAAGCAAAATATTTTTTTTAATTTGGAAAGAAAGTTTTTTCTAAAAACTCAAAAATTTCTAAAAACCCCATTTTGAAGCATTGTTAACAAAGTTATTGCCAAAATTTTATTTTATGCACTGTGCAGCGCCATTTGTCTTCTTTGCACAATGCGAAAGCGCGATCCCGTCCGATCTGGCAAGTTAAGCAACGGTGCGCTTGATTACAAAAAAGTTCGAGGAGCACAGGGTGGAAAGAAAGCTTTTGACAGTTTATAACATGCTTACTATAAATTTTGTCATTTTTTGATTTGTAAAGAAAGTTCTTGCGTTTTTTGAGGATATGAAGGCATTTTTAATTGTTTTTCGTCTTGAAAAGAACGTTTTTGCATTTTATGATTTTTTTTTGTACCTAAAATATAAAAATTTGATGTTTTCAGCCAGTTGTCATTCATCGAGAATCAACTGCAAAGCCGATGTTAGTCAATATTGTGAATAAAAACGGATCAGTGATCAAGCACGCGGCCGAACTGTCGAACCAATTTGACATGACTATTGAAGTGGCAGTGGAAATGGGCCTAAATCAATGTAATAAGAATCCACAGGAATGGCAAATTGCGTTTGTTCACGAGGAATATTCGGACGATTTTTTGGAAAAAGATGCCGTTTTTGACTGGTCGATTGCACACATTGCTGGTGTTATTCCGATTGGATATCAGGTGGTAAGTTTAAAAATTTCGAGAGTGTTTTTGCTTTTTTTTTAATGCGTAAATCTTGATAAATTAAATTTTTTTAACCCAGCTAGAGGCTTAAAAGCTTTAAATTGCCATTCAACGTATAACTTGTCACCCGCAGGATGCGCAATTTGAAACGTGATTTTAATGAACTAAAATGGCAAGAACATTCTTTACAAAATGAAAAATGGCAAGAATTTTCTTTACAAAACAAGAAATGGCAAGAACTTTCTTTACAAAACGAGAAATGGCAAGAACTTTCTTTACAAAACTAAAAATGGCAAATGTGTAACAGGCATGCTTTAAAATGCTCAAAAACTTTGTTTCCACCCATTGTTTCTCGAACTTTTTATAATCAAGCGCACCGTTGCTTAACTTGCCAGATCGGATGGGACCGCGCTTTCGCACTGTGCAAAGAAGACAAATGGCGCTGCACGGTGCAGAAATTAGTTTTATGGCAATAACTTTGTTTACAGTGATAGGGAATGACATTTTATGGGATTTTTGGGTTTTTTTCAAGAACTTTCTTTAAAAAATAAAAAATGACAAAAACTTTCTTTACAAGCTTTTTTCAGACAACTGACTACTGGACTGGCCTAATCCTGGTCTCAAACTCAGACAATCGAACTGTTTGGCCAATAACTCAATCCCTGTCACTTTCAAATTGGCACGACCAATGTGATAGTAAAAGCATTGACTTGACAGTTACCATGTCATATACCATATACGATGAGTATAAAGTACCGACCAGAAGCGAAATAACCAAAATGAAGATAAAATACGGCTCAAAATTGTTGGAATTAATGTGTCAAGGCTTCAAAGAAGCTGGGATTCAGAATCCACAACACCTGACACCGTGCGGAATCATAAGGAAAGTCAATAAGAATTGGCACGAAGTCAAGTTCTATGACAATGTGGAGAGGGATGGGCATTATCAAGCCGTTTTGAAGGCGATTAATGTGGGTTTTTTGTTTTTGAAGGAATTTGAAAAGGTTTAAACAGTGGAAAGAAAGTTCTTGCCATTTATTGTTTTGTAAATAAAGTTCTTGCCATTTTATGTTTTGTAAAGAAAGTTCTTGCCATTTTTTGTTTTTTAAAGAAAGTTATTTTGTTTACTCAAAAAAAAAACTTTTTTGAAGCTTGGAAACAAAGTTTTTGCAGTTTTTTTCATTTTTAGCTTATAAACGGATTCATCGTATAACTTGTCACTCGCTGCCTGCGCGACTAGTTTTTGCTATAAAATGAGTATTTTAGGGTTTGGAAAGAAAATTTTTGCAATTTTTTATTTTGTAAAGAAAGTTTTTGCAGTTTACAACATTTTTTGCCTGGCAATGGGTTTCATCGTATAAATTGTCACTCGCAGACTGCAAAGGGCTTTTACAATAAAAAAGGTGCATTTTTTGTTTTGTAAAGAAAGTTCTTGCTATTTTTTGTTTTGTAAAGAAAGTTCTTGCCATTTTTTGTTTTGTAAAGAAAGTTCTTGCCATTTTCAAGTTTTGTAAGAAAATTTTGTTTTTTGTTGACTGTATTTTACATTACTTTACTTTCAGACCATTGAACAAGCAACAGCAATTCTTCATAGAGAAAATGTTATTGTTAGAATAGCCCAATACCCCGTAAAAGCCTTGGATTTGGTGCGATTCGAAAATATGGCCAGATTTATATGCGATGAGAACGTGGACATTGGGACTTTGAATTATTATAAAGACTATTCGGATTACTTTTCAGCTAAACTTATGAATGTGGAAGAGGTAAGAGGTTTTATGGTTTGTTTATGGTTTAAAATACTTAAAATTAGGTTTTGTTTTGAACTATTTTTGGTTGGATTTACTATTTAGGCTTAAATTTGATAAGTTTAGGTTTATTAGGCACAGGGTTAGGTTTTAAAAGTAGGCTTACGCCTGAGTATGGTATGATTAGGCTTATGTTTGATAATTAATAGGCTATTTTTTAAAAAATTTTTTTACTTTTAAGAGACATAACATTAGGCTTAATAAGTAGGTTTAGACTTCCTGGCTTAGGCTTTTAGGTCTAGATTTTTAAGTTTAGGGTTGGGCTTAGTAAGTTTAGTGGTTAGGCATAGATGTTTAGGCGTGAAGTTTTAGGCTTATTCGTTGTGGCTTAGGCTTTAGGTTTATGTCTCTAGGCGTAGTCTTCTATGCTTAGGCTTCTAGGCTTAGGTTTTTAGGCTTAGGCTTCTGGGCTTAGGCTTAGGCTTCTAGGCTTACGCTTCTAGGCTTAGGCTTCTAGGGTTAGGTTTCTAGGCTTAGGCTTCGGCTTCTAAGACTAGTCCTCTAGGGTTCTGGGGCTAAGCTTTGAGTTTTGTAGGTTTAGGTTTCTAGACTTAAACTTACGAGTTTAAGGTTTTGTACTCTTAGGCTTACTGTTTTCAGGCTTTGCTTTGGTAAGCATAAAATTAACTTAAACTTAGTATTAGGCTTATACCTCAAATTAAGCCTAACTTTGTCATTTTCAGCACGAAAAGCTCTATCACGTTATCGTTAGAAGACATTCTTCACCAGCTATCATCGGCCTTCACACTGTAAAGTCCGCTTCACTGAACAGAATGAAAGATCTTAAGAAGTTTATAGAAGCCAAGTTTAACTACGATCCATTGGAAATGGCACACGTCACTGTTTATCGGTCTAACCGAGTTGTCGTGGATGGGTTGTACGACATGGAGAATATTATACCAAATCAGGTCTACACATTTGTTATCGAAGATTAACTATTTTGTAATTTTTGTTTTTTTTTAATTTTTTTTGGTGCCGAAAGGCTAGAAAAGGTAATATTAATAAATCTATTAGGTTGTTTGGCCAATTTTTAAGATTTTTAATGGTTTTTTTCCATTTTTTTATTTTTAATGGAAGTTTTTGCAATTTTTCGTTTTATAAAGAAAATACTTGCTTAAAACTTTAAAAATTAAAAAAATTTTGTTTTTTTTTCATTGTAAACAAAGTTATTGCCAAAAACATGATTTCTGCACTGTGCAACGCCATTTGCCTTTTTTGCACAGTGCAAAAGCGCGATCCCGTCCGATCTGGCAAGTTAAGCAACGGTGCGCTTGATTATAAAAAGTTTGAGAAGCATCAGGGTGGAAAGAAAGTTTTTGGCAGCTTAAAGCATGCCTTTTATAAACTTTGTCATATCTTTGAATCTTTAGTTTAGCACTTATTCTTTTATAAAAAAAGTTTTTGCCATTTTTGTTTTGTAAAGAAATTTTTTGTTATTTTTTATCCTAATGTTGGAAACGAAAAATTTTTGGTTTTTAGTGTTCATTCATGTTAACTAGACATGAAAGAACATATGAAGCTGTAATAAAGCACTGGAAAAGAAGCCTTTCATTTTTACACTTGAAATGGTTTCCATGACACATAATATATCACACTTTTTCTTGCATAACTACATTTTTATGGTTAGAAAAATTTAATTGCTTCTACCTTTACCCATACCCCTACCTTTACCCCTACCCCTGCCCCTACCCATACCCCTACCCCTACCCCTACCCTTACCCCTACCCCTACCCCTACCCCTACCCCTACCCCTACCCCTACCCCTACCCCTACCCCTACCCCTACCCCTACCCCTACCCCTACCCCTACCCCTACCCCTACCCCTACCCCTACCCCTACCCCTACCCCTACCCCTACCCCTACCCCTACCCCTACCCCTACCCCTACCCCTACCCCTACCCCTACCCCTACCTCTACCCCTACCCCTACCCCTACCCCTACCCCTACCCCTACCCCTACCCCTACCCCTACCCCTACCCCTACCCCTACCCCTACCCCTACCCCTACCCCTACCCCTACCCCCTACCCCTACCCCTACCCCTACCTCTACCCCCTACCCCCTACCCCTACCCCCTACCTCTACCCCCTACCCCTACCTCTACCCCTACCTTTACCCCTACCCCTGCCCCTACCCCTACCCCTACCCCTTCCCCTACCCCTACCCCTACTCATATCCCTACCCCTACTGTGATTACGGAACCCATCCCGAGCCTTACCATTACTTTTGTGAATTTTAAATCTACCCTTATTTCTAAGAATCATGAAGTCACCCCTATCTTTAAAAGATAAAAATTCTGTCCCTTTAGGCATAAGCCCTTTCATTATCCCTACCTCTCCCGCCTACCTCCATATTGTCCTACCCAACTTTATCTTTCTTACCTTAGTTTTGCCTAATCTACAACCATTACCCATGCCTCATCCCTACTACCTTACTTTACCCTCCCGTGCCTTGGCTTTGCCATAGCCCTTCACTCTAGAAGCTAGACTATCAGAATCCCTAACAGGATTTATAATATTATAGTATCCATTTCACAAATCGGCCATCTTTTTATGTCGGCAAACACGCACCTGGCCGTGTCATTGCCATTTTTTGAAACAAAAAGTGGACATTCCACTGAAAATGGTCATTGCGAGAGGGTTTGAGCTTTTGGGTAATGTTGAGTATTAGCGAAACAAGTATTTTCACGAGATTTGTATTAATAGCTGGGTTAATGAATGTTATAATACCTTTGGCTTGGGCAACAGAAATTGCAGTTATTATGAATAGGTAATTTTATATGTTGTTCTAGCGTATATGTCACAAAAGGCTTATTTTTACGCTTGATTTTACGTGTCGAATTGTTAGACACGGTGGTTTACGGCATAGTAATGTTAGGCTTATTATGCTTAGATTCACAAGGTTGGTAAGGCTTGATAGGCTTAGTTTTAGCAGGCATAGGCTTACGCTTAATAGGTTTAAATTTTTAGGTTTAAGCTTAGTAGGCTTAGGCTTAGTAGGCTTAAACTTATTAGGTTTAGGCTTAGAAGGTTTAGGCTTAGTTTGCTTAGGCTTAGTACGCTTTGGCCCATTAGACTTAGGAGGCTTTGGCTTAGTAGGCTTAGGCTTAGTAGGCTTAGGCTTAGTGGGCTTAGGCTTAGTAGGCTTAGGTTAAGTAGGCTTAGGCTTAGTGGGCTTAGGCTTAGTAGGCTTAGGTTAAGTAGGTTTAGACTTAGCAGGTGTAGGCTTATTAAGTTTAGGCTTAGTAGACTTAATTTTGGACTACTTTTTGTTTTTTAGTGACAAACTGTAAGCCTTATGACTCAATCCACTTGTACTCTGACCTTCTAGACCCCACCGTGTTTCCAAACCCCATTAAACATTTATAAAGATCTTCACCATCTCATTGTGCTATCACGCACGCTTCTGCCATTACTCATTCATTTCATAACAGAAACGTTTAAGAAAGTCGAACGTATCGCCATAGCAATGTACGACGTAATGCCGCCTCATTTGGTGGTTTGTCCGTTCTGTGAACGTCTGTTCTCCAGATTCTCGATCGGTCTGCATCAGCCACAGTGTAAGCAGAATCCCTACAAAATGACTGTGGTAAGTTTGGGGAATGTGGTATGAGATGTTTTTAGGTTTAGGTTTTTAGGCTTAGGGTTTTAGGCTTAGATTGCCAGATTGAGGTCTTCATCTTTAGGTCTTTAGCCTTTTGGGCTTAAAATTATTTTTTAGGCTTAAAACTATTTTTTAGGCTTAGACTTAGGCAACGTTTTAACGTGTGGACTTAGGTTTTTAGGCTTATGGATTTAGGCTTAGACTTGTAGAATTAAATCTAGAATTTTTAGACTTAAGATTTTAGCCTTAAATTAGGCTTTTAGGCTTATGCTTTTAAGCTTAGATTTCTAGGCTTATGTTTTTTATGCTTAACCTTTTAGGCGTAGACTTTTAGACTTAGATTTTTAAGTTCAAACATTTAGGCTTAGACGTTTACGTTTAGGTTTTTGAATTTAGGTGAGTAGTCTTAAACTTTTTGCCCTATTTCCTCGCAGAAATTTGAAGTAAAATCCCAGCACACGCAGTCATTTGTTGGGTCGTTTTACATCGAGGCAAATATTACAAAAATTAATAATATTGCATAAGAAACCGTTGCGTAACATGGTTTCTTGTACTTTCTCTAAGGCTATGTTACTATACTATAATATTAGGCAATGTCATGCAAAATGTTAACCAATTATCTAGTAGTAAAGGTTTTTCGAATTTTGTTTTATGTTGCAAGCTTAACTTTAGTAGGCTTAAACTTAGTAGAATGAGGCAAAGTACGTTAGGATATGTAAGCTTACGGTCAGTAGGCTTAGTAAGCGCAGGCTCCCTTGGATCAAGCAATGGTAAGCTTATAGGCTTGGGTTGGGCTTAGTAGGTCAGTGTGTAACAAGTTCGAATTAATGTTAATACATTAACAAGACCAATTTAAAGTTATATACATTAACAATGTCAATGTAAACTCACATATTCTTTCAGCACAAAGACCTCTCATCCAAGTCAAAATCAAAGAAGCCTTCAGGCAAGAAGCGAAGCAAAAGCGTTGGCCACAACGCAAAGTCTTTTCAGAAGGCTAAACTAGATGATCGACCAAGTACTACAACTTTTACATCAAAGACAAAAAGTAGACTTTACCTTATCTTTAGCGTTAAACGTGAGCTTAACCATAAATTGAAGTGTAAGCCCAAGCTCAAAAGAATTTTTTACAGAACCTCAAGACCTCCCTACTCCAACCACCTCCTCCCTACCTCAAACTTGTTTCGTGTGTGGTCAAAACGTCGACTATGAGCCCTTAATCGACCACGAAATCGAATGTGAAGCGGTTTGGCGCACGAATCGACGAGACCTGCCTGCTTATATGCAAGTACGATCGCCAAAGAAAATGCGCATACCTAGTGTGGACGGGACCATAGATGGGGCTAGACTGGACTGGTACGCTGAAAAAAGTGCTACCGCTGCGAATCGAGTACGATGCTTGAAATGTGGCAGGGTGGAGAGGTTTGACGATGCTTGTGGGCATCAGTGTGCACGTTTCGAGCCTACTGTGCAGTTTTACTTTTGAATTTTGGTTTTGGCGGCAAATGGGAAATGTTATGACTATATCAATTTAAAATGGCAATTTGATGACATTGTCGATTTGAAATGCCAAATTATATGAATTTGTTAATATTAGGTGCCGACATTAAGAACCCGCCATTTTTTACAGGAAATTAGAGGCAAAGTATGGCGGGTTCTTTATGTCGGCACTTACAATACTTTTTTAAAATTGTTGAAAAATAAAAAAAATGTTAATTATGATTTAAAAGTACATTGAGTTAGTTGTAAATAAAGTTTTTTTTCTGTTGAGACAATTGATTCGGAAATATAAATTTAACTCGATTTATTTTGATAATTTAATAGCTAAATATTAACAACGTTATCGTATGTAGCAATCTTATTAATTGCCAAGACAAAAGTCTGAAGTCATACGTTTGTCTATGGTTTCTATAAGTAAGCATGGTTCAATTGTTATCAGCTTATATGTATGGCCCAGAGCTCTATACCAGAGCCCTGAGCCCTAGCCCAGAGACTTAGCCCAGAACCCTAGCCCAGAGCCCTAGCCTAAAGCCCTAGCCCTAACCCAGAGCCCTAGCCCAGAGCCCTAGCCCAGAACTCTAGCCCAGAGCCATAGCCTAGCGCTCTAGCCCAGAGCCCTAGCCTAGAGCACTAGCTTGAAGCCCTAACTTTTTACCTCTGGCCTTTAATTTGCTTTAAATTATGGCCACGCTCATGTTCATGTTCATGCTTGTGCTTTCGCTCGTGCTCATTCACATGCTCTGGCTCCGGATTTAATAAGGCCCAGGGTTGTACTCTAGCTTTTAACTACGTTTAGTCCTATGCGTATTTTAGTCCTTTTCTTTAACTGCAAATAGGCCACAACTCTATCCTAATTTTTCCTCCAGGTCAACCTTACAATTTTGATTTTGTCGTTTTGTAAATAAAAAACCGAGACGTCAATAAAATTTAATATGAGTGGGACACATTAGTTATAGTCACATTTAATCACATTGTAATTAACAGGATCACATTGTTGTTTTTTGCGTTAGGAGTGGCTAAGAAGAAATTTTAGGACACAAGCTCTAGAATTCATAGTAAACTATAAATGCCTCCCGAACTTGAGCTAGCTACAAAGTGCTACGAAAGCTACAGAATAGAATCTTCGTGGCAAATGCGCACGGTCTATATTACTGGGGGTGTTTGGTACATCACAACAACTATATTATTGTTGAGAGCTGTCAGGGATCGAAAAAATCGATATGTACCTGCTCATGCTAATTTTAAGGTTGGTTTGTCAAAGGGGCCCTAGCATTAGCCTTAATCTTAGCCTTAGCCCTAGCTCTGCCTGTAATGCTTACAGTATGAATTTTGTTTCAAAGGTTGTAAAAAGTACCATAGCTTCATTGACGAACCCTAACTTTATCAATTTTTAGATAATAGTGACAAACGCCACTGTAGCAATATTCTGTCAAACAGTACCCCCGTCTTTTTCGGTATGGGTAGCTGTCTACAAGTCGTTTACAGAAACCCCAGATAATTGTAAAACATTGATTGGTGGGTTAGAATGTGTTGCTCTACGAGGGGCGAGTTTAATCACGGTACCTTTACTAACTCTACTTCATATGGTGACGTTGGTTGAGCGACTGTGCGCTTACTTTCATTCAGAACGGTATGAAAAACGGTCGAAATGGTATGGTATTGCGTCTGTTCCACTTGCTGTAAGTTTGAGCTACTTCTGAGAAATGCGAAACAAAGTGAAGCGGGCTAGTTTTATGAAACCACAGTAATTCTTGAGCTACAGAGTCTTGGTGATGCTCTCCTCAAGAATTCAGGCCGTATCCGGGAGCGTGTGTAGGTCAAGCAACTATACTGTATATAAAAATATTTTCAGTGGATGCTAGCAGCGTTAACAATGTACTACGTGGTTAAGTTAGAAAGCCGCGAAGTTTTGATGACGCATTGTACGTTGACTACAAACACAAATGCTACTAGAATCTTAAGGTTCTATCAAGTTGTAATGGTAGCTGATGTGATCATCGCTGTATGTGATGGTTGTTTAGCTTGTGTGACTAGTAGAAAGAAAAGTAGAATAGTGACGTTGATCCACAGCAAGCGGTTTAGTCGGTAAGCTAACAAAGGGGTAGATTACAACAAGGGTATATATTAGGTGGTATGAAAAGTGTTGAGCTACTAAAAGTTTGTATAAAAAGTATTGAGCTACCGGAGTCTATACCAGAAAATTTTTTTTTGCGCAACAACAGCAACTATTTATTATCAGCAAATCGTCGTCCACACAAAAATACAGTCAAATGTTTAAGAATCAGTAGATGCCATGTCCGGCGTGTATAGAGGATGATTAAGAACTTCATATCCAAGCCCCTAGAACTTAATTTCCAAACCCCTTCAGTTTTTCTTGCCGTTTTTACCACATGAGGGAGGACATTGTCGTGCAAGATGATCGGACCTCTTCTCTTCAGCATTGACACGGAAAATGGCAGGACATGTAATTGATCTGGTTACAATAAGGAACTTATGGTTTGACCGCGTTTTATGAAATTGTAGTAAATTAGTCCGCAACTACACCATAAAACTGTCAAGATAATCTTATTTTGTTGCAGTTCTAGCTTTGAAAACTGGCTGGCCGATTGTCCAGAATGAGAGCATGGTTTAGACACTTCATAATCTAAGACCCTTCTGTTTATCTTGGGTTGTCTTGGCCACACAAGGGAGGGCATTGTCATACAAAATGATTAGATCTCTTTGTCTCAGCAAGCTCAATACTTTAACCTAGTAGTAACGAACTGCAAAAGCAGAGCATGAAGCTACATTTAATTAACGGGAATACTTTAGAGACTACGATAACTACACATTATCTCGTGCATATCAAGAAAACGAAAACGGTAGGATACTGTCAATGGTGTTTCCAGTTACAACTGCCTTTGCTTTTGGTCATATTGTATACGCCGGTTTGGCAACAGTTTTCAGAGTTTTTTTAGTGAACCCAGATGATTATCGAGATTTTGAAACTTATATTGACAAGAAAATCATACTACTGTCTATTACAGAAGGCATCCATATGGTACGGTTTTTTTTTGTACTTACAAACATATGTAATTACAAACCTACCTATGCTTATTTTGTGACGTTTTTAATGCATTACATTAATTTTCACGCACATTAGGAAGTTTTTTTAAATATGAATACATACGTTTCATGTTATGTATAAAAATATTCTAAAACTAATTTTTAGATATTCACTACAACACTGATGGTAGTCATACAAATGTACTGCAGAATGGGCGAACGATTAATGAACGAGAAGATGGCAAAGGTTCATAAACCAGATACAGATATTACGTTTAAATTGTTTAATCAACAAATTAATTATATTAAAGGTAGTAAATAGAAATTTTTGTTGCTGTTTTTCTAGGCAAGAGCGCGGGTAGCGCAGTGGTTGCGGCGCCACTTGCTAGTCGGAAGACCTAGGTTCGGCCCCGCCTCCGCCCAACCCAGGCGCATTGAGGAATGGGTAATGCTGGGAGCACGTAGACTAGGCCTCATCACGTAGCCAACACAGGTGTATGATAGACAAGCCATAAGTCCTATGGAGCACCTCACCCACGAACCAGTGATGCGGTGAACAGTGAAAACTGGGGGAAGCGCAATCATGGGAAACATCATAAACCAAGGGTAACTCCGGTGGTCAACGAGGAAAACTAGAACAATCCAGGAACATACACGCAGTACCTCAATACAATCGTCGGCATCAACATCATATAATCTAACTACATCTACATTCCACCGACCATAAATTGTAATTGTATAGCGTAGAAAATATGTTAATAAACCTTTTTTTTGAACATTTTCGTTTATTACTATTGTATAGTTATCAAATTTTAATCTTCCGTTAATTATAAAGCTTATTGTCGAGGTTTCAGTGTTTGCCCAAAACGACGAGTAAATAAATCGATATTAAAAGCAGGCTGGTTTATTCACAAGCTGACATAAATCTAACAAGGAAAGTACCCAACCTGCAACTCTCAGAATTAGCTCAAAATTTTTATACGGATTCTTTGTAGTACCAGTAGCACATATAAAGTCTCTTTGCTTATATATATATATTTATTTAAATTTTCCGCCAATTTGGCAAATTTGGCATTGTGTTCCAAGCACTTTTTTGATGTTCCAGTTAAGATTAGACATGAGCAACGGGTCGGGCCTGACCAAAATTAAAAACGGGCCAGACTTGAAAATTGGGCCCGGGCCCGAAAAAAAAATTGTAAATAAATTTTTTATTTCAATCCCCGTTGATGTTTTTTAATTCTATTGATGTGAGTACTATAATCCACAATGGTCTAAAAAAATTGGGCCGGGCCGGGCCTGATTAAAATCAAAAATGGGCCGGGTTTAAAAATCGGGCCCGGCCCGTTGCTCATGTCTAGATAAGATAGGTTTAAAAATTTAAAGTTGCAAGTTAAAAGCTTAAAAACTATCGCTAATTTGACGGGAAGTTAAAAACGCAATTTTTTGATCTCGATTTTCTTAAGTCTGGCCGCAAGCCGCAACCATGAATTTTATATAAGGTCTTCATTTACGTGATCTTTCAATAGAAAAAATTTTGAACCAAATCTGAGCGTTGCAGGTCGGGTACCTTCCTTGTAAGACTGAATTAAACCGTAGTACATCTTACTTACGTAATTCGTAGAAGTATACATTGAATCATATTGTAGTTTCTAATTTGAAGGTACGTAAAATTGTCGTTCACCTTTAGTAAACGTAGTCATTTGAAGAACTCGCACTTCTTCCATTTTCATTGTATCGATGGAGGTGGAAGTAGAGGAAAAGGTAGAACGATAGTGGGCAGGTTGAGTTTTTTACGCTATTTGTTGATTTGAGAGCTGTTAGATGTAGGTAAAAAGTGCAAGTTGTCGATTGGCTAGGATTGGCTTGCACTTTTCGTGTACGGTATTGACAATACACTTACTAAGACGCTAAACAGTGGAAGAAGGGGGACTAAAGGTTTACAAAAAAGTGCGAAAAATTAGAAACATGGGTAGTAAGATAGTAAGAAATATTGTAGTAAAATATAATGTATTTTTGTTAAGTTTTAGGCCAGTTTGGAAAAGATAGTTGAAAGTGCAGGTTCCCAAACGACGGCATCTGAGACTGGGACTTTTAGTCACCCGGCAAGGTGAAACGTACTCGTGATTTAACGATTTGTTTCATAAGGGCTACAGAAAACCATTTTTGAAATTATTTTCTCTTGTTGCAATAGCGGATTTTCTTCATCTCGTGTTGCAATTGTGGTCAAGAATTCTTCCCGGACTGGACCCAATGCGGGAGTCCGGAATTTGAATCTTGTTTTCCCGTGCTTTTTTCTACCGGTCGGATCGGTCTGAGACTTTTTCTACCCCCATATTTGGAATGGTGCTGACCCTTCTAGATGCTGTTAATTTTTGGTATCTATAATAGTTTTCGAAGTATGAGTTTGGCGGGAATAATAAATTCAAAAATCCTGATCGTCCGGGCCACCCCGGACCCAAGAGGCAAAACTCTGATTGTGCCCGTTCGGACGATCTTTATCTCTTGTATCTTTGTCGATGACTGTGCCTAAAGCGAGTCATACCGTTGACTACAAAACAAAGTTGTATACAATGCTTGATGAGCTCTCGGAATGTTACTACAACTTTTATCAACCCGCCGCATAATTAATCTTGCCGAGAAAAATGTACCGTAAACCCCAGTGCGCTCCGAAAACATGCTATCATTATTTTTACGGTTTAAGCACCGGTATGCCCAAATAACACTTAATGGCCGCTTCTGAGCGAGACGTCAAGAAATGTAATAATTATGCGGTGTAACAACTATAGTGGCATTAATGGGTGTTGTAATTAGTGGCGCTCCACATCCTTGTTGCCTCTTCAAAATAGTTTGTCATAGTGCGCTAAAGACAAGGTATTTTGATTAGGGGTTTCAGGAAGTGTACTAAAGTGTATAGAAGTGGTTAATTTCTGTAATAGTTTATGTCACGTGTGTCGAATTACAAAAACTTCACATGATTCAAATACAAGTAACAAGTATGTTGAACAACCTGTAAAAGTAAGATACAGTGGGATCTAAACATAAGTTATGTTATTTGTTTTTGAACTGTAAATTAGCGGAGCCGTGTTATTTCGAGTAAATTAATATTTTAGATATATAATTGTTACTACACTGTCATCAACGTGAGTTTAAAAAAATTGAATATTCCAGATTGGCTTTGTTTATTTTCTGACAATATTATTTATGAATATCTTATAGTATAATAGCCAGCAATAGTGATTTATAATACTGATACGTGGTTGATTTACGTTAGTCTAGATGATGGCACTTGACTTTGACCTAGCTACAAAGTGCTACGAAAGTTATAGAATTGAATCTTCGTGGCAAATGCGCACCGCCTATATGTGCGCTATGGTTTGGGACAGTACAACGTTTATACTGTTGTTTATTGCTGTCAAAAACCGCAAGCAGCGGTACGTACCTGCTCATGTGAACTTTAAGGTGAATATGCATTATCCAATTATTATGTATTTTTTTAAATTTTCGCTATTTACATTACGTAGGTAACCCAAACTGACCAAAGGTAATTGCTATTTTCCACTTTTCAGATAATAGTAACAAACGGGACCATAGCGATATTTCTACAAACAATACCACCATTTATATTAAATTTGATAGCTATTTACAACTCGTTCGCTGTAACTCCGGACAATTGTTTCACATTAATTAGTAGGATACAGTGCTTTACGTTAAGATCATGGAATTTGATTACTGTACCTTTGTTGACGTTGCTTCATATGGTGACATTGTTTGAACGATTGTGCGCTTACTTTCAATCGGATAAATATGAAAAACGATCGATACGGTCTGGTATTGCTTCTGTTCCGATCATTGTAAGTTTGAACTTACTCTGAGTTACAAGTGTATATTGAACTAAACCGTAGTAGTTTTATGATGCCACAGTAACGGGTCAGCACGTTTTGTGTTTTGCTTACTTGAGTCTTAGCAAAACGTATTGTTGTAATGGCAATGAAGTTATTAAACCTTTTTCAGTGGCTGATAGCCGGCTTAATGATATACTACGTGATTAACATGGATGGTCGGCTAGATTTAATGACCCATTGTACATTAACCACAAAGACAAACGCTATGAGGATTTTAAGGTTTTATCAAGTTTTAATGTTTGCCGACGTGTTTATTGCGATATGTGATGGCTGCTTAGCTTATGTCATTACTAAGAAAACTACAATTATAAAGTCGGCTAACAAGAAACAGTCTAGTCTGTAAGTGATGGACTTGAAAGCATATTAAAGCATTAAAGAATGGCACAAAATGTTTTTTTTAAACAATCTGCAGTATGTAAAATTTTTTCACATTTTTTCCCATTTAGCCATTACAACAACTACACATTGTCCCGGGCTTATCAAGAAAACGAAAATAGCAGATTACTGTCAATGGTATTCCCAGTCACCAGCGTCTTTGCTTTTGGTCATATTATATATGCTGGTTTAGCAACGTTTATGAGAATTGTTTTTGCAACTAATCCAGATGATGAAAATGATTTAGAAGTTTACATTGAGAAGAAAATAAAACTTTTGGCTAGTACTGAAGGCATTCAAGTGGTGAGTAGAAGCGTATACAACTACAATTTTGGTTGTCATACACAAACACTTACACAGTATAAGACACACGTAATAATACTAGCTATGTGTTAGTTTTTACGTTTTTTTATATGCTATCAAGTTTATCCTTTAGTTTTTATTTTCAGATATTAACCACAACACTGTTAGTAGTGATACACATGTACTGCAAGATGGGCAAACGATTAATGTCGGAGAAAGTGACCAAAATTAACAAGTCCGAAACCGACGTATATTTTAAATTGTTTAATCAACAAATTAATAGTATTAAAGTAATTAAATAGACTTTTATTGTTGTTTTACTGGCACGGCGAAACGTTTTCAGTAAGGTTAAGTATTATTGGAAAGCCATTGTATTTTTCCACAATGTTTTGTACCATTGGAAAGCCAGCGTATTTTTCAATACTGTACATACCATTTCTCAAAGCCGATGAATAATAAGTGAAGCAGAATGTCTCATTCTTGAGTTTTCTCAATAAGCATGTTGAATGACATCAAGTGATTTCTCGTAGAAAATTGAAATACGGCTTACGATACTCGTTTTAAAGCTGCTTCTTCCAGTCGCCGTGCCGAACTCTTCTTGAGACTTTGAGTGCTGTTGGTAGCAACGGGATGGATGAAAAGGATATCTATTGGATTCTCCAGAATGTTAATTACCATTGGGTAGCCATTGTATTCTTCCACAATGTACAGTACCATTGGATAGCCATTGGATTTCGATCTTCTGTTAACATTGTATAGCCATTGAATTTCAATCTTCTGTTAAAGCTAATTGTTGAGATCTCAGAGCCGACCGGTTCATACCGGCCGCTCAGTAAGTTCAACAGCAATAAATGTTATACAATGTTGAGATGGCGTGAGGTCAGGGTTTTGAATTTCGTTTTCCCGCCAAACTCATATCTTGAAAACTGTAATAGCTAGCAAGAAAATAACAACGTAAAATGGATTAGCAGTGTTTAGAACCCATTTCTAAAAATTTTTGCGTTTTTAGGCCTAGCCAAAAAAATTAAAAAAAAGCGCGCCAAAAAACAATTCAAAAATGCCCTGTTACAGGGCCTTTGTTGGCCTTGATGCCCTGCCCTGCGTCCAACCCTGCGTGAGGTTCGCCCTTGGGTTTTGCATTTTAGACATGGATTTGGTTTCGGTACGTAGGCGATCGCATTTCCAATCCTTGGAGTTCGCGAGCTGTTGTTCGTTGTTTCACGACACTTATAAATCTTATTAGATGGGACGCTTATTACATTTGATAGAACACCAAAATTGCCATCATTCCAAAGAATATACCTGCAAAGAATAAATTATTTCATTTAATGACATTTAAAAATAAACAGAATATTACCTCCGCCTTCACAAGTCTTCAGTCGTAAGGGTTTCACAACACGAACATATTATATACACGTTATGAATAGATGGTTAATCAACGTGAAAAATAAAACATTCAACAAGAAATTGAAGGAGTTTTGAGCATTTTATTTTCCCAAATCGTGGTGAACATGAAGACGTTTGAAGACAGATGATGTTGCATTTGTCGGGGATTTTAAATTGTGGCTGTCGGCATATAAATGACTATGATAATGTTTTATAGTTAGAGTAAAGGAGCCAAACCGCTTTTTTTTTATTTTTTTTGGTGATACGAGTCCAGTCTTAGTTTGGGTCCTGGCTGTTAGGCCCCCATGTCTGTCGGTTCGGGCCGACTTTTTTTAAATTGGGTCCGGCCCGGATTCTTAGTAAATATTAGGTCGTTCACATAATTCTGTGCCCTTTCTTATAGCAAAAATTTTGAGTTTAGGGGTCTCAGAATTAGTTGAATTGTCTAATAACTTCAAAACCATATTCTTTTTTGACTTGTTGGAAGTCAAATCTTTCGTTTCGAGACCTAAGCTAGACCATTGGGGCTTTGGTTTGGGCCTTTTTTAGGTCCAGTGATGGCTCTTTTACGCGTACTGGTGGCCTGAGCAAGAATTTTTTTGTTTGGGTGTGGTAAAATACGTTTTAGTATCGGTTTTATTCTAAACAAAAAATTTTAAAAATGCAAAAAATATATATTAGGGAGCACGTAATTATGTGAACAACCTAATATACATAATATAAGATGAAATTGAAAGCAGAATTTAGATAAGAATGCCAGATGCAGCAGAGGTGTTCGCAGTATTAAAGCTTTTAATGGAACTACTGATGTTTTACGTTTTGATATTGGCATACTACTTCAACAAAAAACTTGACCAGACAGCTTTGATTCACTATAATTTAAAGCTTATTTTAGTAAGTTTGTCCTACCCTACCCTACCCTACCCTACCCTCCTCTACCTTCATTTGCCCCGCCTTTTCCGATTTAGCCCTGACTTGTTTTGCCCTGCCCGCTCGTCCGGCTTTTCTCTGTCCTGCCCTTCCTGCTACGCCCTCCCGGTCTTGCCTTGTCCCGCCTGACCTTGCCCTAACTTATCTTACTCTACGCCGCCTTTCTTTGTTATGCCCTGCCCGCTTGTCTTTTTCCTGCCCACCCTGCCTTATCCTACCCACTCTCTTTACTCACATAACCTATCTATTTCAGCGTAACATAGGCATCATCTTCCCCATAATCAACATATCTCGCTTCTTCTCCTATGGCTGGGCGTATGTAATGCAAGCTGGACTAATCTCACCAGTTCAAGCCAATGTTGTTTGTTTGGTGTCTAGGTTTATAGAAGATGTTGGACTAGGTTGTTGTGCAACATTGATCATACAGATCACATTAGAGCGAACGGCAGCAACACTGATGAGGAAGACATATGAGAAGAAGGGTGCTCACATTGGATGGTTGATCACTGGACAGACGGTTGGTTTTGGAACATTTGCGGGGGGGAGGGGGGGGAGGGCGATTTTGAAAAAAAATTAAAAAAGGATTACATATAAAATGGCACTAAAATAAAAATTGTAATTTTTTAATTTAGTTTAGCAACAATGACAAAGCGTTTTGGCTAGCCAAATAAAACATTATAAAACATTTTTTTTAGTTTTTTATGGCTATATGTTTCACCATATCAAACATAGTGTACGACGTGATAGTAAGCGGTAAAATGAAGCTGGAAAAACGTTATGTCGGCTGTCGGCTAGACCAGTTTCATCTCTTCATGTACCTCATGGTATTTGTCTCCGCTTTCTTATGTTCTGTCATTGCTGCGTCGGTAGGTTTTACATAGTAACTATTGGGTAGGGCAGGATATGTTAGGGAAAGGTAGGGCAGGGCAGGGTAGGGTAGGGTAGGGTAGGGTAGGGTAGGGTAGGGTAGGGTAGGGTAGGGTAGGGTAGGGTAGGGTAGGGTAGGGGTAGGGTAGGGTAGGGTAGGGTAGGGTAGGGTAGGGTAGGGTAGGGTAGGGTAGGGTAGGGTAGGGTAGGGCAGAGTAAGGTAGTGTAGAGTAGGTTAGAGTAAGATATGGTATTTTACAGTAATCATAAAACGACCTTTCAGGCCCTGTTCTACATTTACCGGTACTGCCTAAAAAAGCTGAGTCAAATGACAGAGATGAAATTATCGACCAGATATCAATATAGTGAAAACATAGCCTGTATCAAAGCCCTGTTACCGCCAATGATGTTCTACGTTATCACTGCTTCATCCGGTGTTTATGTGACAATTTTTGTTTATACAAACTTCTGGGAGGATGAACAAATCGAGGAAAATCGGGACCTCATTGATGCTCATCTTATGGTAGGTTCTTCGAGATTTGTAGGATGGGCAAGGGTATAAGTACATCAGGTTTGAACCTCGGCAAACATAGGTAACTTCCATTAAAGAACAAAAAATGGCAATAACTTTCCTTACAGATCAAAAAATGACAAAATTTATAGTAGGCATGATATAAAATGTCAAAAACTTTGTTTCCATCTAGTGCTCCTCTAACTTTTTATAATCAAGCGCACCGTTGCTTAGCTTGTCAGATCGGACGGGATCGCGCTTTCGCACTGTGCAAACAAGACAAATGGCGTTGCACGGTGCAGAAATGAACTTTTTGGCAAGAACTTTGTTTACAATGATGGAAAATGGCATTTTTAAATTTTTTTTGAAAAACTGCAATAGCTTTCTTTACATAATGAAAAATGGCAAAAACTTTCTTTACAAACCAAAAAATGGCAAGAACACAATTTTTCCCCACATGTAAATACTAAAAATCAATACCTTTCAGGTATTGCACATAATTGGCCAATTATATGCCATTGGAGCGATGACATGCTTCTTAATGTCATTTAAACCACTACGTCAGAATGTGGCACAAGACTTTCAGTGCTGTTTTCGGAAAAAGTCGGTCGAACCGGACGATACAAAGGAGAAGGCTGACGTTGTAAAGAGAGAGGAGAATGTCGACTACTTCAAGATGATGAACAAGACTTGGCAATAAGCTGCTATTATAAGCATATCTACATCATGATTAGTGATTTTTGTAAATTTTAAGTGTATTTTAGGTAATAAAAAATGAAATTTTTAAGCAAACGTGAAAAAGCTTTAAAATAGCAAGAACTTTCTTTACAAAACAAAAAACGGCAAGAACTTTGTTTACAAAACATAAAATGGCAAGAACTTTCTTTACAAAACATAAAAACAAAAAACTTAATTTTATTGACCTTTTAAAAGCAATTTATCTAAGAATTAAGTACTACAACAATATAATAACACGATATATACGATATTAAATCTAAAACAACATGTTAGTCAGATAACAATGAAAATTTAAGAAATTAAAAGCCAAAGTTGTAAAATAAGACCCGATAGACAGCATTATCCACAAAAATCCTGCAAAAATGTTATAAAATAGACACTGTTCCTCAATAAACCTAATATACATCACAATATAGTGATGTTAAAAACGATTAAAAGCTTGAAAGACCAGTAAAATCAATTTAAAAGCAAATATCACAGTTAATTCTATCTAAAACAATATAAATCAGTGTTAATTTAATCAATAAAAGCTATAAAAATCAGTTATTTTCCATTTTTCTTTGATTTTTTCCCAATTTTAGTACCATTTTCCTCTCGATATTGTACCAATATCTTCCTGGCCAAATTACAAATGTGTCTAAACCGATCTGGTCCCAAATGTATTCCACCGTACCATCTTGTTATCACAATCATCTGGTTTTCCATATTCATCAGCTTTAGCATGTGTAATAGCTTTGGGCCAGCCGCCTTCTCTCCATCATCTTCACAGTCCGATAACTCAATACCATTGGGTAGTTTGATGATGTATGCGTACATATTGTGTGTGGCACGTGCTATTTTACTGTTTTCCAATAGTTGAGACAAGGCTTCCATTGGCTATAAAGAAAGAGTTTGAATAAAAAGCAAAAAATTATATTACACTAGACAGGTATACTGTTTTTGTTCATAAAAATAGAAATTACAACTTCTAAAAGCCGAACTTAATATCGACAGCTTCCTTATTATCTTTGCTAGCTCAAATAAACATCCAGCTGCCTCAAATTTATACCTAAAATCCAAAAACATAAAAACAAAACACCTACCTCATCCTTAGTATGTACATTAACAATATGTGCCTGAAAAACACTTTTACGATCTTCAAAACATTCTCCACTCATCCAGTCGTATCTTCTTGAACTAATACAGCTTCTACCAATGTTATTAGCTCTGATTCCTTCGGATTCTCTACGTTCTTCCTCAATATTGTCATTGGTCTGGGGTTTTGCTTCCAAATTCTTTTTGTAATCTTCTACAATGTTTTGTGCTGTCACAATGCATTGACATATCACCGGTATTCCTTTAAAATCGTTGTAGTCTGTTCTGAATTGATCAATCAGCTTTCTTTGGAGTTCTGTCATAAAAGCAGGGACTATAACATGGTGTTCTGGTGGTGAGCTGGACAAAAAGGCTTTTAAAGGAAATTTAAAACCTAATCAATTCAAAATTAATATCATTAGCTTCAGAAAAACCTGCTACAGCTTATTATAACAAAAAACTTCGTCTTTTACGCTTAACTTTTTCAAAAACCATTAATTATGTTATTTTATCCATTACCAAAACAGAAAAAAACCTTTTAACTAACCTTTTCTCTCAAAACCGTATTCACAACCAATCTAAAATCACAAAAAAACAAGTTAAAAACTTACTCTGAAGGATAAGAAGCTGGTAAATTGAATTTAAGTTCCACTTCGCAGTCTAATTTTACATAAACCGTTCGTGTAGCCTCGTCAACATTAACAACATCCGGGAAAACTGTTGTTAAAGCAAATATCTCTTCATTTTGTTGTTGCAGATTGTCTTCTATTGATGTGGACATTCGAGAAGGGTTAGTATTGAATTGAGAAGTCAATTATTCTCCAAAAAAAGATTTATTTATTCGCGGGCTGCGGCCGATCAAAGAAGAGAAGAAGTGTGACAGCAGGCTGCGTAAACATACACAACATTTAAAAAGGGTTGTAAAAGCTAAAATAAAGTGTAAAACTGAAATGTAAATCCTTGTAAAATTTAAAAATAGTACTTTCCAAATTTTCCATTTAAAATTTTAACAAATTTCAGCCCGGTTTCAATGTTATAACAACTTTATTTACATTTTACATACAAATATACAGTTTTTGCGGGTTTTTGGTAAGAAAAATAGCCTTGATTCGCTGAGATTCCATTGATTTGCATACCGGCTACATTTTAGAAGAACAAACGCATATAAACACTGTCATTCCAATTGTGAGGCGTTTCTTTTTGACACATTGGCTGTTGGTAGTACTGAAATTGCCATTTTTAATATAACTTTTAGTCTAATTTTAATTTTTTAATAAAAAAAATTTTAGGTATGAAATTTGCCATGCTTTATCAGATGTTGCAACCAGATTTTTAAAATTTTTTCTGTTCAAAAAGTTATGACCTATATTAACATAGATATCAATACCTACATAGCTCTGAAGCCGTTCAGTTAGTTGAACGGCGAAGGCAGGTGGAAATAAAGTTTCTACCAGTTTGAAGGCTTCTTCCTTGCTTCTTTTCCCCAGCTTTCGACACATTTGTGAGATTGACATTTCTGAAAATTCGGCTAAAACTGCTTCGCCTAGGATTAGTACTAGACTTTGGGTTGAGACATCTGGATCATCTAATAATGGATTTGATTGTAGTGTAGCTTCTAGATCTCTTCGAAGGTTCTGGAGTAATAACCGACTGGAGAGGTAGATTAGGGAGGGGATGTTTTGGGCTGAAACAACGAAATTTTATTTTTTGGGGTGGGCTGTTACATAAGTAAGGTATGGCTGGGAGAAAAATATAGATGAAGAAAGGCTAAGCCAAGATAAAAGTATATATAGGCAGGGCAGGGCAGAAGAGAGCTAGGGCAAATCTAAAAGAAGGCTTATGTTGGGCATGGCTAAATTAGTGTCACAAGGTAGGGCAGGGCAAAAAAGGTTACGTAGTAGAAGTAGGGGTAAACAAGGCAAGGCAAGGCAAGGCAAGCCAAAACAAGGCAAAACAAGGCAAGGCAAGGCAAAGCAAGGCAAGGGCTCGAGCTCAGGTTAGGGCTAAAGCTAAGGCTCGGCTAGGCAACTCTAAACTTCAAACTACTATAACCTAAGGAACCTACCGGTTATTCTCTGTTCGAATTCATAATTTTCATCAGGACAAACCACTCGTAGCACCTCAAGCATGTCTTCAAAGTCAACATCTTCCAACTCGACTTTGTTGTCTTCATGTTCTCTGAAGTTGGCAAAGCATAAAGCTTCAAAGTAGGGTGAGATCTCTGCTAGGTAATGGGCGTTCACATATAACACTTGGCCATCAATTTCAAGTTGAAATTGCCTTAATGGGGTTGGGGTTGTAAAATCTATCACCATTTCTGAAAATTTTAAAATTATGAAAAAATTTAAATATATTAACATATATATTTAAAAATTTCAAAGCGAAAATTCAGAAACTTTATATACAGAAGAAAAAACGACAAGAACTTACTTTACAAAACAAAAACTGACAAAATTGAAGTTAGGTTTGTAATAAAATACTAAAAACTTTATTTCCACCCAGTGTTCCTTGAACTTTTTATAATCAAGCGCACCGTTGCTTAACTTGCCAGATCGGACGGGATCGTGTTTTCGCACTGTGCAAAGAAGGCAAATGGCGCTGCACGGTGCGGAAACTAATTTTCTGGCAATACCTTTGTTTACAAAGATGGAAAATGGCATTTTTAACATTTTTTATATTTATGCAAAAACTTTCTTTACAAAAGTTTTGTAAAAAATTTGAAATTTTATAATTTTTAAAAAACCGCAAGTACTTTCTTTACAATACAAGAAATGGCAAAAACGTTCTTTACAAAACAAAAATTTGCAAGAACTTTATTTACAAAACTTAAGACTGCAAGAACTTTCTTTACAAATCCATAAACGCCTTAAAAATGCCAAATTTCACTCGTTTTTCAGACAAAAACAACATATTTCATACTTTCATACTCCTAGCAGAAAAATAAGCCGCGTGAACTGTACAAATACTCGTATTCTGTCAGTTTTGGTATAATAAAACCAAATAAAAAACAAAAAACGATTGATTCTTCTTTGTTTGTGGAAAGGTTTACCCTTCTCCTTCACGTTCATGTGAATTCCAGGTGATAAAAGTGCAAAAAAAGGTATTAACTAACACAGAGAATCATATTATATAACTTTATCAAAAAAAAAATTTTTTTCAATTTCAAAAAAATTTCGAAAAAATGAAAAAAAAATCATTATTGCGACGCAGACGCAAGGTCGAGAAGTCTGAAACCCATATGATCGGAAGCGTAAAACGCGACGAGAAACGATATCATTGTCTGCAAACAGGCTGTTCTTTGATTGACTATCACGAAAAATGGAAATAACTTTCTTTACTATGCGAAAAATGGCAAGAACTCTCTTTACAAAACAAAAAATGGCAAGAACTTTTTTTACAAAATAAGAAATAGCAGAAACTTTCTTTACAAAACAAAAAATAACAAGAACATTCTTTACAAACTAAAAAATGACAAGGTTTATAATAGGAATACCTTAAAATGCACAAAAACTTTGCTTCCACTCAGTGTTCCTCAAACTTTTTATAATCAAGCGCACCGTTGCTTAACTTGCCAGATCGGACGGGACCGCGCTTTCGCACTGTGCAAAGAAGACAAATGGCGCTGCACGGTGCAGAAATTCAGTTTTTTGGCGATAACTTTGTTTACAATGATTGAAAATGGCATTTTAAAGGATTTTTGAGATTTTTGCAAGAACTTTCTTTACAATTCAAAAAACGGCAAAAACTTTCTTTACAAATTAAAAAATGACAAGAGCTTTCTTTACAAACTAAAAAATGGCAAGAACTTTCTTTACAAAAACAAAGTTTTAGTTCAAAATTAGAAAATTTAAAAAAAAACCAATATTCGAAAAGACATAACAAAAAGGATACATATTTATAAAACAGCTTATTAATAAAGCGAAAAAACCAAGAAGCCACATTTCATTTTCCACGGTCTGATCTGATAAAAACGCTTTTCGATTGAATAACGAAATCGTATCTTTATAAGTTTCAAAAAACAAAAAATAGTAAACAAGAACACAACTGATACTTGTGATCTCTTAGGTTTTTTTTATAAGGAGAGGGTAAAGAGAACAATTTTATTTATGTTAGGGTCGTCTTGCGAGATACCCCTATTTCTATCTATCCTTACTGATTCAGAAGGTTGTGAGAGGTGGAAAAAAGTAGGGTAGGGAAGAGCAGGAACCTGTGAGGGGGGGAGGAAGGAAGAGAAAAAGGTAGGGTAAGTTAAAAAAAGTAAAGGCAGATCATTAATAAGGCTATGATAAAACACTCAAATAGATTAATGCTAAGGCTAAGGCTAAAGCTAAGGCTAAAGCTAAGGCTAAGGCTAAGGCTAAGGCTAAGGCTAAGGCTCTGGGCTAGAGCTCTGGGCTCTGGACTGGTTCTTTGGTTTGAATGTTGAAAAGAAGTGATCGATTTGGTTTAAAATATTGCTTTTTAGGTGAGAAAAAACGTAATAATGATATGTTGTAACGATCATCATATTACTATTTACATTATTAATATAGTGTAACAAGCAAAGTACATGTTTGCGTCAGAATGATGGTAAAGATGTTGATTTAAAAGGGCAAAAATGTTACTGAAATTTAAAAATTTTTGAAAAAAAAAAATTTTTTAACAAAAGTTATTAAAAAATGACATTTTCAAAGATCACAACAACCCAAATCTCGGTTATTTTCCATCACAACATCGTGTCAAACAATAAATAACCAAAAAGAGAAGATTTGCGATAAAACAATGTCAAAACTACTGAAAAAGTTGAAGAATTTTTTTAAAAATAAGTAATAATTAATCTAATTGATAAATAACTGATAATGTATGTGATGCAAGGCAAACTTTCAAAAGGTTTAAAGTATAACTAGCCTTAGCCTTAGCTTTAGCCTAGACATGAGAAACGGGCCGGGCCTGAATGTTAGGCAGCGATTCATTTTTCAGGCCCGGCCCGATCGAAACTTTACTCGAGGCCGGATCGGCCCGTTTCTCAAGTCTACCTTTAGCCTTAGCCTTAGCCTTAGCCTTAGTCTTAGCCTTAGCCTTAGCCTTAGCCTTAGACTTAGCCTTAGCCTTAGCCTTAGCCTTAGCCTTAGCCTTAGCCTTAGCCTTAGCCTTAGCGTTAGCATTAGCGTTAGCGTTAGCCTTAGCCTCTTATTATATCTTTGCCTTGCGCTTGTATTTTAAAAAAAAAAGAGTAGGATAACACTTCAGGTTTATAAAAGTCCTTGTAAGCCTAACAACTTCAAATAAGATAACTCTAAGCTGTGACAAGCTTTATACCCATGCCCTTCTAAAAAACACCTCCCAGACGGTTTTCCAGTTTGAAAGACTAATATTTTGTTAAAACGACGTAAAAACGTTGAGTTAAACATGATCTTATCGCTAGGTGAGTTAATGAGTTAAAAACGTAAAATATAAACTTGTGTCTGGCGTTTTCGAAAATGAAAAAACAAGTTAAAAGTTTGAAAATACAGTAACAGAAAGAGACAAAAAATTAAAAAAAAATTTTTTTGTTTGTGTAGAGCAAAATTAAATTCATTTTTAACCTGTATTTATTATGATACACAATATAATTTTCAATTCAAGTACAATACTACAAAGTGCGCAAAAAGTTTCGTTACATTGGTGCGCCAAAAGTTCCGTCACAAAACTTTACCGGTCGTAACAGAACTTTTCTCGCACCCGGTACAAATTTCACTGTCTGGCACCTACTACAATATAAATCTAGTTCAAAACTTGTTCTCTGCACTCCTTGGGGCTCATAACTTTGTAAGCCGGATGCATTTGGAACCACCAGTCTTGTAGCAAAGTAGGCATGTGAGCAGATGGTACATAGTACAGTAGAGCATCAATTCCTGGACGGTAACGTGTTCGTGGGTACTTGGCAGTCAGGGCATGGAAGTAGGAGTCGACGACAAGTTGAGGGTCAGAGCCAAAGCCGTAGCGGGCTTGGGTAGTTTCTCTGGCTGAAATTTTGGGATTAGTACCTAGTAACTGCGAGACACAATGGGCCTAGGTATAACTAGAGTAAGGTAACGCTATAGCAGAACGACGGTATAACTAGTCCAGATATGAGGTAGGCTTAGGTATGGCTAGTGCACAGTACGTCTACAAGTTAGCTAGAGAAAGGCAAGTCTAAAGACAGAGTAGGCTTAAGTAAGGCTACAGTAAGGGAAAGCTAGACCGAAGCTAAGGCAAGGCTGTTCTATAGAACACATAGTGTTAGATAAGATATTGGAAAAGGCTAGGTATGACTACGATAAAGCTAGGCAGCTAAAAACCTACTGAATTCAAAGAACTTTTCCCCAAACTCTTCTTTCACTTTGTCTGGCTGACGTTCCCATGCCCGTTCGATATTTCTTAGACCATTTTCAACTTTGTTCATTGGTGTGCGTAGAAAGCCCGGTTCCACAATGCAAACTGTTATACCGTGCATTGCGTACTCTCTTCTGAAAAAATTAAAATTTAAGTTACAGTATGCTTTATTATGAGAATAGTAGGGCCTTGAAGTAGAGAAGAATCCAGACTAGGCTAAGATAAACCATGAAGTTCGGCTAGAATAGGAGTCATATTGGGGTATGAGAAGGTAGGGTAAGGTAGGGTAAGGCAAGGCAAGGCAAGGCAAGGCAAGGCAAGGCAAGGCAAGGCAAGGCAAGGCAAGGCAAGGCAAGGCAAGGCAAGGCAAGGCAAGGCAAGGCAAGGCAAGGCAAGGCAAGGCAAGGCAAGGCAAGGCAGTATACATTATATTGATGTACCGTACCTGATAGTATCAGAAAAAGCTTCAACACCGTACTTGGCCACAGCATACGGCCCAATTTGAGCTGGCGCACAGACAGAGAAACTGCTGGATACATTGACTATTCTTCCACTGAAAAAGGCTTTATTAAGGCTACAGAGCAAAATATTTTACCCTACCCTATCTTATATTACCCTACCCTATAATACTTTACCCTACCCTACCCTACCCTACCCTACCCTACCCTACCCTACCCTACCCTACCCTACCCTACCCTACCCTACCCTACCCTACAATACCCCACCCCCACCCTACCCTACCCTACCCTACCCTACCCTACCCTACCCTACCCTACCCTACCCTACCCCTACCCTACCCTACCCTACCCTATCCTACCCTACCCTACCCTACCCTACCCTACCCTACCCTACCCTACCCTACCGTGACTGTTAATACCATAAGACTTACCGGCTCTTCTTAAGCATATTTCTAAAAGTATGAGTAACTCTTATCACTCCAAGTGTATCAACTTCAAACAGCCGTCTATAACTCTCAGTCGACTGCCATTCATCCCACACAAATTCACCAGCAATCCCAGCGTTATTAACTATGGCATGCAACCCAGCCACTCCTACAGTATCTTCAATCATTTGCTGAATACGTTGAACATGCTCATCACTAGTCACATCCATCAGAAAGGCGTGTAACGTTCCTTTCATGTGCTTACAGTCGGATATTAGGTCTTCTTTACCCTAGAGTGAGGCTGTAGTTAAGGTACTAGGCTAGAGCTTTAGACTAGGATTCTGGACTAAGGCTTTGGAATACTGCTCTGGTCTAGGAATACGGAGCAGGCCTGGCCGATACAACTTTAGGTTTGGGCTGGGTCGAGCCGGCCCTCAGCGAAATTTAAATCGAGCCCAGCCTGAAAAATGGGCCCGACCCGCTTTTCGTGTCTACTCTGGACTAGGACTCTGGGCTAAACATAGAAAACGGGCCAAGCCTGAGCTAAAATTAGATCGGTCAGGGCTTGGAACTTGGGCCCGGCCGGTTTTCCATGTCAACTAGAGGCTACGGCTAGCGTTCTAGGCTAGGACTTTGGGCTAGGGCTCTGGGCTAGGGCTCTGGGCTAAGGCTCCGGGCTAGGGCTCTGGGCTAGGGCTCTGGGCTAGGGCTCTGGGCTAGGGCTCTGGACTAGGGCTCTGGACTAGGGCTCTCGGCTAAACTAAGGCTTACCTGTTCAGTGGTGCAGCTAGCAAACACGGTCATTCCGTAGGTCATACATTGTTTGGCTAGTCCATTACCAAATCCAGAATCACAGCCTGTTATTAAGACTGCCTTACCGTAGGCATCTTTGATAACCATGAGCTCTCTTATGTACCTGACAGTGTAGTACGTTATGATCCATAGCACTATCGCTAGGAGTATTAGGGACATACTGTAACCTAAAAAATAAATTAAAAAAAAATTTTTTTTTACCCTACCCCACTTTACTCTGCCCTACCATACCCTACTCTGCCCTACTACACTAACCTACCATACCCATTCATAACTTACCTCCCAACTTAAAAGCTACCCCCAAAACTCTTTTAACTGCCCTCCCCAAGCAGTCTAAGCCAATTTAACCACAACTTATCAAACACTTCCACAACGTACCGTAATCAGCAGTAAACAAACGTGTTTAATCTCATTTTGTGCAATTATCAATCAATTGATTGAATCAACACAACTTTTATAGGAATAACAGTCAGATAAGAAGGCAAGGCTTTGCACTGTTTTAATTAAAAACTCATGATTTGGTAGTGGCATGGCTGAAAATATTTTTAAAAAAAAAATAAAAATTTTTTTAAATTTAAAATTTTCACCTAAAAAGCATGTGTTTCGCCAAAAATGCCATTTTCCATCATTGTAAACAAAGTTATTGCCAAAAAGTTAATTTCTGCACCGTGCAACGCCATTTGTCTTGTTTGCACAGTGCGAAAGCGCGATCCCGTCCGATCTGGCAAGTTAAGCAACGGCGCGCTTGATTATAAAAAATTCGAGGAACACTGGGTGAAAACAAAGTTTATGACAAAACTTGACAAAAAAATCGGAATTTGAAACTCAATCAACTAAAATTAACAGCCAAAAAAGGTACGACCAAAAACAGTTTGCACGGTGCAAAAACGGTTATTCTAAAATTAAAAAGATCATTTTAAAAAACAAAAATACAATTACAAACAAATATTTAAAAACGGCAAGAACTTTCTTTAAAAAACCAAAAATGACAAGAACTTTCTTTACAAAACCAAAAATGACAAGAACATTCTTTACAAATGCTTTAGACCAAGTTTTTGTTGTATCAGCTACTGAAGTCTTTTAGTTCTATACAATGTGTTTTTTGTTCCGTATCGTCGTTAATAAGATAAGAGCATGTGTGTGTATGTTATGTTTAGTCTAAGATCTAAATGTCAATCAAAAACATTTTTATATAAAGCACAACGCTATGCTTAGAATGGTCAAAGACTAAAGGTTATAAAAATAACAAAGAGCAAGGTACAATGAGTTCCTACCCTATCTCACCTTGCTTTACCTACCCTACTATACCTTACCTCACATTGCCTTGCCTTGCTTTGCCTTGCCTTGCCTTGCCTTGCCTTAAAAGTCTCATCTATGTCCTATTCATGCTTAACTCATACCCTACCCTTATCCTACCTTTAGTCCTACTCATACTCTACAAATGTCCTACCCCTTTCCTGCGCTATTCTGTCCTACTTTCCCATTAACAATACTACTTCCTATTCTACCCGCTGTAAGCCACTTTGAGCCTTAACTGATGACTTGCTCTATGAGTTACTCTAACTTAATGAGTCATACTCCAAGCCTTACAGTACACCCTACTCTATTCTTATACCTTTTAGTAAAACCTATCCTATCGTTTCATAAAAAACTTTTTTATTTTTAATTTATGAAATTTAAGTCCTAAGGGCATTTAAAAAACCAAGCCAAAATCAAGCTTTTATTTCCTCTTTCTACCAACACTATATTAACCATGACTTCAACCTTCATCCACCTTTTCCATCACCCTTATCACTAATCTCATCTTTAATCTCGTCTTCGCTCTGTACTATATCCTTATCAATCCAAGACGTCTCTCTGTAGCTCAGGGCTCTGAATCTTTCTATTTGCAGCTCTTCCAGTATCACATTAGTCAAATCGACCAGTATTTCGTACATCTCCTGCTTCCCAGTACAACATAGTAAAGTCCATCGGGATAGAGTAAAGCATTTACTGCGCGATGTCATTTGAGATAGACGCCATTTCCCAATGTTATTGCATTGGGTGTTGGCTAGCCGCTCGGTTCGGGTCAGCGTATCTTCGTCTCGATGACTTTGGCTATGTCGTACTTGGTTGTAGATACCTGGAAATTGTATTTTTTTGGTTTTGCAGGCTGCGAGTGACAAGTTATACGATGAATAACATTTTTTTAAATGGTAAAGAAAGTTCTTGTTATTTTACGGTTTGTAAAGAAAGTTCTTGCCATTTCTTGGTTTGTAAAGAAAGTTCTTGTCATTTTTTGTCTTGCGAAGAAATTTCTTACTATTTTTTGTGTTGTAAAGAAAGTTCTTGTCATTTTTTACTTTTTAAAGAAAGTTTTTGCCACTTTTTATCTTGTAAAGAAAGTTATCGCCATTTAAAAAAAACCAAATTTTGTATAGTGCAAGCTGCGGAAGACAAGACATACGTTGGCCTACAAAACCTGAAATTGCAAGAACTTTCTTTACAAAATAAAAAATGGCAATAACTTTCATTAAAAACCAAGAAGTGGCAATAACTTTCTTTACAAACCAAGAAATGGCAAGAACTTTCTTTACAAAATAAAAAATGGCAATAACTTTCTTTACAAACCAAGAAATGGCAAGAACTTTCTTTACAAAACTAAAAATTGAAAATAACGCCAAAGCTTACCCAAATAATCGATTAAAAGTGTCCTGACATCGAGTACGAAATAGCCATAGAGTTTTTCGTATTCTCTGTTTGTATCTCGCAGATCCGACAAAGAGATGAATCGCCTCGAGGAATATGGCCAATAATCAGGGAAACTCTAAAAATTAAAGAAAATTGAATTAAAATTTTGTAAAGGAAGTTTTTGCTAAGATAGAAGTATATGTAGGGTAGACTAACGTAAAAGAAAAAAAAGGCTAATGCATAGGTGTAGAGGGAGTTAGTGTTAGGCCAGCCTAACGTATAAAGATAAAGGTAATTAAGGAAGGCTAGACTAACATATAGACGTAAGGGTAAGCTAGACTGCAAGTTCTAAACTAGGGTTTTGAGCTAAGGCTAGGGCTCTGAGCTCAAGCTCTGGGCTAGAATTAAGACTCTGAGCTAGGGCTCTGGGCTAGAGCTCTGGGCTAGGGCTCTGGGCTAAGGCTCTGGGCTAGGGCTCTGGGCTAGGGCTCTAGGCTAGGGCTGTGAACTAAGACTCTAGCCTAAGGCTCTAGGCTAGGGCTCTGAGCTAGAACTGTGGGCTAGGGCTAAAACTCGCTTGAATATTGGGATACTGTATTTGAAAAGGTCCAAACTTCTTGTCATTCTCGCAGTTAACACTTTCGTTGTAGTACAAACCGCCTTCTTTGAACTCGTCATTACATCGCCTAGCCGACACGGCTTTACAACAACATTGGCAGGTGCCGTCACTAAAATTTAAAAAAAATTTAAAAAAGTTTTAAAAATTAAAAAATAATAAAAAATTCAATATTAAAATAAAAAAAAATTCTAAATTACAAAAATTTTAAAAAGTTTTAAAAATAAAAAAAAATTTTAAAAAAATCAAAAAAATAAAAATGACATTAAAATTTAAATAAAATTCAAAAGCAAAATTTTTATTTTAAATTTCAAAGCTTGAACCCACATTAAAACACAAATAGCCAATCGGCCATGGTTAATTCGATAACACGCATCTGTATTGCTAATCTCCGTGTCAATCGCTTTATAATGATAATAACCATCGGCTGTTGTATTCGCAGCGCAGTAGCCATAATATCCATCAACTTCCGCCTTTTGTTCATCTTGACGCGTGGTGTAGCATTTTGTTGCCTAAAATATGCTCCACATGAATTTTTATCATACTTATATAATTTGCCCTACCCTATCCCAGAGCCCTAGCCCAGAGTCCTAGCCCAGAGCCCTAGCCCAGAGCCCTAGCCCAGAGCCCTAGCCCAGAGCTTAGCCCAGAGCCCTAGCCCAGAGCTCAACCCAGAGTCCTAGCCCAGAGCCCTAGCCCAAAGCTCTAGTCCAGATCATACCCCTGCCCCTACCCTTTATAATACCCTGACCTCTACCCTTAGTAATACCTCTACCTTTTATAACACCATTGCATCTACCCATACATCTAGCAGTACCTACTAATATCCTTAGTAAGACTCATACCTCTACTCCTACTCCTACCCCTACCCTTTATAATAACCCTACCTCTACCTTTAGTAATACCCCTGCCCCTACCCGTACTCATTGCAATACGCCTACCCTTAGTAGTATCTTTGCTTCTACTTCTACTTTTAGTAATACCCCTACTCCCAGGAATACCCCTACCTCTACTCTCAGCAATACCCCTACCCCTACTCCCAGCAATACCTCTACCCCGACCCCACCCACCGGTATCGAATCCATTTGTTCTTGTGTCATATTGGGACTCATATCATGATCACATATTCCATTGTAACCAAAGTAACAACTACAACCGAGTCGTACGTAGCGTTTCGCGTAGATATCATGTGAGCTTGACTGAGTTGTATGCATAAACTCGATGAACTGTAGAGTACATTTGATGTCCGAACTATTACTGTAAGGTTCTAGGATTGGAGCACCATCAATTACCGTAACCGCGTTCATAACTGGAATTGAAAATTATAGTTTAAGACAAATTAAGATATTGTATGGTAGGGTAATGTAAGTCGAAGTAAAAAACATTAAGTTAGGCTAAGGTACTGTAAAATAGAATACTGTAGATCGAAGTGAGATATCGTAGGGTAAGATACTGTAAGGCAGAATATCGTGGGTCCGAGTGAAATACCGTAGGGTAGAATACTGTAAAGTAGAATACTGTAGGCCGGAGTGAGATACTGTAGGTCGGAGTGAGATACCGTAGAACAGGATACTGTGGACATGAGTGAGATACCGTAGAGCAAGATACTGTAGACCTGAGTGGAATACTGTAGGGTAGGCTATTGTAGACCGGAGTAAGATACTGTAGAGTAGAAGACTCAGGTTGGAATAATTCAGAATAGGTAGGGTAGGATAGGGTAGGGTAGGGTAGGGTAGGGTAGGGTAGGGTAAGGTAAGGTAGGGTAGGGTAGGGTAGGGTAGGGTAGGGTAGGGTAGGGTAGGGTAGGGTAGGGTAGGGTAGGGTAGGGTAGGGTAGGATAGGGTAGGGTAGGGTAGGGTAGGGTAGGGTAGGGTAGGGTAGGGTAGGGTAGGGTAGAGTAGGGTAGAGTAGGGTAGGGTAGGGTAGGGTAGGGTAGGGTAGGGTAGGGTAGGGTAGGGTAGGGTAGGGTAGGGTAGGGTAGGGTAGGGTAGGGTAGGGTAGGGTAGGGTAAGTACTTACCATCATCGATCGCTACACCATTCTTGTTATAGTAAGCACTACACATAAAGCCATTGGTACGATTATAAGGTACGATACTGAACGTTCTCTCACAGTATGCCAAGTAGTAAGCGACGACATCTGACAAACACGTTTTGCTTGGATCGTATGTACAGTTGACAAACCCCATGTGAAAGGATTGAATTCGTTGTGGCAGAGTTAACATTGGCACGTTTTTCGTTCTGTCAAAGTAGCAACTGATCTGAAATGGCAGTGTTATATAACGTATACTGTCCTGTCTTGCCTTGTCTTGCCTTGCATTTTCATATCTTACCCGGCCTGACAATACCTTACTCTATTTTACAGTATCCTTTTCGTTTCCTAATGTGCCGTGCTCTGCCCGATCTTACGTTACCTTATAACGGCTTACAGTACCCAACTCCATATCTCATTATCCTAACTTAACGTACCTTACAGTATCCGACTTCAGCCTACTGTACCCTACGCCTTATCCTATCCCACCCGTACTTCTCCAATATTATACTCTACCCCCAATTGTCGTACACTAACATAAAAATGCATTTTCTTGCCCACGCCCTACTTCTTCTACCCTTCCTACCCTAGCTTACCTTATCCCACCTTATATAATGTGCTCAACTCATTGACTACTCCACCGACCGCCACTGCGACGCTTTTCCCTGTTATCCTTGCTCCTCTCTCCCCCCCCCCCTTTCAACACACACTTACAGTAACGGTGTTTCCAAGCAGTTGGTCAAAGTACATTTCCTTTTCGTTCTGATCACAATCGTACTTCTTTTGGTCCGATTTGGTCATTGAGTAATTTAATTCGACCTGGTAACGATCGGACTCCAACGGGAGAAGCGTAAATTTCATCTCTATACCGTAGTACTAAAAACAAACGAATTACAGTAGTTTTAATATTCAAATTAATATAATCCTTAATTCACTCTTACTAACCCTATCCTAACGTATCTGTCCTACGTACCCCACCTTACCTACTCTATCGTATACTACAGTACCTAATCCTACAGTTTCCTACAGTACCTTATCACGCTGTATCTTATAGTATCAAACTCTACGTATTGTGCCGGACCTGGTTGTATATCTTACTGTATACTGCGGTACCTTATCATACTGTTTCCTACGGTACCTTACCCTGTTCTATCTTATTTTACCTGACCTTACTAATTTTATTGTACTGGACATTACTGTTTAGTACGATAAAATCAGTTACACTACTGTAACCTACTATTTTCTACCGTACCTCTTGCACCATGTACTACAATTCCCTACTTTAACTTACCTCCCTCTACCTTATCCACCCTACTGTAACTTACCTTCTCCTACCTTATCCACCCTACTGTAAATTATTGCTTTCTACTTAGCCTGATCTACCGTATACTACTGCAGCTCCCGGCGGCTAGTCTTTGCAGCATTTTATCGTGCTATGTCTTACCGTATTGTACCCTACTTGCATTACTGTGACCTATCCTACAATACCTTAACCTACTGCAGCTTCCAGTACCTTAACCTGTTGTATCTCATGGTAACTGACGCTACTGATCTTATCATACTGTACATTATTTGCACTACTACAGTACTCTCAACCTACCTTAGTTTCGTGCCCATTAAACTGGTCGGCGCTGCTTTGAAGTAGGACCTCGTCTTTGCTGTAGTTGACTGCCATTTCATATGGATGATCAAAGTATTGATACCTATAAAATTCAAAATTCGTTTTTCCCGTCGCTTCAAAGTAAACTTCTTTAGGGCTAGTTAACAGTGCTTGCAAAACGTGCGATGTGGAACGGCACGGCGAACAGACGGCAATCGACGAGTCTTCCTGTGGACTCATGTACACCACGCTTATCAGTTGAATCAGACAGTAAAAATCAACCTGAAACATGAACTTGTTAAAAATAGCGATTTTAGCCGTGTCCTACCCGAACTTTAAATTATTCCAACCTACAGTCTCCTACTCTACAGTATCTTACTCCGGTCTACAGTATCCTACTCTACGGTATCTCACTCAGGTCTACAGTATCCTGCCCTACAGTATCTCACTCGGACCTACAGTATTCTACTTTACAATACCCTACCCTACGGTATCTCATTCCGGCCTACAGTATTCTATTATAGTTTACAGTATTCTACCCTACGGTATCTTACTCCGATGTACCGTATTCTACTTTATAGTATCCTACCCTACGGTATCTCATTCCGGCCTACAGTATTCTACCTTACAGTATCCTGCCTTAGTGTCTCACTCCGACCTACAGTATTCTACCTTACAGTATCCTGCCTTACTGTATCTCACTCCGACCTACAGTATTCTACCTTACAGTACCCTACCCTACCAGTAGTTTATAATCTACCTTACCCTGGCATACTGTATCCTATTTTACAATATCCTATTTTGCATCGTACCATACACTATACTATAAAGTAAGCTTAGAACTTACTACACCGTTCCTCATAAGGTACTGAAACATAAAACATTATTAATTACAGTACACTCTACTATTTATATACTTTACCCTGCCCTATCTCACCTCAAGCCTCTTTACCCGCCTTACCTTACCTCAAGCGTTTGGTTACATTTCGGGGGGAGGTTCTCAGTGAAAGTGGTCACTTGTTTTGCTGTTTGGTTTTTGACAGAGTTGGGCAGACTTTGAATGAACGATGACATTTCGTTTTGCTGCGCCCAGGCGTATCTGCAAATGTCAATATGAAAAAAAGTATAAAAAATTCTTAAGCTGAAACTATGGTAGGTATAAGGGCGGAGTTTAGGCTATAACTTAAGCTTAGACTTAGGCTAACGCTAGGGGTATACCAAAGGGCGGGCGGGGACTTTTGTTCTGGAAGCGGGGGCAGGTTTTGACGTAAAGCGTGGTGCCCTGCCCTAGGGGAGCTAGGGCTCTGGGCTAGGGCTCTGGACTAGGGCTCTGGGCTAGGGAGCTAGGGTTTTGGGCTAGGGCTCTGGGCTAGGGCTCTGGGCTAGGGCTCTGGGCTAGGGCTCTTGGCTAAGGTTAGAATTACAACTTACTCTTTATCAGCCATACTTATGAAGAGAACCGTGCAATTGGCGTTCGGTATCTAAAATAGTCAGAATTAGTATTTAAAAAAAATGTTTAGCTATTTAGCTATACCGTTTTCAAAAATTGCCCATACCCTCTCCTCCCGTCATTTAAAAGCTGTATAAAAACATCCCCCCCGCCTCCCCGCTCCATCTCTTACAATTCACCTCACTTTTACTCCACCTCTCTACCAGTACCTTACCACTCCTTCCCCGTCTAAAACCATAACCACTACCTTAACTTACATGCCTCTTCTGTAGATCAACACAAAACTCAGCAGTATTCTCAATTCGATTGACAGGCCGCTCAATCAAGTCAGCCAAGAGCGAAGTTACCTCATCGTGAGCTGAAACAATGCCAATACAGACTAGACTAAACAGGAAAGCCACCATTATTGAGGTAGACAGGTAACAGAAATAATAACAAAATTAAAAATTTGAAAAATAGAAAAAATTTTAAATTTAAAATTTAAAAAAATTATTTTAATTTTTTTTGAAATTTTTTGTATACGGTAACTTTTTGGTCTAGTTATATATATGCCTTGCCTTGCCTTGCCTTGCCTTGCCTTGCCTTGCCTTGCCTTGCCTTGCCTTGCCTTGCCTTGCCTTGCCTTGCCTTGCCTTGCCTTGCCTTGCCTTGCCTTGCCTTGCCTTGCCTTGCCTTGCCTTGCCTTGCCTTGCCTTGCCTTGCCTTGCCTTGCCTTGCCTTGCCTTGCCTTGCCTTGCCTTGCCTTGCCTTGCCTTGCCTTGCCTTGCCCTGCCCTGCCCTGCTTTTTGCTACTCTACCATGCCTTACCCTACCCTGTCCATGCCCAATCTTTTACAACCCTACCATGCCTTACTCTACCCTGCTCATGCTCAACTTTTTGCTACACCACCATGTCTTTCCCTACTTTGCCCATGCCCCGCTTTTCGTGCTCATGCCGTGCTCTATCCTACCCATGCCCAACTTTTTACTACCGCACCATGCTTTAACCTCTCTATGCCCCTCACTCTACCCATGCTTTAAAACAAGAGTTTTTTATCAATTCTTTACTTTTACTACTACATCTATGTCTTACTTTTTTCTGCTATGCCCTACCCTGCCCTATCCTGTCCTACTTTTTTCTACCTTACCATGCCCTACCCTAAATATGCCTTACTCTACCCATGCCCTAAAACAATTTTTTTATATATTTTTTTACTATTTTCTACCTTGCCCTGCTTTACCATTTCCCTAACCTGCCTTTTCCAGAACAAACCGAGACATAATGCAAAGAAGGGAGAGCGGGCAGACAGTGAAAATTCACGCATTTTGTCGCTCTTTTTATCGAAAAAGACGCTTTTTCGGGAAATTTTATTTAAAAAACGTTGAATTTGGTTCAATTTCAATTAACGGTTGGTTTTTATTTTAATTTGAGTTTAATTTTAGGTTTTAAAACCTTAAAATTAAGTCTAAGGGGGGTTCAGGCTTAATTTTAAGGTTTTTTTGATTTTTTGAAATTTAAAAATTATTTTGAAGTTTTAAAAAATGAAAAAATTGTTTGAAAAGACATTAAAATTTTAAAAATTTTATTTTTTTTGCAAATTTGAAAAAAAATTTTGAAATTTTAAAACGAAAAAAAAAATTTTTAAATTTAAATTTTTTTTAAAAAATCAAAAAATCATTTTAGAACCCCTCCAAAACCTTCAAAAATTCCGTCGTCGTCGATAAAATACGGTCGATTGGCCTCATCCACCTTAACCACACCTTCATTATGGTATCATAGCAGCCAAAACGTATACATACGGTATGTTTATAAAGGAATACTGGTATCTGTGTGCATTATCGTGTTCTACCTTTTGACTGACTTCTGGAGTTGGCTACAATATCATGGTGATGAGGAGGTTCACATTGGTTTTGGAGGTAAGGGTGGGTTAGAGGGGTTTTTTGTGGTTTTTTTAAATTTTTAAAATTTTTTAAAAGATGAAATTTTAAAAATATGACATTTTTTAATTGATGAGGGTTTGGTCTTACATAAAATGGCAATTTTTCATAAAGTTTTTAACTAGGTTTATTAAAAAATGGCATTTATTAACCCGCGCTCCAAGGTTTTTCGCTTTTTTTTTGCTTTTTTTTTAAATTTTAAAAATTTTTAAAAGGTGAAAATTTAAAAATGTGACATTTTTTAATTTATATGGGTCTTGTCTTACATAAAATTTAATTTTTTGGTAAAAAGTTTGTATAGGTTTATTAAAAAATGGCATTTGTTAACCCGCGGCACCAAGTTTTTTGCTTTTTTTCGGTTTTTTTCGAATTTTTGAAGTTTTTGAAAAATGAAATTTAAAAAATATGATATTTCTTAAGTGATATAGGTCTGGCCTTAAATAAAATTGTCATTTTTAATTGAAGTTTTACCTAGTTTTAACAAAAAATGACATTTTGTAGCCTTAAATGTTTTTTTTTTAGAATTTTTAAGACTTTTTAAAAGAGAAAACTAAAAAAAATATGACATTCTTTAATTGACATCGATCTGTTCTAACATAAAAATTCCTTTTTGTATAAAAACTTTATCTAGTTTCGTCAAAAAATGGCATTTATTAGCATGCGTCAAAAAGAATTGATCGTTTTTGCTATGTAATCCTTAACAAAAAGGACCAATTCGTTTTGGCGCGGACTACTTGAACTTTTCTCATTGATAAAAAGACGGGGATAAAACTGAAAATAGAGGTAAATCAAGTTTTTTCATATTGAAAAAGGCCTAATTTTAAAAAATCTTGTGAATTTTTTAAAATTTTTTTATGACCAAACCCGGAAGTAGTATCATATTAATTATATCATAAGGTCATGAATAATTGCTCTATTTTGTTACAGAGTAATTTTATTATGGTAGAAGAACAAAAACTCAATAAAATTTTTGAATTGATTTGCAAATTTAAAAAAATTGCTTATATATAGCAGTTTTTGGAAAAAGTCTTGTCGTTTTTTTACATTCAAATCAGTGCAAAAAAACGACAAGACTTTTTTGACGTTTTAAGCTTATTATTTAGGTTTTTAAGCTTATTAGGTTGTGTAGTTGAAGGGTGGTAGATTGTGTACATATAAAGGGTATATACAGGATGATATTGTATTCAAAATTCATTAAAATTCGTTGTTCATAACAACAAGATATTCAAAACATATTAACATAGACCTAGACCTCAAAAACTTTGTTTTTTCTATTTTTCAAGCTTTTTCTAGGTTTGTGAGACTGTTTTTATGCTACAATAGGATTTTATTTTTTAGGCGTATACTCTATATATTAGACCTAGACTTTGAACTTTAGGTTTCAAATTTAAAAGTTAGGCTTATATCCCAAAAGTTAGGCTGGTGTTTTGAATTTCAAGCTGAAGATGAAGACTTTAGTCTAATATTTTAAAGTTCATGCTTAGAATTTGAAAGTTTAGCTTACATTTTAAACTTTAGGCTCATAATTTGAAACTTAGGCTTATAATTTGAATTTTAGGCTTATGACTTGAAATTTAGCCTAATAATTTAATATTTAAATTTGGAAATTAAGCTTACACTTGAAAAGTTAGGCTTTAAATCTGAACTTTAGGCTTATAATCTAGGCTGGTGTTTTAAACATTAGGCTCATAGTTTGAACTTTAGGCTTATACTTTAAAAGTTAGGCTTATAATCTTAAATCTAGGCTTTTTTTAAGTTTTAGGTTTATAATTTGAAAGTTAGGCTTATAATCTTACCACTAGGCTTATTTTGTAAATGTTAGGCTCATAACTTGAACTTTAGGCTTATTTTTAAAGTGTTAGGCTTATAATTTGATAGATAAGCTTATAATCTGAAGTCTAGGGCTATGGCTAGCGCCACGGCATGAGGTGTTCCTCAAGACCTGAAACCGTAATTGGAAGCCTGTATAACAACCGACTTGCTACAGTCTCCATGCACTTAGCACCATTCATTTGTATTACAAAGGGTTGGGCGGAGCAGTTGGTCGAACTGAGTTTGGCAGTTTATTGCTTCAACCGTCTGAGCCATAAACGTTCGATTTATATGTTTTAGGCTTATAATTTTAAAATTAGGCTTACTTTTTAGCCTTGCTATGAAAACTACAACAAATATACTAACACTGCTATTACTAACACTGTCTATATCTTTCACTACTGTAAATTCAAATCCTATTTATGTTGAGTTTAAAAGTAAATTTTAAAATTTTGAATTTTTTTTTAATTTTAAAAATTTTGAAAATTTTTTTTTAATTTAAAAATTAAAAAAAAATTTTTTAAGAAAAAATAATTTTGAAGCTTACAGGCTCAGTAAACACATACGACCCCTCCTCATGGAAAGGTCAATGCAAAAGAAGTCGAATCCAATCTCCAATCGACCTATCTTCTAGTGACACTTCATATCAATGGATCGAACCTCTACAGTTTGTAAACTTCAATGAAAATGAACCTTTGATTTTGGAAAATACTGGCATGTCGGGTAAGTATTGGCAGTCTTGTTGGGTAGAGCAGGGTGGGATAGGGTCTGTTAGGTCCAAGTCGGAATTGGTATGGTAGGGCAGGGTAGAATATGGTAATGTAGGGTAGAATATAATCTCGTAGGGTAGGATATTGTAGGGTAGAGTAGGGTAGGGTAGGACAGAGCTGGGTAGAATCTGGCGAAGCAGGGTAGGTTAGATTTTGGTAGGGTAGAGTCTTGTAGGGTAGGGTAAGGTGTTTTGGGTCAGTGTAGAATTCTTTAGTATACGTTAGGGTACGTTTTAGTGATATAGGTTACTGTAGATTAAGGAACGATACTGTTGGGTTATGTAAATTACCCTAAGGTAGGATCGGTTAAATTACTGTAAGGTAGGGCAACGTAGTGTTCTGTAGGGTAGGGTAGGGTATGGTAGGGTAGGGTAGGGTAGGGTAGGGTAGAATATGCTAATATAATGTATGTTACGGTAAGCTAAAGAATTTAAATAGTTTTTTAAATTTTAGTCCAGCTCTCAGGCTTTGCCGATTGGACAAATCGGCCGCAAATTCAAGGCGGAGGTTTGTCAGGAACATATCTTTTGGTTCAAATTCACTTTCATTGGGGTCAAAACGAGTCGCATGGAAGTGAACATAGCATTAATGGGCTTCACTACCCTGCTGAGGTAGGGTTTTGAATTTTTAGGTCAAAAAGTACATAGAAAACGCATTTTTTTGCACTTTGAAGGTCAAATTGTGGTCAAAAAGTACATAGAAATCCAATTTTCTGTCATTTTTAGGTAAGAAATGGTCAAAAAGTTTACAGTAGAAATTTTTTGAAATTTTTTTATTTTTTAGGCCCATTTTGCCTTTACCAAGTCAGGTGAAGCCTTCGAAATGATCGGAATTCGAAAAAGAACGGTGGATATTCACGTTCTGTCAGTGTTCTTGAACATCCATCCCAAACTAGGCGTATTGGCACCATTTGAAGAAGAACTAACACGAGTCAAAGAGCTAGGTAAGCTACCCTACTCTACCGTACCGTACCCTACCCTACCTTACTCTACCCTACCCTACCCTACCCTACCCTATTTTACCCTACCCTACTCTATCCTACCCTGCCTTACTCTATCCTACCGTACTATACCGTAGCGGGCTCTACCTTACTCTACCCTACCTTATCTTACAGTACCACCATTTCCAGATCAAAAAGTAGGAGTATACAATCTAGTACCAAACGACCTATTACCCAAAAACCTAGAGCACTTTTATCGCTACACTGGTAGTCTAACAACTCCACCATGCACCGAAGGTGTCATATGGACTGTAATGGCCACACCCTCTGACATATCACAGAAACAACTCAACATACTAAGACAAGTACGAGACAAAGATGGGGATGTTTACATACCCGGTAACTACCGCAACACTCAGTATCTTAACCATCGGTCGTTGTTGTTCAAGATTTAAAAAGTTTGAACTAGATTTAAATAAGTTTAACGGGTAATAAATTTATATGACAAGGGGAGTAGATCATTTTTTGGAAAAAAAATTTTGGGTGTGGCACAAATTTTAGGGTAAGGCATGGATTTGCAAAATACTGTGGGTTTAGTTATATAATAGTAGAGCAAAGCAGAGTATTGTAGGGGTTGGGTGGAACACTTTAAGATAGAGTTGGGTACGGTAGTGTAAGGCGAGTCAAGATAGGGGGGGGTAGGGTGGGATAGGTTACGGCAACTTATAGTAGAGTACGGTAGTGTAGAGTTGGATAGATGAACAATAGGATGAATGTGTTGTGTTGTAGTAAGGCATGGAGGAGAAGGGCATGTTATGGTATAGTGACATAGGATAGAGACGGTAGAATAACGAAAGATAGCTTAATTAGGGTTTTGCATTTGATACGGTCCGTAAAAGATAGTAAAATGATAAATATATGGTATATTATAGGGCAGGGCACTTCAGGCTAGGAAAAGTTACTACAGGGTATGGTAAGATAGTGTAGCTCAGAGTTGAGTGAGTATGGTTGGGCGATATAATACAGTAATATTTGGTTCAGTTTTGCTTTTTTGGCTAGATTAATCATTATCTGATGCAACACCAAAAAACCCTTTACTTTGAGTTTTGTAGTCTTTGGGAAAACCCAAACTACAAAATTTTTTGAAAAATAATAAACTGTCAGACAAATTTCGCTTTTTAAAATGACGTTTAAAAAACTAATTTGTTGAAACTATGGTAGTTTGTCATCAATTGAAAGAAATCTAAACAAAATTTATTTTTGGCATTTTTTGTTTTGTAAAGAAAGTTATTGCGATTTTTTGTTTTGTAAAGAAAGTTTTTGCCATTTTTTGTTTTGTGAAGAAAGTTTTTGTCATTTTTCGTTTTCTAAAAAAAGTTCTTGTCATTTTTTGTTTTGTAAAGAAAATTCTTGTTATTTTCGCTTTCTAAAGATTTTTTTTATTTTTACTATCATATTAAAAAAATTTTCGAAATTTTATTTTTTTTTTATTTTCAAATTTCTTGAAACTCTTATTTTTTGTTTTATATATTCTGTTTCCATTTTTATACCAAACCTTTTACTCTTTCTAATCAATGGCTTATCACGTTCGACTATAATTTAATTCAAAAAAAAAATTTTTATTTTTAACGGCCATTTAGATCAAACTTTGATACCTTTTCTATGACGATTTTATTTATAAGCATCTTTTTTCAGCTTAACTCATGTTTGTGAACGTTGTTGTATAAAGACCTTAGAGCTTTGTTTGTTCTTTTTTATTATCACTTTCATTCGCAAAGATAATCGGCATTGATAACACAGTCACAAACAACATTTAAGTTCACGTTGAGGCGGAGATCTGCCATTTTTTGTTTTGGGTGTTATAAGTTGCGATTGGGGAAAGATATCAGTACAAACATGGTGCACCACTTTGACAAGGTTGGTTTTAGAAAATTAAAAAAATTGGGCAGGATAGGATAGGATAGGATAGGGTAGGGTAGGGTAGGGTAGGGTAGGGTAGGGTAGGGTAGGGTAGGGTAGGGTAGGGTAGGGTAGGTTAGAATAATTTTTTTACTTTTTTAGCTAGTCCAAGCCCAACGCGACTTCTTCAACTCTGGAGTGACATTTGATGTGGAATGGCGAAAAAAGCAACTTTCAAAGCTAAAGGAATCCCTGGAGAAGCATATCGACGCCATAGCCGATGCGCTCTGGACTGATTTGAGAAGACACAAAGCTTTGGCTAGACCGACTGAAATCGACACTATTTTTGGAGATATCGACTACTTTTTGGCTAATATTGAACAATGGTCAGCTCCTGAAGAAGTAAGTCTAGCCCAAAGCTCAGACCCCTAGCCCAGAGCCCTAGCCCAGAGCCCTAGCCCAGAGCCCTAGCCCAGAGCCCTAGCCCAGAGCCCTAGCCCAGAGCCCTAGCCTAGAGCCGAGAAGCCAACCCAGCCCAGCGCATCCCAGCTCTACTGCGTTCCGCTCAGCCCAGCCAAGCCTTGCTTAGCCCAGAGCCTCTTCTGGCTCAGCCTAACCCAGCCCAGCCCAACCCAGCTATAGCATTTAAAGCTAGCCTTAGCCCAGAAAAGCCCAGTCTATCCCAGCCTAGCTCAGTTCAACCCCGCTCAGCCTAGCTTAGCGCAGTCTTGTCCAACTCTGTCTAGATCAGTCCAGTCTAACCCAGCTTAGCCCGGCCTAGTTATAACATCAGACTCAGGATATTTTTAGCTAGCCTTCTAACCCAAGCCTAAAAACTTAAATTTTCAGCGCAAAGGCACAGAGAACAGTAAGGCCTACCTCTACAAGCAGCCTAAGGGGGTAGCCTTGATCATTTCCCCCTTCAACTACCCAGTCCAGCTAGCCTTGAAGCCGCTGATCGCAGCCATTGGAGCTGGATGCACAGCCATAATCAAGCCATCTGAGATGACCGAGAACTGCGCCCAAGTACTGGACGACATTGTCAGCACAGCTTTCTCACCTGAGTATGTTACAGTAGTCCAAGGAGATGCCTCGACTTCGTCGGCTTTGCTAGAACAGCGATTCGACCACATTTTCTATACGGGCGGTACACAAATCGGCAAGATTGTGATGACGGCGGCGGCTCAGCATTTGACTACTGTTACATTGGAGTTGGGCGGTCAGAGGTACGGTAATTTTTTTAAATTTTTTAAACTTTGAGGGTTTGTTTTTTAAAATGGAAAGAAAGTTTTTGTCATTTTTAGTTTTGTAAAGTAAGTTCTTGCTGCTTTAGAAATAAAAACCGATTTTTCGTATAAAATGTCAACCGCAAGCTGCAAAATTGCTTTTTATGGAAAAAATGGGTATTATAAAGTTTGTAAAGAAAGTTCTTGCGTTTTTTGTTCTGTAAAGAAAGTTTTTCCGTTTTGTGTTCTGTAAAGAAAGTTGTTGCCATTTTATGGTTTGTTAATAAAGTTATTGCCATTTTTTATGTTGTAAAGAAAGTTCTTGCCATTTTTTGTTTTGTAAAGAAAGTTTTTGCTATTATTAACACATTTTTAAATTTTTCAATTTCAGTCCATGTTACGTCGACCAAAATGTTGATGTAGATGAAGTCGTATCCAAGATTCTGATGCCAAAATACTTGAACAATGGTCAGACGTGTATCACTGTGAATCATCTGATTCTACATGAGAAGGTCAAAGATGAGTTGCAGAAGAAGTTCATCCAATCTTTTGTCAATGTCTTTGGCAAGAACCCGAAGTCCAATCCATTATATGCTAGGATTGTCACTAAAAAGCATTGGAGGTGAGTTTGGGCATGGGAGAAGGCGGGTAGGTGTATAGTAGGGTAAATTAGGCTTTAATAAGCGCCTTAGGCTTAGTCCTAGGCTTAGGCTTAGTTTTAAGCACAGGCTTAGGCGACTTAGGCTTTCGCTTAAGCTTACTCTTACGCTTAGGTTTAGACTTAGGCTTAGGTTTAAACAAAAGCTTACGCTTAGACCTCGGCTTAGGTTAAGCTTAGACTTAGAATTTAGTTTAAGCTCCAGCTTGAGCTTAAACTTAGACTTAAGCGTAGGCTCAGCCTTAAAAGTTAACATAAAGCTTGTGTTTAATCTTAGGCTTAAGCTTAAACATTTTTTTTAAATATACAACATTATACTATTCATGGCAGCTAAAAAACGACCGCTCGCAGGAATTTGAAGTAAAATCCCAGCACTCGCAGTAATTTGTTGGGTCGTTTTACATCGAGGCAAATATTACAAAAGTAATCAATATTACATAAGAAAACGTTGCGTAACACGGTTTCTTGCAATTTCTCTAAGGCTATGTTACTATACTAAAAAAAACAGTGGCTTAAAAAAGCTTTAAATCTACTATAATATCGACTCAAACAACCTCCAAACCTACTACAATATTGACTCATTTCAGCCGAATCCACCGCCTCATAACAGCCAGCAAAGGCAAGGTCCTGTTCAAATCTGATGACGATGATGATCATGAGGACAAGTTCATAGCACCATACATAGTCGAAGTCGAAAAGGACGATGCTCTATTGGACGAGGAACTCTTCGCTCCAGTTTTGCCAATTTTAACCGTAAAAAGTGGACAAGAAGCGCTGGAATTGGTCAAATCAAGCGGCGAGCGACCGTTGGCTAGCTACATCTTTTCGAAAAACGACCAGTTAATTGACCGATTCAATCGCGAAATCCTGGCTGGAGCTACCGTGGCTAACGATGTGCTTATTCAGTACTTCAGTGAGTTTGAAATGGCATTTTTTTGTTGATACAATGAAAAATGGCAGAACATTGGGATGAAAAGCAAAAAATGGCAAGAACTTTCTTTACAAAACAAAAAATGACAAATTTTATATTAGGCATGCTTTAAAATGCTCAAAAACTTAAATTCGACTCAGTGTTCCTCGAATTTTTTATAATCAAGCGCACCGTTGCTTAACTTGCCAGATCGTACGGGAACGCGCTTTCGCACTGTGCAAAGAAGACAAATCGCGCTGCACGGTGCGGAAATTAACTTTTTGGCAATAACTTTGTTTACAATGGCTTAAAATGGTCTTTTTTACAATTTTTGATATATTTGTAAGAACTTTCTTTACAAAACAAAAAATGGCAAGAACTTTCTTTACAGAACAAAAAATGGCAAAAACTTTCTTTAAAATTGTTATCAATGACAAAAATTTGTTTACAATGACAACCAATGGCATTTTAGATCACGACATTCCATTTGGAGGCATTGGGAACAGTGGAATGGGCCGAACGCAAGGCAAATATGGGTTTGATTCGTTTACTCACGAGAAGCCGGTGGTCATTTCGACTTCTTCCAATGGTGGCATTGGGATTTGAAGCTCATTTTGTACTATTTTTCAAATTTTAAACTATTTTTAATAAAATTTTGTAAAATAAAAATTTATTTTTCAATTTAAAATTTTAAAAATTTAAAACTTTTTCAAAATTCAAAATATTTTTAAAAAATGAAAACTTAAGTGTTGAAACATCAATCAGTTCAATATTTATTAACGGTAAACCGATTAAAAATAAAAATTTTCAAAATAAAGTTAGGTTACAGACGAAAATGAAAAGAAATTCATGATTTGGACAAAATTTTGGGGACAAATAAGATTACAGTACCTCATTTCAATGATAGATTCAATGAGGAAGAGCAGCACGTATACACGGGAACGTCACTACAAATTTTTTTTTCGGGGGGGGTGGAAAATCCATTTCGGGGGGGAGAGAGGAGGGGCGGAAGTAAAATGCAAAAAAAAAATCAGATTCACAAACAGCTGAGCCCCATTTTTCAAAAAAAATGTCATAATAGAAGGTGGACCCGCCCTTAATGAACCCCCCCTCCCCCAGAAAGAATTCTGCGGTCCTTTAGTTACCTGAACATATCATATGACATTATACAAGACCCACCCATTAGAACCATCTGAAACACAGTAAAGTAATGCAAATTTATCCCACATGTTAAATTAGATCAGCCCGTTTACGGATAGTAGACACATGATGAACGTTGACTATGCCACGTAGTGGTAGAGACGATGGTCGTTGTCGTCGCGTTTTAAGTATTCTCGCTCGATTAGACTTTCGATTCGCTTTTTGATCACAGATGGGTCCGGCATGAAGCGGATTTTGAGTTGATTTGTTACCTAAAATTTTAGAAAATTAAATTTTTTCAAAAAATTTCAAAATTAAAAAATTAACTTACAGTATCCTTATAAAAATTTATTAATCTACAGTACCCTAGCTTACTGTAAAATACTCTGCCCTACTTTAACCTATCCTATCGTACCCTACCCTACCCAATTTTACACTACTCTACCCAACCCTACTCAACCAACAAGAATTCTACGTCGGCCTACAATTTCTTACCTTACCCTACCTTAACCTACCCGTCCCTTAGAGCAGTTTATCGTACTCAACCATACCCTGTACCGTACACATGATAGTACCCAGTCCTAATAAAAAAAATCAGTGCCGTGGCGTACCGTACCCCTACCTACCTATATTTTAGCCTACCGTACGCTTTGTCCCATAGAAGCTTGCCCAAGCCAACTATAGAAAAGCCCTATCTTCTTTACAATATGCTTCCCCTACCCCCAGTTACCCTACCCTATCTTACCCTGTCTCTTACCTTACCTTACACTCACCTTATCCTACCCTGCCTTCCTTTCAGTACTTTACCTTACCGTACCCTGCCTTACCCTAGCCTAAGGATACCAAATCCTAGACTATTCTATTCTACCCTCCCCTCATTACCCTTCCCTACACTACCCTACTCTTCATACGATATCCTCTTCTACCACCCTCTCCCCCCCCCCGCCCCCCCCCCACCTCAAATTATCTTCCCCCAACCCCCACCAATACCCATTCTTACCTCAGTGATCAGATCATTGTGGAGACTCCTCTTCCTGGCCTTCATGATTCTCACAATGGCCGCTTCGATCTCATGTTTCCTGTCGTCATTGACCTTGTCTCTGGTTTCTTTTCGCTCTGGCTCGGTCTCTCCTCGCCCCGACACCATCTGAATCTTGATTCTGGTCAGCTTGGATGTGTAGCCATCGTTCACGATGAATTCGTCGTCATCGGCCAGGTCTTTGCCATTACTTTTGGTTCGGATCAAGATACGTTGAGTTACTTTGCCCAAGGCCAATGACATCAGAGCTCGTTTGAAGTCTTTGTCGGCGATTTTGGTGGCTTCCCTTAGGTCTTTAAGAGTGTACTTTTGACGTTCGTTGAACTTCATCAAGATAATCATGTGATGGGTGTGGCATTGGAGGATTTTGTGCTCTTCTCTTCGTGCTACCGCGTTCGATGAGCCTGGTTCCTATAATTGAATTTTGTGTTAAAAATCATATTTTTAGGTTAAAAATAAAAAGTTCTTGTCATTTTATGTTTTGTAAAGAAAGTTTTTGCCATTTTTTGTTTTGTAAAGAAATTTCTGGCCATTTGTTTGTAAAGAAAATTCTTGCGTTTACATTAAAAACGATTTTTTTCTGTCAGTGGAAACAAAGTTCTTTCTATTTTTCGTTTTACAAATGGACTTTTCGACTTGTTCTACACCATCGTATAAAATGTCCCCCGCAAGCTGCATAACCATTTTCTTTCATAAAAAGCCATTTTTTTAATTGTAAACAAAGTTCTTGCCATTTTATGATTTGTAAAGAAAGTTGTTGCCATTTTTCATTTTGTAAAGAAAGTTCTTGCCATTTTATGTCTTGCAAACAAAGTTATTGCCATTTTTCATTTTGTAAACAAAGTTCTTTCCATTTTTCTTCCAAAAACACAAAATTTTACTTACATCACCCCTCCCACTAGCACTTCCATAGAAAATGGCTTTGACATCAGCTGACCCTAAGGCTGGGTTCAAGTAGATGCGCCTGCCATTATGTTTTGACACGTAAAAGTCGGAAAAGGCGGCGAACGCCTGTGTAGCACTCAGTGGTAGATTGCAGGGTTCAGATTGAGTCGTTGGCCAATGAACTTTGGTCAAGACGTTGACTGAGAGGTCGATTCGGCTTTGGTCGGCTCCTGGATTGGCGGCCAAATGGGCATGATACTCGGAGGTGATCGTCTCTGATAAGGCCATGTCTTTGAACATACCCTCCAATTTGGAGGTGAATTGACAGCCACATTCGGTCTGGAATTGGGAAAATGTCATCAAATTTAAAAAAATTTAATTTTCTGTTGTGTAAAGAAAGTTTTTGCTATTTTTTATTTTGTAAAGAAAGTTCTTGCCATTTTATGCTTTGTAAAGAAAGTTCTTGCCGTTTTTTTTTATTATAAAAGAATTTCTTGCCATTTTTTGTTAGTAAAGAAAGTTTTTGCCATTTTTTGTTCTGTAAAGAAAGTTCCTTCTATTTTTCGATATCGTCGTATAACTTGTGTTCCGCAGCCTGCGGAGCTCATTTTTGTAAAAAATGCGACTGTTTTTCGTTTTGTAAAGAAAGCTCTTGCCATTTTTTGTTTTGTAAAGAAAGTTCTTGCCATTTTTTGTTTTGTAAAGAAAGTTCTTGCCATTTTTTGTTTTGTAAAGAAAGTTCTTGCCATTTTTTGTTTTGTAAAGAAAGTTCTGACATTTTTTGTTTTGTAAAAAAATTCTTGCTATTTTTCCCTCTTGTAAAGCATTTTCCTACCCCCACCTACCCTCAACTTGGCGATCATGCTCTTTTCCGAGTCATCGCTGACACTTTTTCCGAACAACAACCGTCTACATAGGTGTTGTTTGTAGTAGCGTTCGAAGACGTCCTTCTCCTGCAGAAACTTGAACAATATCATTGACTTGTCCAGCACCTGTTCCGCATCGTTCTCGTTGACTGAGCGAAGGCCTTTCTTCAGTTTGTCATCAATGTACATGGATAAATACTCGGGGGACTTTTGAGATAAGTTGAAGAAATATACAAAATCGGTCTGCATTTTTTGTTTGATCTCTTTGTCCGATTTGAAGGATTCGGAGAGGAAACGGTCGAACAGGTCTTTCAGGTCGATCATTTGCTGAAAATACGCTGATTTAATTTTTGAAAAAACTATGTGTGAAGTCTTTAAAAAAATTAAAAAATAGGTATAAAATAGCTATAAAATAACAAAAAAACCTAAAATAATCAAAATTTTCATCCTTTTTAATCTTAAAACGCTAATTTCCAACTTATAAACAAAATTATTGCGTTTTTTTCAAAATTACAAAACAACTCAAATTATTTCAAAAAATTGTAAAGGAAGTTCTTGCAAAATTTCAAAAATTCCATTTCCTATCATTGTAAACAAAGTTATTGCCAAAAAATTGATTTCTTTGCACAGTGCGAAGGCGCGATCCTGTCCGATCTGGCAAGTTAAGCAACGGTGCGCTTGATTATAAAAAGTTCGAGGAACTATAGGTGGAAACAAGTTTTTGATAGTTTATGAAATACCTGTTATAAGTTTTGTCATTTTTGATTTGTAAAGAAAGTTCTTGCCATTTAATGTGTTGTAAACAAAGTTCCTTCCCCTTACCTGAATAAACTGAACTCCGCTAGTCTGTTCGTTCTCCTGGACTAGTGCTTGGCCGCGAGAGCGTAGATAAGTCGACAGGAATTCGGTCATAACGGCCACACCATTCTGCACTTTACTGTACAGTTCGTACATGGCTTTCAGTTCGCCAAACTTTTCGTTTGTCAACATGAATACCATCCCCGAGTTTTGCATTCCAATCACAGCACGCATGTAAGATTCGATCAGCTCAGATTTTAGTACCTGAAAATTAAAATTTAGTGGCGGTTTTTCAGCTTTTTAAAAAAATATTTAAAAGACAAAACTTTTTAAAAATCTCCGCCCCCCCCCAATTTTTTTATCCCTCCCACCACCCCATACATTTTTTTTGCTAAAAAAGCAAGCGTGATAACAATTTCATTAAAGAATATTTTTTTTACCTCTCCCCGCCCAAAAAAAATTTTACCCCCTCCCTCAACCAATGTAATGTAATACACCAATAATTTTTAAAAAAATTTAATCCACCCCCCCTTCCCCCAAATTCTACCCCGCCCACCACACCTCTCACCCCTGCCCCAAAAAAATTTACCCTTCTCTTTACACTCCCTTCCTTACCTCAACAATCTTGTCCCCGGTGATCTTGTCCAAGTACTTTTCGGCTCTTTGTGCCTCATCTTGCAAACACTCGTTCACCTTCCTGATGTAGGCCGAGGCCGAGTTCTGTTGCAAAAAGTTTTGAGCGGCATTTCGATAGAATTCGGCCGATTCTTGAAGGAATAGGTTCTCGAACTGTTCCTCGTAGTAGGTGCGATTGTCCAGGCCTAGGGCCGATAACATTTGGATCAGGTTCTTCAGGCTCAGCCATTGGATCGCTTCTTTTCGCCGTTCGCTTGCAATCATGCTCAAGAGGGTGGCCTGAAATGAGGTTGGAATTTGAAAAATGTTACCTAAAATTCTAATTTGCAAATGCAATATAAGATTAAAAATGGCATTTCGATAGCAATATAAGCTTTAAAATGACATAATATCCATGAAATTTCAACTTTTAAGCCTAAAAATGTAAACTTTAACATTTTGTTACCTAAATTTAAAATATTTTTTCACAACCAATTGTTTTAAGTTAACTCGGCTTTAAAAGGTCATATTATCCATTAAAAACCTCAAAAAACCAAACTTTTAAGCATAAAACAACATAAAATCAAAAATTGTTACCTAAAATAAAACTTTTCAAAAACTTGCCAAAAATCAATTTTCAACGTTACTATATGCATAAAAGTGATCTTTGCTATATTTTTGGCTATGCTTTGTCCTAAGCTTAAGATATTCATCCACAATTTCATATATATGTTAGCATTGCCAATATTACTCTTCAATACTGTAAAACCATCAAAAATAACCAACAATCCTACCTTCAGATGATTGTTGATAGTATGCTGATCAATAACTTTGTTCCTGAACAATCTCAACCCCAAATTGTATACTTTTTCTTTCTTTTCTTGCTCCACATAAACTCGATCCATGTACATCAAGATGTCACGAATCATGGTCATCGCAGTCTCATGGTCTTGCCATACGCTGTTCAATGTGTCCAAGAATCTGTTACGGCCGATCGATTCTTCTACTTGTTTACATACCTAAAGTTAAATTAGTTTAAGCGAAAATGAAGGAAGACGGCAAGAACTTTGTTTACAAAACCAAAAATGACAAGAACTTTCTTTACAGACCAAGAAATGACGAGAACTTTCTTTACAAACCAAGAAGTAACCAAAAAATCGCCATTTCCAACCAAAAATTAATGATTTTCCCTAAAAATCAACACAAAACCTCAAAAACTCACATCCTCCTCCAAATGTTTGATCAATACGTTGCTCAAGCCCTCGTACAACACCTCTCCCTTCTTGTTCAACACCATATTATACGAGTTTCTGTACAATTCTTCAAACGACAAGCCTGAATGCTTCTTTTTCAGGATTTCATTCAAAGCCTTCTTCAGCATTTCCCAAATATTCTGTACCACATCCTCGTCGATCGTTTTCTAAAAATTGAAATTTAGGTAACAATATATTTGTTTTTTAATTTTTTCTTTTTAAATAATGACCATATTAATAAATTATATTAACTAGAACGTTCAAAATTCAACAACTTTTTAATTTTTACCAAAAAAAACCGTTTTTTCAACTTCGATCTAATATATCCCCTTAGGCAATGTAGGTATAAAAACAAAAATTATTGTAAATGTACTACATCTCATTCCCTTCAAAACGTATGTTACCGCTTTACATATTATTGCTTAGTTCAAAAGATACGTCAAGAATTCCAATACCTATCATTCCAAATGTACCACAATATCTTCAGCCTAACATAACTTTGTACTCAAAGTCAATATACACTTAAAAATCGCAGTAAGCAGGAATAAATATGTGCTTTTCAAAGTTTTTTAACCCAACTTTCATAACAATGCCATATATCATAGTAATGGTCAAAAACCCCGGCACCTATCCTATCAGATAACCTAACTCAATATAACGGCCCATAGCTCAAAAAACTAGCCTTTTCTAAACTCAAATCCTTCTCAATCAGTTAAAACACAGTGTGAAGTACGTATTCATACCTAAAAATCAAAGAAAAACAGGAAAATCTTACCGGAAATATTCGAATCTTCTTGTTTCCTGCATTACGATGGCTCCCGCTCATTTTGTACTCGAAACGCTGCCGTTTAATGATTGAAACTTGTCGTTTTCAACGTCTTATCTACAACAACATTACCTGAAAATTGCTACTTATTAACAAAATGTGGAACTAAACCGAAAATAATGCGAAAACGTTAAAAAAAAGCAACAAAGGTCAAGGATAATATAGGTTTACTGGAAAAAAATTGCTGATTTATAGCAAATTATAAACAAAAATTAGAAAAATTTTTAATATTTCAGTGTCTTTTATCAATATCTTGAGTTTTCAACTTGATTTCACCAAAAATCCTTAATATTTTTAACGAAAAAACGTTTATAAAGACATCACGGCTATTACCTCGCGAAATTGAATGAGATTATGTCACAAGAGACACTGGGCTGATGTTAATAAGGTCACACCTTTGTTTATAACATAAAGTCTTTATAAAATACCAAAAAGCTCAAGTTCAAAGCTCCGTTTTTATAGAAAAAGGTCTCGAAAGCCGAAAAGTCTTTTCATCGGCCCTGACTGCCGGCGCGCTCTCTTCTATTCGAATACTCTCTCGTTTTCTTTGTTCGCTCTCTTTAATTTGCGTTTTGTCTCATAAAATACTGGTAGACTTATGGAAATAGGCGTATTTTAGGATAACCAAACGATTTTTTTGCTAAAAAGCTTAAAATTTGCACAAGAAATTCAAGATTGTTAAAGCTTTCATTAAAATAAGACAAAAATCTACTATAATATCCACTAAAGTCCAAAAAATCAAGCAAAAACGACAAACTATATAAACAAAATTAATACAGATATATCATTCTGTCCGAAACAGTTATCAGAAGCAAAATAAACAGCCAAATATTCTATACATCTCTAGTTTATTTCATTGCAGATCAGACCAAGATATTCAAGTCAATAAAGCCTGCCTTGGTCTCCTTGTATCCCAGCTTTCTGGCTACGCCGTTGTACACGGGCGATGGAGGCGTACACACAATGCGACGATTTGGGTATGGGTCCTTGCTAGGAGCAGCCACTTTTTCCTAAATTTATATTGTTTTAGGTGAAGTGATGTCGTATGGATATTAAAATGGTGAATTTTGACGAAATTAGAGAAAACGTATGACAAAAAAGATGTGATATGTTCATAAAAACGTAAAAAAACTACATTTTAATTATTTTGGCCAGATTACGTCCATTTACTTCAGTTATCCTGCCGTAACCTCTATTAATATCTACTATAATATGCAGCTTCAAAGTTCAGCCATATATCCGCAAATCTTATACTGGAATATCTTTTTTATACTGTTTAACTTATCAACCCTTTGGGGAGCTAATTATTCAGATTTTCAAAGATTTACATCACTTTTGGATCCTCAAGGTCCATTGAAAATCTCCGACGATATACTTCCTCAAAACTCCCTAAAATTCTAAGAAAATAAAGCTAACCAACTTACGACAGGATCGAAAAAGTGTGCGAAAGCTTCACGATTCTCATCTGGAGCAAAGGCAGGAATCGGTCTTGACTTTGGCGGACCGTGATGAGCCAGACGGACTGAAGCTTCCTTAACTTCTGGAAGCACGCGCAACGCGTTCTTCAACATCTGAAATTGAGTAAAATAAATTAAAAAGGTTCTAATTGACTACTTATATATAGTTTAATATGGAAACGTCGCGATAAAACAAAGTAAATTGATGTTTCTTCGGGTTAGCATAAGACATTAAGATTTAAGTTCATTTTTGGTCCAAAAAATAAGTAAATTTAATCGGATACTATACAAAAATTGATGTCATTAGTAAAAATATATATTTTCCTATCACTTTTACAATGTCTTTCTCCAAAAAAGCAGAAGGAATCGCTAAAAAAGACGAATCCCTTCAAGAAAATCTAATTTTTCGCTCGTCAATAAGCTGCGACGGAATGCCAAGCAAATTTTGGCGGCTGTTTGATTTCGTTTCGGGACTCAAAATGATTACAAGAAATGTTGCATTTTAACTGTTTTTGGCAACAGATAGTAGGGGAGAAGTATGATAAAAATTTTTTTGTAATTTTTAAATTTATATTTTACAGATCTTTCGGTTTTAAGGTTTTAAATAATGTTTTCTAAATCAAACAACACTGCCACCAATTCGCATGACCAAAGAGCCACCAATGCTTTTTACGATTTAAAGAACACAACAAATGTGTCTTGAAGCAAACTATAATTAATCAAGTTTCTCCTCAGGGTGTAGGTTTTTATAATTTTCGTGGTTAATCACTTATGTTGGTAACGTCAGAGGTACAACAACATGCCTTTGAAGACGGTGGTTGCGATGAAACTCTTGATGTGCATGGTAAAGTCGATGAGAATGATGGTCTTTGTGCTGTTTGTCATGACAAAGCAGCTGGAATTCATTACAATGTGATGTCTTGCTTTGGGTAAGAGTTTTATGGATATTACTTTAGGTATTGCTGCCCTAATATAGCTGCCTGGGCACTGCTCTACTCGAATCTGATTGTTTAAAATGGATTTTTTAGATGTAAAACGTTCTTTCGAAGAGCCATTATCAATTCGAGACGGTATTTTTGCGAAAAATTCAACAAATGTGATGTTAGCCAAAGGAGCGGGCGACAAAGCTGCAAATCCTGTCGATTACAAAAGTGTTTTGCGGTTGGAATGAAAATGAGATGTTGGTAAACTACCCCTAACCCTACTCCTACTATATTCTTACCCTACACACCCTACGTAATAATAAAATGTCATTTTTAGGCCTACGTTCAAAAAGGGACCGGACATACAAACAATCAGTCGATAAACCTGCCAAATCTCACCATCTGCCAAACGAAGGATCATCTATAACACCCAATGATCTTCTTGAACCCAGTACAAGTCATTCAGTCGACAAAACAGATCAGATGTTATTTAATTTTGTCACAAATTTGACAAAAACTGACGTCGAATTGAGGAAAAAGAAACAGAAATGGCTGATGACATTGGAAGCCGTGAAGACGTTGCACAAGGAAGTTCAAGAGGTAATAACTTTCTTTAAAAAACAATAAATGGCAAGAACTTTCTTTACAAAACAAAACATGGCAAGAACTTTCTTTACAAAACAAAGAATGGCAAGAACTTTCTTTACAAAACAAAACATGGCAAGGACTTTCTTTACAAAACAAAGAATGGCAAGAACTTTCTTTACAAAACTTACAGTTACAGCAAAGTCAATCAAATTACTGTCCAACCGTCCTTTGTTCAAGGAACTTCTGTAGACTTTTTCAAAAGAAATGACAAGAACTTCCTTTACAAATCAAAAAAGAAGAAAAAATTTCTTTATAAAGCAAAAAATGGCAAGAACTTTCTTTACAACAAAGAAAATCAGTCGTATTTTAACAAAAAAAGCGCACTGCAGGCTGCGGGGGACATGTTATACGACGATATCGAAGAATAGAGAGAACTTTCTTTACAATACAAAAAATGACAAGAACTTTCTTTACAAATCAAAAAGTGACAAGAACTTTCTTTACAAAGCAAAAAATGGCAAAAACTTTCTTTACAACAAAGAAAATCAGTCGTATTTTAACAAAAAAAGCGCACTGCAGGCTGCGGGGGACATGTTATACGACGATATCGAAGAATAGAGAGAACTTTCTTTACAATACAAAAAATGACAAGAACTTTCGGGGCCAATGAAGAATCGTTACCCAGTGCATTATAGTTCCCAACGGTGCATAACCGTTCCCCCAATTATTTATTTTTATATTTTAACATCTTCAATTTAGAAATAAAATTTGAGCGGTGGTGCGTTGGGGAGAGATACATAGTAAAGGGTTAAGGAACAATAGTAAAGCGTTGGGGAATGGTAGTAAAGCGTTGGGGAATGATAGTAAAGCGTTGGGGAACGGTAGTAAAGCGTTGGGGAATGATAGTAAAGCGTTGGGGAGTCATAGTAAAGCGTTGGGGAATGATAGTAAGCGTTGGGGAACGATAGTAAAGCGTTGGGGAACGGTAGTAAAGCGTTGGGGAACGATAGTAAAGCGTTGGGGAACGATAGTAAGCGTTGGGGAACGATAGTAAAGCGTTGGGGAACGGTAGTAAAGCGTTGGGGAACGGTAGTAAAGCGTTGGGGAACGATAGTAAAGCGTTGGGGAACGGTAGTAAAGCGTTGGGGAACGATAGTAAAGCGTTGGGGAATGATAGTAAAGCGTTGGGGAACGGTAGTAAAGCGTTGGGGAACGATAGTAAAGCGTTGGGCAATGATAGTAAAGCGTTGGGGAGTCATAGTAAAGCGTTGGCGAATGATAGTAAAGCGTTGGGGAACGGTAGTAAAGCGTTGGGGAACGATAGTAAAGCGTTGGGGAATGATAGTAAAGCGTTGGGGAGTCATAGTAAAGCGTTGGGGAATGATAGTAAAGCGTTGGGGAACGGTAGTAAAGCGTTGGGGAACGATAGTAAAGCGTTGGGGAATGATAGTAAAGCGTTGGGGAGTCATAGTAAAGCGTTGGGGAATGATAGTAAAGCGTTGGGGAACGGTAGTAAAGCGTTGGGGAACGATAGTAAAGCGTTGGGGAACGGTAGTAAAGCGTTGGGGAATGATAGTAAAGCGTTGGGGAACGGTAGTAAAGCGTTGGGGAATGATAGTAAAGCGTTGGGGAATGATAGTAAAGCGTTGGGGAACGGTAGTAAAGCGTTGGGGAATGATAGTAAAGCGTTGGGGAATGATAGTAAAGCGTTGGGGAACGGTAGTAAAGCGTTGGGGAACGATAGTAAAGCGTTGGGCAATGATAGTAAAGCGTTGGGGAACGGTAGTAAAGCGTTGGGGAACGATAGTAAAGCGTTGGGGAACGGTAGTAAAGCGTTGGGGAACGATAGTAAAGCGTTGGGGAACGGTAGTAAAGCGTTGGGGAACGATAGTAAAGCGTTGGGGAATGATAGTAAAGCGTTGGGGAACGGTAGTAAAGCGTTGGGGAACGATAGTAAAGCGTTGGGGAATGATAGTAAAGCGTTGGGGAACGGTAGTAAAGCGTTGGGGAACGATAGTAAAGCGTTGGGGAATGATAGTAAAGCGTTGGGGAACGGTAGTAAAGCGTTGGGGAACGATAGTAAAGCGTTGGGGAACGATAGTAAAGCGTTGGGGAGTCATAGTAAAGCGTTGGGGAACGATAGTAAAGCGTTGGGGAGTCATAGTAAAGCGTTGGGGAATGATAGTAAAGCGTTGGGGAACGGTAGTAAAGCGTTGGGGAACGATAGTAAAGCGTTGGGAACGGTAGTAAAGCGTTGGGGAATGATAGTAAAGCGTTGGGGAACGGTAGTAAAGCGTTGGGGAATGATAGTAAAGCGTTGGGGAATGATAGTAAAGCGTTGGGGAACGGTAGTAAAGCGTTGGGGAGTCATAGTAAAGCGTTGGGGAATGATAGTAAAGCGTTGGGGAACGGTAGTAAAGCGTTGGGGAACGATAGTAAAGCGTTGGGGAATGATAGTAAAGCGTTGGGGAGTCATAGTAAAGCGTTGGGGAATGATAGTAAAGCGTTGGGGAACGGTAGTAAAGCGTTGGGGAACGATAGTAAAGCGTTGGGGAATGATAGTAAAGCGTTGGGGAGTCATAGTAAAGCGTTGGCGAATGATAGTAAAGCGTTGGGGAACGGTAGTAAAGCGTTGGGGAACGATAGTAAAGCGTTGGGGAATGATAGTAAAGCGTTGGGGAGTCATAGTAAAGCGTTGGGGAATGATAGTAAAGCGTTGGGGAACGGTAGTAAAGCGTTTGCGAATAATAGTAAATTAGAATACGTAGTCAATTACCTCGAATACTGTGTTTTATGGCGTAAAGTCCGGTGGCCAAAACCAGGATCCTTGAGCCCATTGTACGCCATCTGTGTCGAGACCGAAAGGTTAGAGTTCGAAAAGTAGGTACCATGACGAGTAGAGCGGGTTCAGCAATCAGTACTTCCGTTTCGACATCTCCACTAAAACAACATATGATAAATATAAACAACTAACTTACCATGTATTTATCGGCCAGTTCAGACTTTTTTTACAACTTCATAATCGACGAACATTGCTGGCACGAATAAGCCGGTGGGAGAAGAGAGTTGTCTATCATGATCTGAATAGCAGTGGTATATGCTTGCTTCTCTTGCACCGTGTTCCATTTTTGACCATCCAACCGAATAGAAAGAAAGAATGAAAAGCCATAATGAAAATGAAAAAATATGTGAAGCAAAAATTTGCATAGTTTTATTTATTCTCACCGTGGGGAACGATTATGCCTTTATGAGTGGGGAACGATTCTTCGATTTTGTGGGAACGATTTTGCATGAGCGCCGAACTTTCTTTACAAATCAAAAAATGACAAGAACTTTCTTTACAAATCAAAAAGTGACAAGAACTTTCTTTACAAAGCAAAAAAACACAAGAACTTTCTTTACAAAACAAAAAATGGCAAGGACTTTCTTTACAAACTTTCATTTTCTAAAAAAACTTCATTTTAGTACCCAAACCACAACAAAAATGCAATAATAAGAATGGCCGATAAAACGGACATGGCTACCGTAACTTCAGCTGAACTCTACTGTCTAATCGACTGGGCGAAGAAGCTGCCATTCTTTACGAAACTGAATTTGATGACTCAGACTTCGATTTTACAAAGATTTTCAGTCTTTCATATTATCATCGAGTTTGGTCATTTCACTGCGAAATCAAAGGCTGAAAACATGTGGATACTGTCGAATGGGTCTGTGTTACCTAAAGATGTGGATTCGTTACCGGTCGGCAGTAAGGTGGGTGATTGGGTAGGGCTTGTAGGGTTGAGTATAGTCTAATAGGGTGGGTTAAAGTTGGATGGGTTGTGTTCGGTACGGTAGGTCCAAGTACGACAGGGTCAAGTAGGGTAGCGTACGGTAGGGTGAGGGAGGTAAGATAAAGTAAGGTAGGGTACGGTAGTGCTGGGTAGAGTAGGTTAGGATAAAGTAAGGTAGCGCTCGGTAGGGTAGGGCAAAGTAGGGTACGGTAAAGTAGAGTAGGGTGGGGAAAGGTAGGATAGGGTACTGTAAAGTCGAGTAGGGTAAAGTATGACAAAACTACAGTAATGTACTCTAAAAAAAGTGTTGAGGCATTAGTATCAGAAGGTAGAGCCTGGCGGCAAGACAAGTTATACCGCCAAATGACTGAGAGTTGTATTGATGAAGTTGCTGAACCCATGAAGAAGCTCAACTTGATGGCTGAAGAGCTGTTAACATTAAAAGTCATTATGTTCTGTCAATGTGGATTGAGAGTCAATGGTACGATTTAAGAATTATTCTTTTTAGTATTTTGGACTTCGAATTGATTACTGTATTTTTTTGTAATTTCGTGCTGGGACCCAAAATTACATGCCTGAATATCAAGTTTAATAATTTTATCAGTATAAAGTGATAAAATAGTCTATACTTCTACGTTTTAATAGTTATTTAAGCCTTCTAAGCTTATAATGCAATTTTATGTGTTTTCGTGCCGGGACCCAAAATTATTTTCTTAAATGTCAATTTTAATCACTTTAATAATGTAATATGTTAAAACCGGCTGTACTTCCAAATTTTATTAGTCATTCAAGCTTTTTAGGCTTATATTGCAACTTTATCGGTTTTCGTGCCGGGACCCAAATTTTTTGCCTGAACGTCAAGTTTATTTACTTTAATAATGCACTGTGGTAGAATAGGCTATAATTCTAAATTTATTAGTTATTTAAGCTTTTTAGGCTTATATAGCAAATTTACGTGTTTTCGTGGTGGAACCCAAACGTTTTGCCTGAAAATCAATTTTTGTCATTTTTATGTTACTTTAGTGGTAAAATGAACTATTTTTTAGATAAAACACCAGAAGATATAGAGATTTTAAATCAATCCATCAACAAAATCATCAAGGCATTATTTGTTTATTACCAAAAGATACATGTACAACATTTTGAAGGTAGCTATTCTATAACATTGTTGATTAGGGTAGGAGTAAAGATAGGGGCAAGGTAATGTAGGGTAGGGTTTTAAAGTTATTCAGTGTAAAATACGAACGTTGATTTCGTAAAATTTCAGAAAGATTTGGCAACATATTACTGTTGATATCAGGCATAGTAGCAGCAGCTGCTCCTACCTTGGAAAGCTATCGTATCCAAAGTCTGTTTGACTTTGTGCCATTTGACAAAATAGCTAAATCTCTCTTGTTCAGACAGAATGATGTACTTTGATATTGAAATCAAGAAGATGATTAGAAAAAGATTTTTTTAATATGTAAAAATTGTTGGGTTAATAAAGATGAAGTATAATATAAAGGATAGTTATAGAAGGTTAGGTTGTTGTCATACGGCGGAGATCTTTCGAAAATTGGTGTTATGACCATTGTAATATATTGAATGTCTTCCACTTCTAAAAAGTTTTGAATTTAAATTTTGTATTTATATATACAGGTAGGTAATAGGGTGACACATACAAGTGTTAGGGTAAGATAAGGCAAAACATGGTTGGGTACTACAGGGCAGGGCTAAGGTAAGTACAAGAAAAAAAAACTAAGTAGCCATTGGAAGTTGTAGTAAAGTAGGCCTTTTACTACATTAATGTATCAGAGAGCTTGGATCAGGTTCTGCTAGGGCAGAGCGTGTGTTAGGTTAAGGTAGTTTGTGTACGTAGTACAGAATAGCGTAGGGTGGGGTTACGGCAAAGCATGGTAGGATAGGGTATTAGGTTCTGCTTTGACAAGGCTTGGAGCAGTTTAAGGTAGGGTAAAGTACGGTAGAGTCGAATAGGGTAGGATCGGGTAGTGTAGGGTAGGGTACGGTAGGAAAGGGTAGGGTACGGTAGGATAGGGTAGGGGCAGGGCCGGGTAGGGTATGATAGGATAGTGCAGGGTAAGGTAGGGTAGGATAGGGTAATGTACGGTAAGGTAGGGTACGGTAGGATAAGGTAGAAGAACTTACGTTGAAAGCCGTCGGTTATTCATCTGTTCCATTTCAGTCAGTTGAATTTTTTTATTTTTCTGTTGTAAAAAGCAAATCAACGAAATAAACATTAATGGTGCCAATACCAAAAATAAGACAAAAGGAATATACAGGTAGATACTATTGATTGTTCCTTGCACAGCTTCAACCGATTCGACTGGAGTAGTTAGATTCGAATATAATATGTCCATAAAGAATAACTACGTAGTTCGACTGAGTAAGTGGAGGCATATGAGTGTTATAAAAAGTGTTCTTTCACGAAATGTCGTTTTTCTTTACTGTCAAATACTTGCAAATTGGCTAAATTTTTTAGCGAAATGTTTTGTTAAGGATTGAAGCTAAAACTGGACTAGGATGCGATAGGGTTGAGAAGGGTAGAGTATGGAAGGATCTAGTAGGGTAGGGTATTTTAGGGTAAGGTAGGGTATGGTAGTGCTGGGTAGGGTAGGGTAAAGTAAGGTAGGGTAAGATAAATATAAAGGGCTACAGCGTTTGGGTACGCTATAGTATTAGAATATAGCGAAAACCACGTTTGATTGGCGTATGGGTATAGAACGAGTAAATTAGAATATGATAGGCTATACTAACGAAGTAGGGGGTACACCGGCTAGGACAAGAGCTGTGGCTGGGCTAGGGCTCTGGGCTAAGGCTCTGGGCTAGGGCTATGGGCTAAGGCTCTCGGCTAAGGCTCTGGGCTAGGGCTTTGGACTAGGGCTTTGGACTAGGGCTCTGGGTTAGGGTTATAACTCTGGACAAGGGGCTATTATTATATAAAAAAGTCTTTTTTAAAAAGTATTTGTTTATTGTTCCAAACAAAAAAAAGTCAAAAATACAATAACAATAATATAAAAAAATGTAAAAATTGATTGTTGATTACTAGTTTCATTAAAGACTGTCCAATTTCTTTAATAAATAAAAAACTATAAAAATCTTAAATTAAGAGTACATGGTTTAACTTAAAATGTCTATTAAGAAGTGCAATGTGCTTATAAATAAAGTTAATTAACCGTTAGATCATGTGAGAGTGGCTGTGAGTGAATGGATAACATATTATCAGTGTATGCTGTGAATGTGTGATGCTAGTGGTGCTAAGACTAATCAACTGGAGCTAAATTTCTAATATTAGTCCTAGTTTTACTGGTGCTACTTATGGTACTACGGTGTTACTGATAATGTGAAGGTAGGGTTAAATATGGTACTTTAAGAAAATGTGGGGCCAACTATAAAACTTTAAAAAAAGTGGTGCTAAATATGGTACCTTAAGAAAGAGTGGTGCTAAATACAGTACTAGTATTGCTTATAATAAAAAAAATTTTTATATTACTGCTGGTAGATAACGTGCTACTAAAAATAATAACGGTGATTGTAGTACTAAGATAAGTCATACTAAGTGCGTGTTTGAGACAATTGGGTATAATGAGTGTGGTGCTATGTGTAAGTGATAATGTGACTGTTGCAAAATGAAGAAAGAAGTTATGCTAAAAAACTACAGTAAACTAAACTTCTATATAACGAACATCAAAGTAAAAGGAGAGGAAGTAAAAGGAAAAAATTTCTATTGTATTCGATTAAAAAAGTAAAATACTATGCTATAACCTTGAAGGTATGAAGGATGCACTTTCTAAATTTCCTATGTAAATTGACACAACTATTTGAATTGACTAATAACCTAAAAGAATCTAAAACTCTAATGTTAAATACAAAATTAAATGCCATGCAAACGCAAATTTCAATTCAATTAAAATTTAAAAAAATTAAAAAAAAGTGATGATAAATAAAATAAAACCTAAAACAAACTATTAAAAAAGGTTCCTACAATTACTTTTCTTATAGAAAATTGCGTATATGATAACTTTAAAGATATTACAGTAAAACGTTTGTACACCAAACTTCCCTATAACAAAACTCTTTCATAACAAACAAAAGTAAGATCCCTAAGCGATATGTTATACAGATGTTTGTTATAGAAGAGTTCATTATCGAGAAGTTCGTTGTACAAGAGTTCCACTGTACTACTATGTAACAAAAGCCTAATCTTAATGGAGTATTAGCTGAAGAATAATAAGAAAAACTGGAATTCCAAATCATGTTAACTGAACTGATAAACTACGGTGAATGCTATGGCCAAATTGATTACTAGTACTAGAAAAAAAGAAGTTGCTGGTGAAATACTAGCTACTATTTAACGCTAGCTATTATTTAACGTAAAAGACCTAAATATTGCTGTAGTTATTAAGGGATTATATGAAAGTAAATAAGAAGTATAAGCTATAAAACTCTTAAAACAGTGTACGGTAAGATAAGGTACTGTGCATACAACTAAAAATATAATCTTATGACTATAAAGTTAAAAGAAATTCTACTGTAAGTTAAGATACTGTGTATAAAGGTAAAGAACATGACCTTATGACTCTTAATAGTCACATTACCGTATATATCAAATTATAAAAACTACTTTTTCAATGAAGTCAGCTTTACTTAGGACAAGTAATTTTGACCCCAGCGCCCTTCAAACACTCGCACGATGACTTGAACCTTTGTTCCGATGACAAATGAAGCTCCTTTTCGCATTGTTCGAACGTGCTTTGAATCTTTTGGTCTGGTGGGGCTAGCGCGCACCTAAAAGTTTTGTGATATAACATAAAACCCATTAGGCTTAAGCTTATTCTTAGGCTTCGGCTTCGGCTGTAGCTTAGGCTTAGGCTTAGACTTAGGCTTAGACTTAGGCTTAGGCTTAGGCTTAGGCTTAGGCTTAGGCTTAGGCTTAGGCTTAGGCTTAGGCTTAGGCTTAGGCTTAGGCTTAAACTTAAAGTTTTTTAGGCTTAAGTTAAGGCTTAAGTTTAGGCTTAGGCTTTCGGCTTAGGCTTTCGGCTTAGGCTTTAGGTTGAACAAGGTTAGTTTTAGACCTAAGCTTAAAATTAGACTTAGGCTTAAAAATCCCTTGTAATAATATCTTACTGTAATTTAACAGCGCAATTAGCAGAGTTCCTCCTTCCTCTGTTACCGCCTTCCAGGGCTTTCATAGCACAATTGTCAACACACCACAGGAATTGACCCATCTCTACTGGGGCTTGGCCGGGTTGCTAAAACAAAAGTGTAATCATAATTATCAATGTAGGATAAAGTAAAGTAAGCCACTGTAAGGTAATGTACTGAAGAGCACGGTACAGTCAGGTACTGCAGTGAAAGAATACTGTGAGTGAAGTACTGTAAAGTATAGGGCAGAGTAGAGTAGGGTAGGGTAGGGTAGGGGTGAGAAATGGGCCGTCTAGGGCCGGCCTTGAGCTAAAATTGAAACGGGCCGGGCCCAAAGGTTAGGCCCGGCCCGAAAAAAAAATTTTTATTTTAATCCCCGTTGATGTTTTTTGATTTTATTGGGTTCTATGATCCATAAATGTTCTAAAAAAACAATTTAAAGCCAAATTTCCGTTTAGTTATTAAGTTTTAAAATTTTTAAAATTTTTTAAAACGGGCCGGGCCGGGCCTAGGAATTTTCTGACCGGGCCGGGCCGGCCTGAGAGAAAATTGAAAACGGGCCGGGCCTAAACGTTGGGCCCCGGGCCTGGGCCGGGCCTTAAAATTGGGCCCGGCCCATAGTATAGTGGAAAGTGTTTATGTAGGTATACATTGAGATGTATGATATGTATGATGTGGTTGAATAGACCTTTGTGAAACAGTTAAAGTAAGGGGGGATGGAGAAGGAGAACATATGTAACGTATTGATGGCTGCACTGTAGCCTTTTTGTTCTTTGGGTATGGCAAGTTTAAAAAGTTGTAGTTTTTAGGGCAGGGTAGAAAAGGGTAGGTTAGGGTAGGGTAGGGTAGGGTGGGGTAGGGTAGGGTAGGGTAGGGTAGGGTAGGGTAGGGTAGGGTAGGGTAGGGTAGGGTAGGGTAGGGTAGGGTAGGGTAGGGTAGGGTAGGGTAGAGTAGGGTAGGGTAGGGTATGGTAGGGTAGAGTAGGGTAGGGTCAAAAAAATCTTACGGAAGGCATTTTGGAGACCTCAGCCTTGACCTCAGCTTCAGTCATCTCCTTCATGACTGGGATAGTCAAGTTTTTGGGATGAGCGTCGTTAGTGCACCCGATTGGGCCAGCTTTGCGTTCGACACACTTTTCTAACTTATCCATGTCTCGTTGTTCTTTTTCCAAACATTGACGGATCTTGTTGGCATTGCCGATCTTCTTGATGTAGGGCTCACATTCCGCACTTAAAATGACATTTTAAATTTTTTTAGCTTTTGTAATTGTGTTTTTGTAAAGAAAGTTATTGTCCTTTTCATTTTTATCAAGAAAAGTTAGCTCTAGCCCGGTTTTTGATTTTCACAATTGACTTCTTCTCATCGTATTTTACCTTTTTTTACACTTTGCTGTCTTTTCCATTAACACTTTGGAGCACTCGTCGATGTCTTTGCACTTGCATTGTGGTGCTGTCGTAAATTGCTCTTTAGCAGCAAACTGAAAAAAAAAATAAAAAATTATTTACAATTTCTATTTACGACCTTTTATGTTTAGGCTTAAACTTCACAGCCTGATCTTAATATTTAAAGTTTAAGCTCAGAATTAAGTGTTTAAGCTTATAACTTAGAGTTTAGGCTTCAACTGGACACTATAAAACTTACTGTCAACGTGACATAACATAAAGAAACGACTACAGCAAAAGTGTACTGATTCATACCCTGAAAATATCAATTATAAAGGTTAATTACAATTAAAAAAGGCGCGGCCAATAAAAAACGTCAAAAATACAGTGCAACCTCTATATAATGAACTTGATGAGTTTAACTTTTTTACAAAAGAATTCCGTTGTAAAATAAACCTGAAAGAAAGACTACCTTGGCCAAGATAACGTAAAAAGAGTCGGGCCAAGTCGACAAGTTATACCCGGCTAAGCCTTTTTACAGGTGTAGTATACAAGAATTCTTAATGCACTACTCAGTGGTAGGCTGGGTTTTAAATTTGCTCGTTGTACAAAAATTTTGTTACACAGAGGTTTTACTGTATTTTCTGTTTTTTGCAATGATTTAACATACAGTAGAACTCCTTTATAACGAACTTATGTATAACAAAAACCCTACATAACGAAGAACTTTCAAAGCTCGAGCCAATTCTTCACAGTGCATTCAAAATTCTTTTATAACGAATCTGTCAATGATCTGACTATGTTTGATATAAAAGAGTTTCGATACGGGGTTTTATGCACTGCGTAGGTTTAGCGAAGCAAAAAATTGTTAAATATACAGGGTTTTTTATAGATGAATTCGTTACTCACGAGTTTTACTGTATATACAAAGACATTATAAGAAACTGAGCTTTATATTAAAATCAGCAAGTCATAGAAAAGAATAGCTTAATAAATTTGTTACCTAAAATTTAGAATTTATTAAAGCAAAAAAATTACTTTACAAATTTTAAAAAAAATCAACCCAATTCCGACTAGAAAAACAAAAAACTAGCCTAGCACAGTCCAGTCCCAAACTCCAAACCTCAAAACTAAGCCCCGCGGGCAGTCATTTTAAATAGGTGTTTCTTATTGTTTGAGCAAATACGTGAGAACCGTGTACAATCGGTCTTTTATATACCAAAGCACAAAACGGCTAGCCCACTGACCGCTGCGTTTTTTTTCGACCGTTACCGCTCTTTTTCGACCGTTGCTACTCTTTTTTGACCACTACCACTCTCTCCTTGCCTGCGTTGTCTGCTTCCCGGCCGCTAGCCGTTTTTCTCTGACTGCTATGTTTTTTCGACTGCTACTGGTCTTTTCTCGACCGTTTTGTCTGCTTCTATTCATCTGCTGTTCCTAGCCAAAACGTTTTTCTCTGCCCGTCTCTAGTACAGTACGTACTATTCAAACTATTCACATTTGTCGTATCGACTGGTCATTTCCAACCTTCAGCTTGCTTTTTGTTTGTTTAAACAGTCCGCAAATCAGTGACGTTTGGGAGTTAAACACAAATAGTCTAGGTGTTGTTGTTTTAAAAAAAAGTGTTTGTTCTAGGTTGACGTTGCGGCTCGGGTTCCACGCAGTTCTTGAGTTTGTTTGAGGGCTAAGAACAATGCAGTTGTGGTTGAGAAATGTACAAGATAATGAAGTGAGTCATGGTCAAAAGCAGTGGGAGACAATACAAAACATAATACTTGATTATGACTAGTTTGTGATCATTAATAGTGTATGAGTGAGTCATAACGTATACAATAATGAAAAGAAAGTAAACTTGCAAAGGAACAAACAGTTAATTTGTAGCTCTTGTATAAAGGATTCTTCTATAACAAAGCCTTGTTTAATGACAAGACTCTTTTATAACGAACGTCAATTAAAATTCCAAGGGATTCGTTATACAAGAGTTTCACTGGATACATAAAAATAAAGGATTGTACGTTTACTATACTAACATAATTGACAATGCACTACATTTAAATTTAGCAAACACACGCCAAAGTTTGTGTCAATTGGTGCACAGTGTAACAATGCCTACAGGCCTCTACAACAAGTCGCTCGTAGATTTTGATGATATTCATTATACAAGAATTCTACATACGAAAGTTTGTTATAAAGAGTTTTACTGTAATTTGTTATCTTTTAGAAGGTTGTCTTACTTTTGTACATCGACAAAATTTAAATAAATTTTGGTAGCTCATAGAACATAACTATGCTTTCAAATACAGAGCAAATTTCTGTAGAATGAATCGCTTAAATTTTCAAATGTTGCTTGTTATGAAGGAGTTTTGTTTTGCACGATTTTGTAATAAAAGAGTTAATTATACAGGGCATTGTTTTACATGAGTCACATTGTAAGTTGGAATTCTTCAAAGAGTTTTTTTATAAATATTGTACAAGTCTTAACAAATTATGTGTTGCTTATTAATATTTACTATTATATATGCACCTTACCTATATCATGTTTACTATATGCAACTCAACCACATCATGTTAATTATAAAGCAACCTAGCTACATCATGTTAACCGTAAACACCTCAACTACATTTATTCACAAAAGCTGAAGCGCTGCACAATAACATGCTTATCATACTCGGTGTTATTGCTGTTCGGGTAGTGCTGTGTGTGCTTCAGTCTAAACAAAACAACAGACATACACCGAAACGACTGTGCGCCCCACAAACATTCTTCGTTTTCCTTCTTCTGGCACTCGCCAGGCTTTTTTTGTCCCAACGCCGCCATTAAAATTTTAGCGTACTTTTTAGGACGGTTAACTTTTTTTTAATTTTTAGAAGGGGGGGGGGGTGTTATCGTATGAATTTGTTGATTTATCAGTTCAGGAGCTTAATATAGTTGAACTCAGTATAACAAATCGCTTGGGGATCTGAAAGTTGTTTGTTATGAAGGAGTTTTTTTGTACAAAAGCTTGTTATACAAGATTTCCACTGAAATTTAAAACATTAGGTTAACTGACATTGTACTTTAATATAAATATAAATTGAAAGTTTTTTTTAATTTTCAAACTTCCAGGATGTTAAAGAACGCCTATTTAACGCCTCCGCCAAACAAAAGTGCCAATCATCGCTACGGAACCAGGGGAAACGTTGAGAGACAGAATGGAACTTCAAAGAGTGTATTAGTGCCAAAGAGTAGCATAACACAGGTAAACATCCCGATATATTTTTTAAATTTTAGGTAAAGATGAGCTTATTGACTGGATGTTTATGTCTTCTCTTCTAATCTGGTCCACAAAACTATTGCCTTGTTTTGCCTTGCCTTGCCTTGCCTTGCCTTGCCTTGCTCATCTAGCCCCGCTGCCATCATCTTGTCCCATCCTACTCTGTTCTAGTCTTCTCCTAGCTCAACCCTACCTTTATCTACTCTGACGTACTCTTTTTCTTACTCTGGCTTTGCTTTAGCGCTGTCCTAGCCTTGTTTTAGCCTATATTTCCTAGACATATTGAAAGCTATACTTTTGTTTTCTAGCCAAACTTCTGTCTTATCATAGCGCCTTCTCTACCCTACCTTACCCAACCTTATTCCATCCTATCTTTCTTCTAGTCTAGCTTTTCCTGAACCATTCTTTTTATCTTGTCTAACTTACCTATTATATACAACTTACCCTACCTTAAGCATAGCCAATTAAAGCAGCCTAGCTACCACTTTTTTAATTTTTTTTAAAATTTTTATCCGCCTAATATCTTTTAATTGTCTGAAAGTTTGAAAATAGTTTCGTGGACTAGCGCTTCCGAGTTTCGTCGTTATCTGACCCCGAAACAATTGACAACAGGCTTTGGGTTATACAGGCGCGACAACTCGCCCATTAATCAATGAATCTCCAAAATATATTCGCACTTTTGTCATCAACTTTTCTGACTAAACTATATCGTTTTTGTCAAGATTTCTTAATTAGAAGCATATTTTTTAAGCTTTAGGTGTAGTAAATTAATAAATTTTTGAATTTACCCTAACCTTTTTTGCTGTAATAAAAATTTTTACTATGTTTAAAATTTATTACTAAAAACAATTTTTATCACGCCCTGCAATTTGTTCTTAAAATGTGTGTTACCATACCCTTAAAATTAAAAAAAAAAAATTAGCACGCCCGTAAAAATTTTTTTTTAGTTAGCTAAAAAATTTTTTACCACGCCTTAGCCCAGAGCCCTAGCCCAGAGCCTTAGCCCAGAGCCTTAGCCCAGAGCCCTAGCCGTTTGACATTCTTCTCAAACGTAGCAACTATCACAACATCTCGAAACACTGTCTTAATTTGTCGATGTTATCCGGCTTCCGGATTCTGTCGCAAAGTACGCAAATTCTCGACAAAACCCCAGTCGGAATCGTCTCGACTTGTACTTCTTTTTTTTGCGTCAGCGCACTTTAAAGTTATCTATCTAATTTGAGACAATATATCTCAGTGTTTCCGCACCGAAATCACAAGCGATAATCAATTTAATCGTTTCGGTGTGCGGCGACGTTTTACCGCGTTGCGCTTATACGGTACAGGGATAAAGCTTCTACTCTTCTACAGACGGCAAGGAGATGGGAAGGGGAGGGGGAGGGAGGGGAGAGAAGAGGGGGGGGGGGGGGGAAGCTGTACGTGCAGTGCAGGGCAGGGTAACAATGTTGCTAAAGGTTGTGGTTGTAGACTAGATAGGGTAGGGTAGGGTAGGGTAGGGTAGGGTAGGGTAGGATGTATGTTGTACATTACAGACGGCAGGAGAACGGTGGCAGCAAAACATCAAAAACCAAAACACTGTAGCAACCTAAGAGTGCTCTTAGGTTGCTACAATTAAGCGTAGAGAAGCATCCATCTGTAGATAAAGAAAAAGCCGTTTTTCTCAAAAAAACTTTTAAAAAATTGTTAACCCGAAACGAGGTTAGTCGTTTCAAATTCTCGCTGATACCCTTAATTTCGTCGACGCACTTTTGTGCCCTACAAGAGTGCAGGCGATTGTTTTTCTTTCCGCTACAACTGATTTTTCGCTTCGGGTCGAGGGAATGTTTCTGATGATTTTAGAGGAGTTGCTTTGGGATTGATGGTATGTATTTTAGACTATATGTAAATTTTTTTGGTAAGAAATAGGAAAATTAGATTTTTTTAATTTTTTGTATAAAAATTTGTACGTTAGGAAAGGTTTCATCGTATAACACGTCATCCGCTAACCTTAGAATTGGATAAAAAGACATTTGTACAGAAAGTTTTTGCTATTTTATGTTTTGTAAAAAAAGTTTTTGCCATATTATGTTTTGTAAAGAAAGTTATTGCCATTTTTTGTTCTGTAAAGAAAGTTGTTGCTATTTTTGTCTTGTAAAGAAAGTTCTTTCCATTTTTTGTCTTGTAAAGAAAGTTTCTACCATTTTATGTCATGTAAGGAAAGTTCTTGCTATTTCTTGGTTTAAAATTTGGAACTTTATAATTTCGAAATAAAAATTAGGTTAATTTTTTGTCACGTCACAATATTTTTTTCAAGTTACCATAGCACTTGTCAGACATACGACAAAGTAATGAATTGATTCGTGGATAACCAGTTTTAAAAAGAAACTGTTTGAAACGTTTTTTGTTTCGATAAGCGTTTTTTTAGGTTTTGGGGTGACCAACTTACTTTTGCGCTGCTGATATACTATCTAATTAATCGGATACACTTTTCATACTTTTTACTCTGTCAGTTTTTGATGTTTTTTTTTTTGGGATTGTCAATTTATAGTAGGCTGGTTTGGTTTTGTTGTTTTTTGTATTTTTTTTTATTTTTAAATTTTTATCTATCCTTAGCCCTAGCTTTAGATTTTTGTCTGATTTTGCCTTAGACTTGCCCTAGCTTTGTCCGAGTCTTTCCCTAGCCTTGCCCTAGCCTTGTTCTAGCCTTGCCCTAGCCATGTTGTACCCTTGCATTACTTCGCCCTAGTCTTGCCTTAGCCTTGCCCGAGCATTGCCCTCCTCTTGTTTTAGCCTTGCCCTGGCCTTGCACGCGCCTTGCCCTAGCCTTGCCTTAGTTTTCTCCTAGCATTGTCCTACCCTTTTTCTTATCTTTTCCTAGTCTTGCCCTAGCCTTGCCCTAGCCTTGCCCTAGCCTTGCTTTAGCCTTGCCTTAGCCTTGCCCTAACCTTGCCCTAGCCTTGCCCTAGTCCTTAGCCTTGCCCTAGTCCTTAGCCTTGCCCTAGTCCTAACCCCAACCCTAGTTCTAGCCCAGCTCTATATTCAATCTTACTCCGCCAAGCTTTATCTTATCCCAACTGATTACTCACCCCCCCCCGTCCCGTTTTTTGTCTTAAATCATCTGAAAGGTAGCCGCGAGCGCCGTTGTTGTATATCGAAATGTTTCACCACTGTTTTCTTTCCAATTCTTTCGTTACATTTTACGGCGCCGCGAGGATTTTTTTTTGTCATTTCGAAGAATGCAAAAAGGATAAGGAGCGGAGAAAAAAAAGATATCGTTGGATGATGGTAAAGACGCACCAAACAGGCTGCAACCGATGATAAAATAAACTTTTGGAAACTATCCATCCAATTTACTCTCTAAACGAAGGATCAAATGTCACAGATGGTTTTGGGTTGGGGGATGGGGTTGTTCGTTTGGGGTTGGCGGCGGGGGTAGTTGGGGTGGAAGGGAGGGGTATTTGGAGTGGAAAGAATGGGTACTTGCGAGTAAAAGGGTGAGATAGCAAACGGAAAAAGAGAGATATTTTTAAAATTTTTTCCGTGTCTTGTCTGTCAATTTTACAATTTTTTGTCTATCTTTTTACTTGTAAGTCTTTTAATATATGTAGATATAGGGCTTCATATAAATTAGCATTAATATAAAAAAGCAAAAAAAAACCTATGTTAGGTACAACGAAAACCAGATGGTGCCGTAGAAACTGTAAAACAACGGCCAAACAGACCTTTAAAACAGCCGATTGTCAAGAAACGTACAGTGAAAAGTAGAAACAACAAAATGTAAGCCTATAAACATTATTAGCGTTTTTAATGTCTCGCATTTTTAAAATCTTAGCATTGAACTTTGAGTAAAAAAATTATTTTTAGCAAACCTCAAAACAATGCTAGTTCAAAAAAAGTTCAAAAAAGACCAAACTCAACCCTAAAAACAGCTCAAGTTTATCAAATTGTAAAGAAAGTTCCTGAAGACGAGTCTCGACCCTCTACAAGTAGCGATTATCCGCAACATTTCGAACCGAGTTCGTATCAACCAATAAATCAACGTTTTGACAAAGGTTCGAAAACAGAACCGGATTTCAACAAAAATCAAATAAATTACAATCGAAACAAAAGCGAGTCGGTTATTAATGTAGCCGGTCTTGAGCAATATGCTTCACGCTGTGATGATGAACACGCAAATCATGCGGGATTTGAAAGAAGATATGAAGGACAAGAAAGTAAAGATGTTGTAGACGGTATTGAAGATACAGCTTTTGGTAGTACTGATGGAAAGTCTAGAGAAAGAAAGACATTTGCTGATGACACTACTGATTCAGAAGAAAAAGAAGAAGATAATACGGAAGCGATAGACCTAAGGGAGAAAAATGTTTATGATGACGATTCAAATTACAGAACAACTTTAAAAACGTTTTGGGCCTATCCTAGCAGCTCTAAAAAGTCTTCAAATGAAGTTAACACCTATGCCAAACCTTTTGTTCTTACAAAACTAAGACTTCTTAAGAAACGTTCTAATTTTAAATACGTAGCAAGCAACGCCAACATCAACAATATGCCTTCAACTGACCCAAAAAAAAGTACAAATGGATACAAACAAAAAATAATACACCTTTCTTCAATAGCACCATTGCCAACCACAAACGGTCAGTCTAAATCAACATACAAAACTACGACATCAAGTTCAAATATTATTGGTGCTAATAATGAAGACCTTGAAGCAGAAGCTACTAGTTCAACCCATAGACTAAATGGAGTTAACAGTAACGGTTCGTCTGTAGTTTATAAACTAAAGCCGGCTTTGAACGACGATGTTACAATGTATTCCGGTGCTACAAGCACCGATTCAAAAAATGTCAGCCCAGAAGCATCTACATCAGAGATATTTGTACGGTCGAAACCTTCTTGGGATCAGTCAATAAGTAGAGACAGAACGCCCATTATAGCATCAACTAATCGGCATAGACAGATTAAACGTTTTCAAGCGTCATATAAACACAAAATAGTTCCACCACAATCTTCTTTTGTCACCCAGCACCTTGCAAATGCAATGCCTCAAGCCATAGCTTTCGATCCATCTCCACCACCAAATTTGGCACCACAGTCCTCAACCAAATCCAATAACCACGCTGAAAATGTGGCCTCACAGTCCAAATTCAACAACAACAAAGACAATCCAGCATCACACTCAACCAAATCCAGCAACAGCGGACCGTCTGCCCAACCATCAACAACACAGGCCAGCACAGAGAGTTCAACTACCGTGTGCACTTTAACGCGTGACCCGCCGTCGCTGACCACCGAAGCAGCAGATGGAATCGGGTAAGGAATTTCGGTGTCGTTGGTAGAGTTTCGTTTTCCCGCCTGCACTCGTTGTCTTTCCCATTTTTTATGTCATTTTGCTGATTTCATCGTTTAACGGGAAGTGCGACTGGATTTGTAAAAGTACACTATTTGTTTGCGGGTTGACAGTTTTGGGTTTGTATGTTCTGGTTAGGAGCTTGGCGAGGGTCTTGAGAGGTAAGGGAATTGTTAGTAAAAAAACTTATTCCGACTTCATCCGAGACCCCATATCTCTTCTTTTGCTACCGTAAACCCCTTTTGTAATAATTTCCTCCTTTCATTTCACTTTCCAAACCTCACTCTTCCAATCACGATCACCCACTGACCCCTCTCTTTTGTAGCATACAGTAGAACTGTCATTACCACAAACAAAACAATCGCTTTTCGGAGTGTCGCGATTGGTTAGCTGACTGTTTTGTAATCCAGAAACGCGCAAAAGTGACAAAAGAACATTTCGGTTGACACGGCCTCGGATCGTTTCGTTTTTAGACAAAGAAAGTCAGAAAAATACCGGCGCGGACAATAAACTCGATCAATTTGATCATTTTTCAAACTCACCGAAATTCGCACTGTCTTTTAAGGACGTACAAATGGTAATCCAAAAAAAGCAGCTTAAAGAAGGGGGTTTGAGGTAAAGGGATGAGAAAAAAGGGGAGCATATTTTGGGGAGGGGGGGGAGGGGATAAAAAAATTTTAAAGAGTCCAGGCCGGGTCAAAACAAATTTGAAAAGGACTAGGCTGGGCCTAATCAAGTTTCGCACAAGCCGGGTCGGGACAAAGCATCTTTTAAAAGGACCGGGGTAAACCATATCAAATTTGAAAGGGGAGCAGGGCTTAAAAATGGCCAGCCAAAATCTTTCGTTGCGGGACATAAGTTGGGTCGCTAAAGCTTTTATTTAGGCCCGAAGCTTAGGCCCTCACGATCCGGCCTAGTTTTTTTTCAAATTTGTTTTGACTCGGGCATGGATGGTATGCCTACTAGGTGCCTTTCAGACCTAGGAGATCAAAAACTAAAATTTTTTTTTATTTTTTTTAGTTAACAGGGGGGGGGGATCACGTTCAACTTTTATTAAAATTTTTTATTTTTGTATTTATTACTGTATTTTAACTTTTGTAACACTGGCTAATTTTTCACTGCACTCTTAAAATCTCATTGAAAAGCAACAAAGCCTTTTTTGTGGGAGGCGCGCGACAAAGACCACAAAAACATCTAATTTCATGACGAGTCCCCGGAAACAACAGCCAAAAAACAAATCAATGGCGATTCCACAAAACTTCGAAATTCATAAAAAACGCCGAATTGGGTAAATGAAATTATACGCATCGAAGGGTTATTAAGGTTGATTTTGGATTGACTAGTTATTAATTAGGGTAATCGATAGATGATTTTTATTTTTTTAAAATGATTTTATAAATTACCGTAGGATGATAACGTTTTTTGTCATTTTTTGTGTTGAAAAAGAAGTTCTTGCTATTTTTTATGTTGTAAAGAAAGTTCTTGCCATTTTTTGTGTTGTAAAGAAAGTTCTTGCCATTTTTTGTTTTGTAAAGAAAGTTCTTGCCATTTTTATTTTGTAAAGAAAGTTCTTGCCATTTTTTGTTTTGTAAAGAAAGTTCTTGCCATTTTTGTTTGTAAAGAAAGTTCTTGCCATTTTTTATTTTGTAAAAAAATTTTTTGTCCTTTATTGTTTTGTAAAGCAAGTTCTTGCTTTTTTACATAATCATCGTATAACTTGTCATCAGCAGTTTGCACATCTTTTATAGCTTGTAAATCGGCAATTTTTGAGTTTGTAAACAAAGTTCTTGTCATTTTTTGTCTTGTGAAGAAATTTCTTACTATTTTTTGTGTTGTAAAGAAAGTTCTTGTCATTTTTTGTGTTGTAAAGAAAGTTTTTGCCATTTTTTGTTTGTAAAGAAAGTTCTTGCCATTTTTTATTTTGTAAAAAAATTTTTTGTCCTTTATTGTTTTGTAAAGAGAGTTCTTGTCATTTTATGTTTTGTAAAGAAAGTGTTTGCCATTTTTTGCTTTGTAAAGAAAGTTCTTACCAACTTTTTGCTTTTCTGATCGCAAGCCAAGTTATTATACCATCTTTTACTCTAAAGCCTTGTAATACATACAACCCTAACCATTTCTATTATAAAACCATTCCTAATCAATCCCTCCTCTCCCCATCGAGATTACCCAACATATGGGGACAGAGCCGTAAAACTTTTACCGAAGGAATCTCTCCAAAAAACAATTTTGTGTTAGCGTCGCGGATCAAAGGCAGGCAGAGGATATATGGGGAGGGGGAGACATCTGGCCGAAATGGGCTCCGGTTTTTGACAAAACTTTTTTAACGGCTTTACATTGGGAGTGGGGAAGGTTTTTGTTGGGTTGAGGTGGGGTTGGGTTGAGTTGGATTTGACTAGATATTTGATTGGGGTTGGTGCTAGGAAGGTAACTCGACTTTTATTGGGCTAGGGTTTAAGCCCGGGCTAAGGGTAGAGCTTCGTGAGCTTGGGCTAGGACTGAGGTCAAAGCTAGGGATTTGAATTTAGTTTTTTTAAAGGAGTGTGACTTTAAAAATTCTTGGGCGTGGTAAAAATTTTTTGAAGGAAAAGGTTAAATTTTTTTGGGGTGGTATTTTTTAAAAATTTTTTTTGGGCGTGGTAAATTTAACCTCTTATAAATTTATTACGGAATGGAAATATTATTTTTCAAAAAAAAATTTTTTGGGCGTGGTAAAAAAATCTTTTTTTTATGTTGGGGGGGGATTTTGAAAAAATTGTTTTTTTTACGGCTTGGTAAAAGTGATTTCTTATATATTTATTATGGGCGTGGTAACATAACTGTTCAAAAAAAATTTTTTTGTGCGCTGTAATACATTTTTCGAAAAAGTTTTAGGGTGTTTTAACAAATAGCTGTAAAATGAAGTTTGTTTTACATTTTTTGCAAGTCAAGTCCTCCGTTGTGGGACCTAAATTCGGCCCATAAGGCCTTTATTTAGGCTTGGCATTCAGGCTTACAAAATCCGGTCTGGTCCCTTTCAAATTTATTTCGGGCCGCGCCTAATGTGAACTCTTTCAAGTCTATCCACCACAGATTGTAACAAACATTGTAAGGTCCACAACATTAATGACGCACTTACGATTAAAGCGGCGGTAATGTATATTGCCATGGTATCCTTGCACAAACATGTACACGATTACCTTTTACTCTACATTAGGGGATCTTTCTTTAACCGGGATTAGGTAACCCAAGAGCGTCTTAATCACATGACTTACTGTCTTTGGGCCGTTTTATTTTTAATGTCATTGTTCACATTTTCAATTGCATGTAGGTGTATTCAGGTGTGCATGTTTGGGTATTCATATGTGCATGTTGATATACATTAGGTAATGTGTATGAAGTGTTTATGTAGGTATACATTGAGATGTATGATATGTATGATGTGGTTAGGAAGATCTTTGTGAAACAGTTAAAGTGAGGGGGGGGGGGGAGAAAAAGAACATATGTAACGTATTGATGGCTGCACTGTAGCCGCTTTGTTTTTTTTGGGTATGGCAAATTTAAAAAGTAGTAGTTTTTAGGGTAGGGTAGGGTTGTATATTATTGTACGGTTTAAAAACCAAGCATTAAAAATTATAATCACCGGTACTGTAGCCCTGTACCATGTTTACAAACCCTACAGGTGTTGTTTAATCCCTTTCCCAACACTTGTGTTGCAATATTAAACTATTAGGGCACTAAACCAGGTGAAAGTTATATAAAGTTAGTTTAATTAAACTGTTTTCTGGTTTTCTTTTGTATGGGTATGGGTTTGTACGCTACGGTTTTATACATAGTAGTGTTGGTAAGGGGTAGGGTAGGGTATGATGGTATGAGAGGAGAAAGGTAAGTCAAGGTAGGATAGGGTAGAGCAGGGTAGGACGGAGTAAGCTGTGGTAAGGCAGGATAGGGTAGGAAGCGTAGGATAGAGTAAGGTGGAGTAAAGTAGGATAGGGCGGGGTAGAGATGGGTTATGATGATAAAAGGCAAGGGCAGGGTAGTGATAATAGAAAAAGGGGTACAAAGTTAGCGGGGAAGAAGGGGGAGAGGGTGCAAATGGTAAGGGGAGGGGGTGAGGAATTTTAAGGCGGGGTGGAACAACTTTTTTAATTTTTTAAGGGGTAGAGACGCAGAGACTTCCGGAGGCGGTAAGGCGCGTTTTTTATATTTTTAAAATTGTTACTCCACCTTACTTACCCTACCCATTGTAATCTCCCTCTCTATCCTTCTTTACCCTCACTTCTCCTCCCTCCCCCCCCCACTCTCTTACTTTTTTTCCACCTTACTTTACCCTACTTTTCCCTACCCCCTTCCTTTTTCTGTCTGTTTTACCTCTCCTTCCCCCCCCTTCTTTTTTTAATCACCCCACTCCCCCTTTTTTTCGTACTCTACCCCTCTCTTACGCCTTCTCCTTTCCCTACCATTCCTTGGCCAACGCTCTGTATTTCCGATCGTTCCCCCTGTTCCGCGAACCCCCTCCCCCTCCCCCTCCCCCTCCCCTCCCCTCCCCCTCCCCCTCCCTCCCCCTCCCTTCCCCTCCCCCTCCCCATCAATTTATTTGATTTTTACTGTCACTGGGGATCAGTATGCCTTTTCGATTTTATTGCCAGATCTACTGTAACACATGTCTTTTCGCGAAACTTGGCCAAAAAGACTGTTCGCATTTATATATGTGTGTTGTGCCTGAGGGGCGGTTTTGTCGGGGCCTGACAGAACCGAAGATCCGCTTCCGGACAGTTGGGGATGGATTTCGGTTTAAGTTTGGCCTGCTATGCGGCTTTATTTTGTGTTTTTTTGGGCTTTTTATTATTATAGGGGTGAGGGAGGGATGAGGAGGGGGAAGGGTAAAGGGTTAAAATTAAAGTTAGAAATTTTTTTTTGCTAGGAGGTATGGGGCGGGGGGAGGAGAAGAGAAAGATAGGGTAAAAGTAAAGGGAGCTCTAGGAGTAATG